TGACCCAGGATTTAACACTTTCTATTTTGTGCCTGCTATGGAAAAAGCTGTAGTTAATTGACTTACTGTTACTTTTCACTGTTAGTTTTCCAACTTGGGAAGGTCTTTTCTGGGAAAAGGCATCTGGCTTTGAGGAATCCATGAAGTATAAGAAGCTCACCAATGCTCAGAGATCTGGTCTCAACCAAATACCCAACCGAAGATTTACACTATGGTGGTCGCCAACCATAAACCGTGCCAATGTTTATGTGGGTTTCCAAGTGCAGCTAGATCTTACTGGTATATTCATGCACGGAAAAATACCAACATTGAAGATATCCCTTATTCAGATATTCCGAGCTCACTTGTGGCAGAAGATCCATGAGAGTGTTGTTATGGATCTCTGTCAGGTTTTGGATCAAGAATTGGATGCTTTGGAAATTGAAACTGTTCAGAAGGAAACGATCCATCCAAGGAAAAGTTACAAAATGAACAGTTCTTGTGCAGATATTCTTCTCTTTGCTGCTCATAGATGGCCAATGTCAAAGCCTAGTCTTGTAGCTGAATCTAAAGATGTTTTTGATCAGAAGGCAAGTAATAAGTACTGGATTGATGTTCAGCTAAGATGGGGTGATTACGACTCTCATGATATTGAACGATACACTCGGGCCAAGTTTATGGACTATACAACAGATAACATGTCCATATATCCATCTCCTACTGGTATATCTCAATCCTTTTACTATGTTTCATTATATGTATATTTATTTATAGAGTTGACAATTTCATTATTTTCTGTGTAGGTGTAATGATTGGCATTGATTTGGCATATAATTTGCATTCTGCATTTGGTAACTGGTTCCCTGGGTCAAAGCCACTACTTCAACAGGCCATGAATAAGATAATGAAGGTAAATATACCAGTATATGTCATTTATCTGTTGCAAAACTGTAAATCACTTAGATATTTTCACTTCTATTTTGGGGATTAAAATGTGATCATGACCTGTTTTAATCTATGTTGACACCATTTCTACTAAGCTATGATATCCGTAGTGTTTAATCTAAATGTTTGTATGTTAGCTAATAGTTGACAAACTAATAATGTTGTGCATATGCAGTCCAATCCTGCACTGTATGTGTTGAGGGAACGGATAAGGAAAGGTTTGCAATTGTACTCATCTGAGCCCACTGAACCATATCTGTCTTCCCAAAACTATGGAGAGATATTCAGCAACCAAATCATATGGTTTGTTGATGACACAAATGTGTATCGTGTTACTATTCACAAGACTTTTGAAGGAAATCTTACAACGAAGCCCATAAATGGTGCTATATTTATTTTCAATCCGAGGACTGGACAGTTGTTTCTTAAGGTTTGTTACATTCTCTTGTATTTACTGATGTGTTTGCAACATTTGTTGTCTAGTCATTGATCTACCATATCCTACCTTGTTTGTAGGTTATTCATACCAGTGTGTGGGCTGGTCAGAAGCGTCTTGGGCAGTTGGCGAAGTGGAAAACAGCAGAAGAAGTTGCTGCCCTTGTAAGGTCTTTGCCTGTGGAAGAACAACCAAAGCAAATCATTGTCACTCGTAAAGGAATGTTGGACCCCTTGGAGGTTCACCTGCTGGATTTCCCTAACATTGTTATTAAAGGAAGTGAGCTGCAACTTCCTTTCCAGGCATGTTTGAAAATTGAAAAATTCGGGGATCTTATTTTGAAGGCCACAGAACCCCAAATGGTTTTGTTCAACATCTATGATGACTGGCTGAAGAGTATATCTTCATACACTGCATTCTCTAGGCTGATTCTGATTCTGCGTGCACTTCATGTGAATAATGAAAAGGCAAAGATGTTACTGAAGCCTGATAAAACTATCATCACCGAACCTCATCACATCTGGCCTTCTCTAAGTGATGACCAGTGGATGAAGGTAGTTTTAACTTCTAGACTCTTAGTGCTAAATAACCTTTTATATTGAATATTATTTGTTGATAAAGTTATATGCACTTCTGATTCTGCAGCTTTCTATTTCCTCTTGGTATTTATAGCTTTAAACTTGATGCATTGACAGGTAGAGGTTGCATTAAGAGATCTTATACTTTCAGATTATGCCAAGAAAAATAATGTGAATACTTCAGCCTTGACTCAATCTGAGATCCGTGATATTATACTAGGGGCGGAGATTACTCCACCTTCTCAACAGCGACAACAAATTGCAGAGATTGAGAAACAGGTCATATTATAATTGTTGCTTCTTGGATAATAACCGAGGACTATATTCCTCTTCTGTTTGTTCTTTTTCATTGCATAAACTTTATTTTCTCCTCACCTTGTTGTTGAACTACTTGCTTACCTTAGTTCTTCATTTATTATTGTGCAGGCGCATGAAGCAAATCAGGTGACAGCCGTAACAACAAAGACTACAAATGTTCATGGTGAAGAACTCATAGTAACCACGACTAGTCCTTATGAGCAAGCTGCTTTTGGTTCCAAGACTGACTGGCGTGTCAGGGCAATATCCGCCACAAATTTATATCTTCGTGTGAACCATATATATGTGAACTCTGAGGATATAAAGGTTTGTGCTTGTTTTACATCTTTTTTGTCAATTGTGTTACAATTCCTGTCCAATTCTAAATATCAGCTTTTGTGTTGCAGGAAACTGGATACACCTATATTATGCCAAAGAACATTTTGAAAAAGTTTATATGCATAGCAGATCTTCGAACGCAAATTTCTGGTTACATGTATGGCATAAGTCCTCCAGACAATCCTCAAGTTAAAGAAATTCGTTGTATTGTGATGCCACCACAATGGGGGACTCATCAACAAGTTCATCTGCCATCAGCTCTTCCGGAGCATGATTTCTTAAATGATTTAGAGCCTTTGGGATGGATGCATACGCAACCAAATGAACTTCCTCAGTTGTCGCCTCAGGTTTTGCTTTCTTCAATTTTACAATTTTATTTTGTTTTAATTCGATTAAAAGACAGTGTGGTTTTAATTCTCCTTTTGGAATATAGGAACGAGTTTTGAAAGGATGATGATATAATCTATGAAACAATTGCCCCTCCCCTATCTTTCACTTATCAGGGAAATGTATTTATGTTTCATGGTAGCATTATCTCACCTGAGAAATGATCATTGCAGGATCTCACTTCACATGCCAAGATCTTAGAGAACAATAAGCAATGGGATGGGGAGAAATGTATTATCTTGACTTGCAGCTTTACTCCTGGTTCATGTTCTTTAACTGCATATAAGCTCACTCCATCTGGTTATGAATGGGGGCGTGTCAACAAGGATACGGGAAGCAATCCCCATGGTTACCTTCCCACTCATTATGAAAAAGTTCAGATGCTTCTTAGTGATCGTTTCCTTGGTTTCTACATGGTGAGCTTCCTGCCTGCTCAAAGTTATCTAGTTTGGGTGTGATGTGTTATATAATTACGTTGCTTCATTATTTTATAAGATGATTATATTTTGTTTAATTAAAATTATGATTATTGTAATCTTGTTTTACTGATTATCTTTTTATATTTTGCTAAAATTTGTAGGTTCCTGATAATGGTCCATGGAATTATAACTTCATGGGAGTGAGGCACGCGTCGGGGATGAAATATGGAGTGAAACTCGGGACTCCAAGAGAGTATTACCACGAGGACCATAGACCAACTCATTTCTTAGAGTTCAGCAATATGGAGGAAGTGGAGACAATTGCCGAGGGAGATCGAGAGGATACATTCTCTTGAGATAATTTTTTTTTGTTTTAGATATACAAGTGGCGGATCTTTTAGTTTCTAAAACATGTGAGAATATGTTGTATTATCTAGTGTTTGTTCATCCTACTGATCCTAGGGGTTTTGTAATAACGGTGTTATACCTTTGTAAATAATTAACAAAGCCACAATTCTACGTTACATTTATCTACTTTGGCATTTGTATGGCGCCGAGTATTTTTCCAAACAAAAGCAACTACATTAATTGCCCAAGTTCCTGGTTTTAAACATCTATTATGTTGGGGGGTAGGTGTTAAGCGCGTCCGCACGCTAAATTTATTTGAAGAACAATGTTACAAGGATCAAAATTCTCTAATATAACAAGTTTATTATCTTTGTTTTGATGCTCTATCTTTTTTAACTATGTTATGAACAAATATATATATATATATATATATATATATATATATATATATATATATATATATACATATTTTTTTAAACTAGAATAAGAACTTTGGCAATCTGACACTAAGTAAATAAATAGATATGAACGCGATGATCAAAATACTTCGAGAGGTTAACCTAAAAGTGACAATGAGTAATTCTAATCGTCCTATTAAGAATAAGAGAAATCTTACTCTTATATTGCTTAATCCGAGTCGTACAAAATTCTGACATCACTTAGAGACATTCTTGGTTCGATAAGTTTGGTCGAATTGTAATACAACTAGTTCCAATCAGAACGAAGTGTTATCCCTCAAAAAAACCGAGGTGATAAACATCGACCGAATGAAAAAAAAAGTATAGAGTAATTTATATATTTATGCTTCTACATTTAAATAAAAATAATAAATGTTTTTAATTTATTGAACTTTCCAGATCTCTATATGTAACGTGGCCGTGATTTTCCCTTACTTTTGCTTATAGCGGAAGATTTTTTCTTTTGAGGATGACTATTACAACCTAGACGACGGCTCTGCACATTTACCCTCACGAAAAGAAAGTATTTCCAAACAAAAAGTTACAATTTTTGAAAACTTCACAATGTGTATTTAACAACAAATTCCTAGTTTCAGACTTTTCACCAACTCTGCATGCTTCATTCATAGCTACCCACTTTCTGAGTGTGGGAAGGAGAAACATGCAGGCCCCTCTCTCTAATAAATAGGTGCCCAACCCAGTCTTTCCCTGCACAAGTAATAAAAGTAGTAATACAAACAAACAAAAAAACAATCCTGCAGATTCACAATCTGTATTCAGCACATCAAATTAAGTTCTATCTCTTTGGAATAGTTCATGGATCAGTTTTCTCTTCCAACTCAGGTTTTGATTCTTTCTCTTCTGAGATGAAATCTGAACTACCTTCAGCTGCTAAGGTTCCATCATCAGTATGTCCTACAGCTGGAGGATTTTTAAAGAGTTCATTGTTTTCCAGGTGAACTAACTTATCCTTGGATTCTCCCTTCAGTAGTTCTACCACCTCAAGTATGGTGGGCCTCTTCTCTGGCTGACTCTGAGCACATAATAGAGCAATTAAAACAACTCTTTTAAGCTCTTCCTCCACATAGTTACCCTCTAGTTTTGGATCTGCTAGCTCACTAAACTTCTTCTCACAAGCCAATGGCAGGGCCCAATCATTTATAGATCGCTTTACTGTAGAACTAAGTTTTTCAAGTGGTTTTTTGCCACTAGCAAGTTCTAGAAGGAGAACTCCGAAACTGTAGACATCACAACTCTCATTTGCTTTACCTAGCATAGCATATTCAGGTGCAAGGTAACCTAGGGTGCCCTTAACTCTTGTAGTCACATGAGTTGCCCCATCAGGTATCAACTTGGCGAAACCAAAATCAGCAACCCGTGCCTGGAAATCTGAATCCAACAACACATTGCTTGCCTTGATATCTCTGTGGATGATGTGTGGTGTTGACTGGTGGTGAAGATATCTGAAAGAAAATCAAATTATAGCATTAATATAATGATAGTGGTGGAAGAACATAAGGAAAGCCATGTCGGCCCTTACGCAATTCCCTCGGCAGACCCAATTGCGATGTTCATCCGTCGGTTCCAATCAAGAAGGGATTCTGCTGAGTGCTGTCCATGAAGATGAGAGAGAAGGCTCAAATTCGGCATATAATCATATACAATTAACCGTTCCTGACCTTCAGCACAATAGCCTCGTAGACTGAGAAGATTCTTGTGTCGTACTCTAGCCAATATCTCGACTTCAACAGCAAATTCCATGTCTGCTTTGTTGCTCCAAACTTTCAATCTTTTCACTGCAATCTGAATGTCTCCACACATCAACATACATAGAATTGCAAGCAGTCATCATAAAAAAGTTGTTGGAAAAAGGAAACAGGTTACGAAGTCAGCCATCAGCAAAATTTACAAAAGGTTTGTTTCAGTCACCAGCTAAATGCTTTTTATCAGAGGTTTTTGCAGTTTTTAATGTTTTGATATTCTGTTTCATAAAATGCATTATAGGTCAAATCTAATCTTACAAATCAAAAGATATATCCATTGAGAAACAGAAATCATACTTGTTCACTTCTCCCAGATTTAAGCAATAATCATCAAAATTCAACAACAGAAGCAACAATGAAATTAACGACGGCAGCCAAATTTTTACATTCACTTAACAAATTTTTTTATAAAAAACTTTTGTACTTGCAATGAATTTCTGCAACAAAAAAGGAAAATCCAGTGTAGATGCCAAATGTTGGTTATTTTTCCAATCTATTCCTAGTTTGATTGAGAGAAGAAAACTTCCGTACAAATTCCTCATAATCCGATCCCTCTGTGTTACATGATAAAACCATCTTCACTAAGAGTCATTTAAATTTAAGAAAGCCAAATGATATTTCTTTCTGAGATCTTTCAACCTGTAAAATCAGATCTCATATGCCACAAGCATATCAACTGACCATAATATTTGGAGACACACTATTGTGTTAAACTAACAAAATTAACCATTACAAAGAAAACAACAATAATAATCATCAATTGTGATCAAGAATCATCATAACCCGCAGCTGATTTGGTAAGATGAAACAGAATTAAAGAAAGTAAAGTCCTACTTGCGATCCATCCCAAAGCTGGCCCCAGTAAACACTGCCAAATCCCCCTTCACCTAGCTTGTTATCGTAATTGAAATTGTTTGTAGCCGAATGCAATTCCTTCAAAGAAAACACCCGCCATGGAGGTTGTTTCTTCCCTCGTCCTTTGCTGCATTGAAAGAGACTAATATCAACCATCCTTTCAAAAAACCATAACTCACAAAAGTTTCAATCTAAAACCTTAAGTCAAAAACTCTAGAGGTGTGGAATCAATAAAATAAGCCCCTTGGTATACTCATAATATCGATTACCCTTGCATGTTATGTTAACTAAGTGATAAGGAACTCAATCTAACAATATTCCCCTCTTTATTTTCCCTTTGACATTTTACCAAAACCAACGACCTTTAGTAGTTTTGCTGCACAGAGCAGCTTCAGTTATACCCATAATCTGAGCTAAACAAAAATCTAAATCCCTATCTATAAATATTTTCCGTACAAAAAAAAAAAAAAAAAACTGAAAGTGATTGGAGTGAGAAAAGTGTCCTATCTGATAAAATCATTACAAACTGTAGACTAATGTCTTACCGATCCGAACCATTTCCGCAACAAAAGATTGGGCAAAAAGCCATAACCTTCGCACAAAGTACCCCACTGTCTCTGGAACTGAGCCCTCTCAATCGAACCAGAGAAAAATGAACAAAATCGAAACTTGAAGTTGACCCACCAAAGCAAATCAAGCGCTCCACTCAGAAAGCCGTTATTTTGTGATATTGTGTCACTGGCCACACCCACGTTGGAGAGAAACTGAAGACAAGTTGTTTTTTCCTGGGATGTTTCTGCAAACGAAGTGAATCCGAAAAGAAAAGAAAAGAAAAAGAGAAAGAAAAGGGGGAGTAATCGGTTATTATTGTTTGCTCGATGAGACGGTGTTGGTGTGTAAGCCAAGTCTTCTTTTTTTCTTCCAGCTGTTTGCACATTTCAAAACAGAACAAACACGCACGTGGGGTCCATTTTTCTTTTTCTTTATAAAAAAAATTGATGTATAAATGTTAAATAAAAAATATTTAAAATAATTTGAATTCACGTATAAACATTATATGGATATAACAACTTGCATGGAAATGTATTAATCTTTAAATAACCGTAATATATATTTTCAATACAGAAGAATTAAAATTTTACAAAAAATATAATTATTTAAATTATAAGAATGAATACACGCATCATAGTCAAAACAATTAATATGTAATTGTATTAGTAAATAGTAAATATTGTAGTCCAACATTGCAATTATTTGACCTTTTTTCTCAATCATTCTTAAATTATGTGTATAGTATAATTAGTTTAAATCAATAAACATTTACACGATTTCATCATATATGAAAAAGTTTACATGAAATTGTATTGGTATCTGAATAATAAGACATATATTCAGTCTAAATGAGTCGTTGTATGATTTAATTAATAATATTTGGTTTAAATGATTTGATGTTTGATGTAATTAATAAAACTTATATTATCAATTAAAGTTCTTTAAATTTATTCAAATACATAATATATTTTAATTAAAAATCATTTATATTCAATTTTTATTTGCATGAAACATTTTAAATAAATTATAAGAATGAAAAAATGTAATAGAAATAAATTGTTGAAAAGTAAATATGCAAGAAAAATAAACGATAAAGAAGAATATATCTAATTTATTATTAAATATAAAACAAATATAAAACAAAAATTAATAAAATTGGCTATTAAAAGATTATTATTTTGTGTATGTAGTGTTTTTTAAATATAAGTTACTTTGATAATTATTTATGATTATATTATATATATATATATATATATATATATATAACTGTTAAAAATAAAATAATAATAATAATAATATAAAATAAAACTATTGATTATAATTTTTGATTATTTTTTTTCTTTGTTTTATAAGTGTTATTTGTAACTGTACATACCAATTCTGGAATTTGATTGTAATTGTTTTTACAAATTTCTCAATATATTACTTGAATATTCTTCAACATAATGTTCTTCTTAATATTTTATTTCTTGGACTCATTGTGCTATCGTGCTTTAATGTTCCTCTCTTTAATTATTGATAGTTGATATTTTGACTCCCTTGATCTTTCTCAAATTTTCATCTTTGAATGCATTATACAAAAGATTTTTCTACCTTTATAATATACCGATTATTACATTTATTCTTTATAATAATTAGATATTTTTTTCTTAATTCAGTATTTGTAATGTTTAAACTTAACAATAATATAATTAATTTAAATCGATAAACATTTACACGATTTCATCGTATATGAAAATGTTTACATGGAATTGTATTGGTATGTAAATAATAAGACATATTTTTGCATTATAAATTAAAAAAAATTGTATAGATAATCACTGAAATAAAAAAAAAAAATCCTACAATGTCTCATATGTTTTATATTTAAATTTATTTGAATATTTATTTTTCATATATATTTTTCCGTATAAAATAAGGAGATCAACTTCTATACGCGCAACATATTAAAACTATTCACAAAATTATACATAAATTTTTTATTAATTAATTTATGTATAATTATTTTTAATTTGTAAAAAAATGGTTTTTTTAATTACTTTATGTAAAAGTTATTTAAATATAATTTTATCTTTTTTAATATGAAGTATGTCTTGGTTATGAAAAAAACATTGATAGTAAATTTCCTTTTAAAAGATGTTTGACAAGATTAATGGATTAAGTTACGTAAATTGTGTAGTCTTATAAAATTTAATTATAAGATGAAATATATTATAATTTAACTAAAGATAATATGATATATTTTCAACAATGCAAAATATTGCTTGAATTCCACACTTTCTTCTATCTTTTTCAATGAATGAATGTGATTTATTGATGGAATAATAACCTCTTCAATCAATCAATCAGCGTAATCATGATTGATAACTTTTACTTCATAAAAATCATTGATAAATGTATATATAAAAATCATTTATTTTATTATATCATAACATTGTAAAAAGATGGGGAATCCCATCAGTAATATTATAATGAGTTTTTTTATTTATTTTTTTCATAACTGTATAAGTGAAGTTGACCATGCATCTAATTTATATTCTCAATATATTAAGTTTATATATTTTCTTTTTCACACATATTTTCTCATAAGAAAATGATTGTCGGTGTTTAAAGAAGTGTTGTACACTATGTACAAATACAAGTTGCGATGTTATGAGAGATTAATTTCTTTTATTAAATCTAATACTTGCTAATTTATATAAGTTTTTTTTTCTTACTTATATATGTAACAAATCACAAATTATATAAACATCAAATACATAGATATATTCTTCCTATTTATACGTTTTTAAACTTGTACTTATTATCATAAATTTCTAATTATTATATTTAATGGCGGTTAAAAAAATATATATAGCAACAGTTTTACAGTATTATAGATGACAATTATATAATCCATTACTTAAGATAGATTTAATATAAAATCCGATAAATATATCTCAATAAATATATCTCAATAAATTTATGATATTTTAATCTAAACAATAGATTTATCAATCAATTTATTTTATAAAATAATATTTATTTTTAAATAAATAAAATATTTTATTAAAAAAATTATTATAAATTAGTTTAATAAAAAAATAATTTATTCTAAAAATAAATATTTAAATAAATCTCTAATAATAATGATTAAAATTAATTATTATTTTAAATTAATAAATTACTAAAAATTAAATGATAATAATAAATGTAACTTTTATTTAAATATTAAATAAATTCATCCTTTTATAATTTATATATTAAATTATTATATCTTAATAAATTAATTTTATTAATATAATTTAAATTTAAAAATATATTTTTTATTTTTATTAAAATATTTGTTTTAATTATTTTTTATAGATAGTTAATAATTTTTTAAAATTCTTAAGACAAAATTTATCTATTAATTCATTTATTTAATATAAAATGAAGTTAGATTATATTTTATTTTAAAATATAAATCAATCTAAATAGAATCAAAATAAAATCAAATAGTCTATTTTAGCAACTCCAACGAATAAATTATAAACATAACCTAAGGTATTTTACTCCACCTCAATAGTTTTCCCAAGGGTTTTTAAGTTCAATTTTATGAACCTATTTTTACAAAAATAATGGTTTAACAATCAATTATTGGTTACTTGTAAAGGATGATTTTCACAAAATAACCTTGTCACCAATGTTTTGTCATTGATATTTATTTAATATTAAATTTCAGTAGTTGGAGAGTTGGACATCAGTGTTTGGTAAAGTGAAATGATACTAATTTTTTTGTTTTGCACTTTGGTTTATATGAGTAAGCAAAAAGACACCAATGTTTTGGCTGCTATAACTTGTCACACTGCTTGCTGGAGAATAAAAAGATTAATAATATAATCAAACTTAGAAAAAAATGGTCGTGATTAATTTCTATGTAAGATGCAATTTTGTTTTTAATTTAAAAAACTTAATAATATATCAGATTGAATTTCAAAATAATATTTTGAGTGTTTAATTTTCTGGTTGTTCGTATCAAATTTAGGTGTAGTGCGTCAAATTTATTTAGGATTTTGATCTTAAAACTAAAAAGCTAGTTGGAAGTTGGGAGAAGTTCAGTGATTGCCGCTAGATGATAATTGCGAAGTGTTAAACAAATTTTGTTTACCAAATATTAATAATAAGTATATATTCATGAACCTCAGTTCAAAGAAAGTTTATATATAATTTCATCTTTTAATAAATGTTTTTTAAGAACATAATTATCACGAACGAGAGTTTCAAATAGAATCATTTTTACCATAACAAAATTATATTATATTTTTTTTACTTATTTATTTATTTATTTCTTTTATTTAATTATGTTTTTTTTAATGTGTTATTTTAATTCCTTTTATCTCTTTCTAGAATTTATTAGACAACTTCAATTAACATTTAATATCATATTCTAATTCTGGTAGCAACTTTACCACATTTATTTATTCACAGACACATTTCGTTGGAAAATATGTCTTATACTATCTTTTAGCTTTATTAGTAATAAATTGTATTTTTTTTTAAAACATATATATTTTACTAAAAAACATATAAAAAACATATATACTATTCTTTCTTGTAAAGGTTTTTTTTTTTAATATTTCTCACAATAAAAATTAAAACATTATAAGAAAGTTAATTTGAATCCTATATGTTAATATTCTTATATTCAATTGGTTAATTATATCTGTATAATATAATATGATTTTCTAATTAGGTAGGGCTATCATCATTCAATGATTGATGTCCTAATGAGTTGTCCTACAATTCTTTAAATTAATTGCCTTCAACCCTCCCACACTCCCACGTAAAACTAATTAATAATGTTACAATCAACACTACCAAATATTTATATGACCAAAACCTTCAAAAAATGATTTCATTTTCTAAACTGTTATTAGATGATGGATGAGTGAATTGATCATGTTATCTCATCTTCTACATCAGCCTGAACCCTAAACCCCTAATAAAAATAATTTCTTGTTTCATCACACTGGACTAAAAGCAAATAAAACAATGCTACTTAACACATCATAATACTCATTCATTACCCCCACCAACTTCTTCATGTGCACCCACAAGATGGGTACAAAAACATTGTTTTAAGCATATACATCAACTTTGCTTAATATTCTAAAATACTCATAACTTCATTAAACTAAACTATATTGGGTTTATGTCCTCTTTATTAATCAACATGAAACTAACACTAGAGACAAGAAAAACCAACATTGAATTCCTTGTTTGGTAACAGTGAGAGATTCTTTTGGTATCAACCTGAAGATATGTATATATGAATAATTACAAGAAAACTATAGGAAAGAGTAGAAAAGCAAGAGATGGGAGTGACGATGTAAGTGGTTTGACAGCATGTGACGTGATATGTGTTGTGGTTGGGAGTGACATGTTGTGTTGGGTGGCTGAAGAAAGATGTTGCACTGTCCGAACCAACCCTGGAGTGGAAGAATCTGTGTCACACATAGTGATACCTAAATGGAAGGTGGAGTCCATGGTATCTCCCAAACCACTGCGTGCATCATAACAAAGCCCTGAATTATGGTTCAGCATCAGTTTCCTCTTCATCCTCCAAACCATTTCTCTCTGAAATGGCACCAACCCACTAAGCTCATTATCATTCAGCCTCAGTTCACTCAGGTTTCTCAAATCCGCAAAACTCTTCGGAATTGACCCATTCAAGTGGTTCCCATCAAGATGAAGCACGCGGAGGTTTTGCAACTTCCCCAGTGATTCAGGCACCGCCCCATGCAAATTCATATTCGACAAGATAACAATCATTAGGGCCTTCATACCATCGAACCCATCACTGGGTATTGTACTGGAGCCCATTGGGTTTCCTTTTAGGATCAAAGCCTGAAGCGAACTCAGGCTTTTGATTGACACCGGAAATGGGCCCTGGATACGGTTGTAGCTCAAATCCAAAAGCACAAGGTCTTTCAGGACCATGGGCTTATCCGGCAACGGGCCCACCAGCCGGTTGCGGCTGAAATCCAATTTGATTAGAGAATGGCAGTCCCAAAGAGTAGAAGGGATTGAGCCCATGAGAAGATTCTGGCTGAGGTCCAACACGTTCAAAGAGGGAAAGGTGAAGCCGGGTATGGAACCGGTTAATTTGTTGGTACTCAAATCCAAAGACCTTAAACCGGTCATCCGGCCCAATGAAAGGGGTATAGAGCCGTTGAGGTTGTTTTTGTGAAGGTCAAGGACCTTCAAACGCGTAAGGTTGCCCAATTCCATAGGAATGGGCCCAACGTGGCCGTTTTCTCTGAGGACCAAGGTTTGCAAGGTTGGGCCTAAAAGGCCCAAAAATGATGGGATTGGCTGAGGGTTGTAACTGAAACAACGGTAAAAGAACAAGGTCTTGAGGTGGGGGAGGTGTGTGATGGAGGGTGAGATAACGGAGCGAGTCGGGTCGCACGTCGGAAAAGCGGTATCATCGGAGAGTGCTCCGAACGAAAGGGATACCACGTGGAAAACATTGTCCTTGTCGGGCATGCACTCGATGCCGTGCCAGCGACCGCGGCACACGTCGAGGATATCGGTGGCCCAATCGTTTCCGGTGGCTCTCATAATGTCGTAGACCGCCTCTTGCTCTCGCTTATCCGTTCGGGCACCGTCTTGGTTCATGGAAAACCCCGTTTGTGGACCATCTACTAGGGTTGACGGCACGCCGGAATCTGACATGATCACCGTGAACGCCGTTACATCATGCGGCAACAACAACGCGCAACATAGTACTTGTAGGAGTAGAAGAAGACAAGGACTCATTTTTTATCGTATGTGTGACGATGATATTGGAATTGATGTTTTTTGGGTTGGTTTTTTATAGAGGGTGGATCCATATTAATGAATGGGGGCGAGTGTGAGGAGGAGTTATGTTTTTAACTAATAAAAATGCGAAGTTGGTGATGTGCGTGGAGTGGAGTAATGTATACTCACGAGAAAGGACGTTAGTGTTATAAATGGTGTAGGGGCTGAAGAATTTGAGCATTTATGTGGTTCACGAGATTTACACCCTTGCCTTGTACCAGAGACATCTAACGGCTTTTAACGTTGTCCCAATCTGTTCATTTCATGGCATGTGGTTTTTAATTCAGCTTCACTTCATTTAGTCACTTAAGACATCTTGCGGATCCAACTTTGTATGTTAGATAAATGTGAGGAAATAGGTGTGTCACCAGTTCAAGGGATATTTATGGTTCTTCTCTAACTTTGGCACAATACCCTTTTGCATGATTGGGAGGAACATAAGGATAGCATATATGTTTTTATCCCTTAATTCATTATCCAAAAGAAATGATAAAAAAAGCTGAGTATAAACTGATTTAATAAAGCTACCTTTATAATGAAATAACAAAAAATTAAACTTTACACCGACGTAAAACGTAGTGCACTGAAAAGCCTATATGGTACGTGTTGCGTAAGTACACAGAAACTCAATAAAGGTGTCACCTTACGCGGGCATTTTCTGAAGTATACAATCACAGATGGCAAGAGCATAACGTGCATGCGCAATATTACGAATCTCACAGCACCACACGTATACTAACACAAAAAATATTGAATTTGAGCAACAACTTCATATATATATATATATATATATATACATATATATATATATATATACATACATATATATATATACATACATATATATATATATATATATATATATATATATATATACATATATATCCAAACTACTGATTTTGAAAATTTGCTTAAACTCCAATCTTTAATGCTTGCTCTATATTTTCCCTTCAGTAATAATCTTTGCACTAAGAAGAATTTGTTAGTTTTTTGTGACCGAAGGAGAATCGGAACTATGCAGGAGATGAAACAAGCGAAACGCGGTGGTGGAGCCACCATGCAACAAAGTGAAAGTGTGAGAATACAGGGGAAGAAGGTGATGGACATGATGGTGGACAAGAAGCGGCTAGTGGAGGTGCCGTACACGGCGTCGCTGGCCCAAACAATGAGTACTCTGGTGGCGAACAAGATTGTGGCGGTGCCGGTGGCTGCGCCACCGGGGCAGTGGATCGGAGCCGGAGGGTCCATGATCGTAGAGTCTGATAAGCAAACCGGTGCCGTAAGGAAACATTACATAGGGATGGTGACTATGCTTGATATTGTGGCCCACATCGCTGGTGAAGACCACTTGAGTGGTGGTGATAATATCACAGAAGACCTTGCTGAGAGGATGTCTGACCCTGTTTCCTCTATCATTGGTAACTCCTTTGAAGGCCTTAGCTTGTGGACTCTCAATCCTAACACCAGGTTAATTATCACTTGCCAACCTTTCTTTTATTATCACCAGCAACTCCAAAACTCCTTAGGTTAACTTCCTTGTGTTGGTAAACATTTTTATAATTTTAATTGATTACAAATCACATGATTTTCAACTGTCTTATCTTACACATCAGTTTATGATTGAATGTGATCAGTACGAAACTTAATTGGAAATTACAAAACTATTACCTTTACAGTGTAAAGATACTAAACTTTTTATCATAACAAAAACAAATGTGTTCTTTTAATAGCATTTGGTTTTGGATTTGATCAGTAGTGATGAGTTTAATTGTTTTAGTTATTCCTGTATCATGGGTTAGTCTGTTAGATTGTATGGAAGTGTTCAGCAAAGGGGTGCATCGGGCTATGGTACCGGTTGATGGCCTGGAAGAGAACGTGTCATCTGGGGTGGAACTTACAGAGTCTGCTTCCAGCTACCAAATGCTCACTCAGATGGATATGCTTAGGTTCTTGCATGGTCATGCAGGAGAACTGCACAGCATTCTCTCACGTTCTGTTCAAGATTTGGGGGCTGACACTGTACAGATTTATGCCATCACTGACCGCACAAAACTTGTTCATGCCATAAAGTGCTTAAAGGCCGCAATGTTAAACGCTGTTCCTATTGTTAGAGCCACTGACGTTGGTCAAGATGATCACAAACAGCTTATAAATGCAAGTTTAATTACTTCTCTCCGTGCCCCTTTCATGTTATTATTATTTTTAATATTGCTGTCTTGGAAAATGACAGAAAAATGAAATTGAATGTTGTTCATAATTTTGGAGTCACGTTTTGCAGGGCAGATGCAGGAAGCTTATTGGTACATTTTCTGCAACTGATTTAAGGGGATGCCACATAAGCTCGCTGAAATCATGGTTGGGAATAAGTGCACTAGCCTTCACTGAAGAAGTTGAATCCAGTCCTTTGTACACTGACTCAGACATGCAGAATAGAGCCTCCTCTAGAAGGGAGCTTGTGGCTTGCTACGCCGAATCACCTTTGTCAGAGGTAATTGAAAAGGCAGTGACTAGTCATGTTCATCGAGTTTGGGTGGTGGACCAAGAGGGTTTACTGATGGGGGTTGTGTCCCTTACTGATGTAATTAGAGTTATAAGGCATTCCCTGCTATCAGATTCAAATAATCGGTGACTTGTCACACTTTTGCTCCAAAGTTGGAGCATTGCTTATAATCAAAGCTCTGTCATGAGAACTGAGTAATTTGGAAAACTATAAACGTAGGTCTGCTGCAACTTACAATTAAAACATGTACAAATGTTACCCTAATGAGATATCTATATATAATATATATACTGGCATACAATACAGGGTGCTGCTACTCCTCAGACTTATAATTGAGGTAATTGCAATTTCCATCTTTTATAGTGTAACATCTTGTTAATGAAAAACATTTTGAGAAAATTCCTGGCTGCATAAGAAATAACGATTTTGCTACAAATAGAAAGTCATCGACTCATAATATGCTTTACTTAGTGAAACTAAATTTGATTGAAGTTCAGACAATATCATGCAAAACTTCAAGGTGTGGTTCATGCATATGTTCATCATGTCATATGAAACTGTGATTATGTTAATGGGATGAGAAATTGAATATCGTTGAGATGAAACTAATATTCAGAAGGGGAGAATGCTCATGCAAAAATCACAGGAGAAAAAGTCCTTTCAGTTTGCTCAATATATACTGTGTAGCAATGACAAATTTGGATTCAATCCAGTGACTCACTCACTCTGATACTCAGCTTGTGAAATGGAATAAGTTTTACGACAAGAATTTCATTTTGTATAACTCTCATCGGAGAATTATCATAGAACATTGACCTTGAAATGGTTCAATTAAAGTACATCTCATAATAAGGTTTAGAAGTTGTTGCTAAATTGGATCAAATGAAGGGTAATATAGCAAAGTGTTACAAATTATATGAAGGGCTAGTTAGCAAAGAGGCGCGTATTAAATTAAGACAATTAATCTTTAAATAAATTAAAAGTATACAATTATTTTAAATATACATAAATTTACAATAAATTATAATTTTTAGGTAAAATATAAATATTATAAATAAGGTTAAATTAATAAAGAAAAGTATTGAGCGGAAAAATTATATATATATATATATATATATATATATATATATATATACTTATTTGCATTAAATAATGAATGTATTATTTAGTTAATTTATGCGAAAAAAATATAATTATCTTGATTTTAAATATTTTTTATTATCTTAATTGTATCAATTAATTTTTTTAATATTCAAATAACGAGATAAAAATAAATGGAACATTTTTTTCAGAAACTAAAAAAATTAAACTTATATTTAGTGTATAATGGTTTGATGGAATTATTGAGTTACTAATTAGTATATTAAATAAAACTCAATTCAACGTATAAAAAGATTGAATTAGGTTAGGAGAGTTTACAACTAGCTGAAATTGTAGAATTTAATTCTGACAATCTTTTGCAATCTTATGATAATAATTTTCAATGATCAAAATCATAAAAAAGATTGAGATTCATTGAGGCTTAAATATCAGAGAATTATGGAAACATTAGGAAGAAGTACATAAATGAACACGCGCCAGAGGGTCTGAATGAAGCAACATGTTCTTCTTGGAAAGACCAAACGGAAAGGGAAGAAAAGGGAGTGGGTATCCATTTATCTATGTGACAATGGAAAAGATAAACAACAACAGAACAGCATGCATGTAGTTAAGAAAAAAACTTAGAAGACAACAACCTCGAGCTTTGAGACCACCTTACCTTTTTTTTCATTATTTTTGAGACCGGGTTCTTTGGTCTGAGAGTGTCATCAGACTAACAACAAGACTATCGGTATGATAACATAGTGAATTTTCGTTATGATAACATAGTAAGTTTCTACATCTGCTTTAGAATTCTCTTCTTTATCCTTAAAATTCATCGAATAATCGTTATGGTAACATAGTCAATTCCTGCATCTGTTTTAGAATTCTCTTCTTTATCCTTGAAAATCATCTAAGTGGATTAAGAGAAGAGATCACGAGTGCGGAACACATCTGTTTTTTAACTTGGAGTGGAGCTCCTGAACAGAAACTCATTTAGCATTTCGAAGCCATAAAGGAAATGAAACAAAAATCATATGAAGACAGGCAAAAGGCATATATTGGTTGTTGCAATAATGGTCACTGTAAATAAGCACGGGAGAGCAAAAAGTTAGCACGATTATGAAGTCTATGAACTAAGGTTAACTATTGTTTATCATTTTAATATAACATCTGCTACAAAAGCCTCAAAAGTAGTACTATTCCCTAACAAAAAAATTCAAGTTTTTTTTGTTATCTATCATTCTGCTTACGTCAAACCGAAGCATGCTTCCAACTATGTGTATAACGCAGAAATTCCCCCATTTTGTATATTTGTATGCACAGTTATATAGTTGTCATAATTGCAAAAATTATGAATAGAAACACACAAATATTATCATGAGATAACCATGTAACCTATAATTAACGAAATTTGTAATTATGAAATGGAAAAAAAATCATCAGTAACGATGTATATGAGCTTAATTATTAGCTCTATGATCTAAGACAAACAACATTACATAAAGACTTTATTGGGAAATTAAGTAGTACTACTTTGCTTACGTCAGTAGGGTATGAATGAACAAAGTATGCTTTTCAAGCAGGGATTTCGAGGAATCTATAATTAATTCAAATCAACATGCATGATTCTGAGTATATAGCACTATGAAACCAAGTTAAAGTAGACGTTAATCCATGCCGAAGTTTGGTAGTAGTAATTTGCATTCATACTGTACGGTTATTAAAGTTCATATTTAACATCTGCATGTGTGAGATAAAAAAGGTTCTCATGAAAAGTATGCAATGCATTCCACTCGTGGTTCACCTTTTAGCTCAAAATTACTGAACTGCTAAACAGAAAGCGATAGAACAACAATCCTGCTACAATTTTAATCACAAATTCTCTAATTCATGAATTAATATATTGTAGAAGGCTGTTCATTACTTTCTTTTACCATACATAGTATCTTTAAGTAAAGTTTAAATTGGATCATGTTATTAGTAGTTTCCACTTTCTCTTATTTTACTTCTCTTGTGAATCCATTTCAACATAAGGATATGCATGCTTGATACACACTAGTAGTGATGGGAATTGGATGATAAAATAATAAGAGCATAACCTATAATTTTGTGCTTGATTCCCCGGCGTGTGAAGTGGGTGTCAGAAGATGGAGTGTAGTTTGGTGTTAAGGCCATGATGAGTAGAAAACTCTACCTATTAATGCATGCTGTGTCTGCTATGTATGCACTGTATTGTAAGGCACATTCAGTTTCCCTCTCGTTCATAATATAAGTTGCACAAACAGACAAAGTTCCCATCTTCTCTTATTCTGCTGCATGCCAACCTTGCCAGAACTTTTCACTACACTTCACAGTTCAAACTATATTCCAATTCACTCTTCTTTAATCAGACAAATACTAATCATAGTCTTTTTGAGGTTTGATTAAGAAATTCAAATTCATTAACACTTTTTAAATACTGTGAATAATATTGAGGAGCAGATATAGAAGGTAGGTGGTGTGTACAGTGACACTAATAAGAATGAAGTTAGCAGGTGCAGGGTGCAGGTGCAGGAAGTTGTCGGGTGAATGGAGCATTTTGGTGGGAAGATGTGAAGTGAGGAGGGAGGGGAACAGAAGGAGAAAAAATGCAATGAAGTGTAACACTGCCAACACCACCGCGCCTGGGGCAATGGCCTTGGCATGGTAGGGTAGATACCCCACATTCACCTCGATTACTCCCACTCAACTCCATGCCTTCCTTCCTTTCTATTTTTTAATTAACACCCACACCCCAAAAACTCACTCTCACTCAACTTAACTAATGCATAGGACTATTAAAACTAGTTTTAAATAACTTCATCAGAGTCATCAAATTAACTTATTTTATTATACATGTTAAACACCCCAAGTGTATATATTTGACTATTTATTTTATCTTTATTTTTATTTCTCATATATAACATGTTACTGTATAAGAGGGTATTGCAAAAAAATAGTGTATAAAATAAAACTAGGAAAAATGCTTCATTTTTTTTTCCTGTCCACTTATTGAACGAAAATTTATGTATAAATTTACAACTTCAAGACAATATACTCTTATACTAATTATCTTCTTGATTTTGCCCTTAATATTTTTTTTTTAAATAATGCAGATGGTTAAAGATGTTTTTTAAGAAATTAGAAATCACATTTGATATGTATTGATTTCTTAACCAATATTCTGATCATAATATACTAATGAGAAACAACTTTTCACAATTTATTGATGATGATTATTTAGAAGCAAGAGTTATAAATTTGTGGTACGAGGCTGTTTGTCCTCGTGGAATGCTTTAAATAGGTATCGGCATTCCCGTGACAGCAATAGAAGCTGGAGTGTGTGAGTATAAGTGTCGATTGTTCCCTCTTGTTCTAGGTCTTGGTGTCACTAAGAAGTTAACTTTTCACTGCGTAGAGTGGTTCAATCAACTAGCCAAAACGGGTCTCCCTCTGTGGATGCTTGGTTTCGGTGCGGACCTCTTGTGGGCCGACATGAACCGTCTACTTGCTTTTCTTTTCCACCAGGTATACTTACATATATATGCTTACGTAGCTATCTTGTATAATTGCATGAAGTATATGTTTGGTGTGATTCAATTCCATGCATACATGCAGGGAGTGTTGGATGAGCAATTTTTGCAGCTGCAACAGCTGCAAGATGAAGCCTCCCCCAACTTCGTCTCTGAGGTCGTCAACATTTATTTCCATGAGTCCGAGAAGCTACTCACCAGTCTCAGAGGATTGTTGTATGCAATTAATCTTCTTCTTCTTCTTGTTCATGTTGATGTTCATGCATTTGGATTAGTTATGAATTCTCCTTGCTGAATGTATGGTTGGACGCAGAATGGAGAGGGAGTTATCGGACTACAAGAAAATGGGAATCCATTTGAATCAGTTCATGGGTAGCAGCTCAAGCATCGGTGCCAAGAGAGTCACAAACATTTGCGTTGCCTTTCGTGCTGCTACTGACCAGAGCAACCGTGCAGGGTACATACATACACACCTTATTACTCCCTCTCAAAATTCGTGTGCATCCCTTCTTTTTCTCTACCCAATAAATAAACAATTCCTTTAGATTTTAACACGAGGTATTGTTGATTGCAAGCTAACTGAAACTATATATCCAAATTGCAGATGCTTGCGAGCGTTGGAGATGCTGGAGCATGAGTATTGCTATCTGAAGAACAAATTGCATGAATTGTTCCAAGTAAGGTTGCATTGCATACAAAGATTTTATACTACTACATTGTCATGTTATGATTACGATTTGGTACTAGTTTAGTTTATACCCTATATTTATATGGTTGTATGCAGATAGAGCAGCAACGTGCTTTGGTAGCAGGAGTGAGGTACCCTGTGCAGAATCAATAATGCAAATGAATTGGTGGAACAAACATGTGGATGATTCTGTCTTTCCTTGTGGCCTTTGCTTTTCTCTGCTTTTTCTTCTCTTTTGTAGCTTTGCAACGCTAAAGGCACACCTTTCTAGCTAGTTTGTTTTGGAGAGAAACCAAGAAAGTTATATAAATAAATAGATCAATATATATACACCTAGGTTATGTGGGGAATAGAAAGAAGCTAGGGATGATTATCACCTCAGGAATTATGAATTCTCTTGTACGTAAATGCTGGTATCATGCTACCTCTTCTTCTTGCTCTATGTCATTTAACTTTTGAATGAAAATTCACTAGTGAAAACGGTTCCTACATAATTTTATGTCTGTTAACTTTAACTTCTACGTATATCACCCGTTATTTCTGTTAATTCATTTTATTTCATTTTTACGTGCAATTTATTCAAAACAAATTATTGAGAATAATCCCTATCTGAGAAAAACATCAACACGTCTTGAATATCTTAAATTTAAATAAAAATCATGTCATATTTAATTTTACAACAATATTTTTTACTTTTATCTTTTGAAAATAGTTTTATTTTATTTTCTTTTTACTTTTCAATTTTCAAAAGTATTAAAGAAATTCATTTTAGATTTAAATAAAAAATACTTAAGAATTATCGTAATTTTTAAATATATCTTTTTTTTTAATTCTTTACAAAATCTAAAACAAAGAATCTAGCTCCATTCAAAAGCTTCTAAACTTTATTATATATATATATATATATATATATATATATATATATATATATAAATCTTTGAAAAGAAAAAGTGTTGTTTTTGAGAGGGAGTTCAGTTAAGAGAAATAAAATATTGACAATCTTGATAAAAACAATCTAACAACAACCTTTTTATTGATTTAATAATAATAATAATAATAATGATAATAATATATAATTTTGTGTTTGTTTTTATTTTATTATTAAATTGGAATTGTAAATGTTTAATAGTATGTGAATTGTTTATATATCATTCCTCGTTAGAGTAACGAAAGAGAAAAGTGACCAACTTGCGTGGGTTTTGGACCACCGTGTTGGCATGCAAAGAAAAAGCGTTAAAAAATATTGATTTTGAAATAAAATATTTATAGTTTTTATTGTATTTATTTTAGAAATATATGTGGTAATAACTATAAGTTTAGAATCGTATATTTAAGTATAGATATGACTCAACTAAGAAAATCTGCACACACAAAAAAATCACAAAATATAAATTATATGCCATCAAATAAAGAAGTTCATGTCTCATAGAGCCCAACAAGTAGGCCCATCACCAACTACTCCATGTTTGGATTACATGACACACCACCTTTTTTTGTCCACACCAGACTTTTCCCAACAAACTTTTTTACTTAAAAAAGAATCCAAATAATCAAACATTAAGACCTTTAGCTGTGGCAATTCCTCGTCCTCTTATCTCAATATAGTTGCTCAACGGGAAAATGTTATTAAATATTTTAATCCAAATCAATAATTGTACGTGTTTGATTAAAAATAAACTTACTTTTGGAAAGCTATATTAGTTTACACATAAAGTGCTTTTTCCAGAGACTATTGCTTGACTTGAAGAGTATGAATCGAATAAGTTATATTCGTTTATCATGCTAAATAAATTCGTAAGAATCGTATCCAAGAATCAATCCTAGAAAAAAAAATTTAAATAAGTTGATAAATATACCTTAAAAAAGACATTTTTATCTTGTGTTTATAAAGATAGGATTTGTGAAACTAAGAAATTGATTAACCAATTGAAAACCATCACGCCAAATGAAGTTAGTAAAAAAATAGGTTACTAACTTTTGAAACAGATATTTTTTATAACAAGTTAGGTCAGTGATTAAACTAATAAATATATATACCGATTCAAATAAAAAGTCAAAATTTAATTTGCTACGTTACAAGAGATTAATCTCTTGTAAGATATTCATTCAAGCTCTGAAAGTATTTTATTATTAAATCTAACAATTGAATAGTTTTATTTAGTTTTAAAAACAAATTTTGAAGTAAAATTGAAGAAGAAAAATAATATAATAAATTTATTTTTCTTTAAATTTTTTTTCTCCTCATTTGAGTCAAATCACGTGTTGTGGTGTGGGCGTGTGAATGGATAATGTAACCCTAGAATTCTACTCTACTCTCTCAAGTTTTTCAACACGAAATTAGTTGATTCGTAGGTAAAGTAAAACCATGCATCTCAACTAAACAAGCAAATGAAATTAAGATTTAGGGTTGATTTTGTGGTTGAAGTGATCGTGGTCAGAGGTTGAGGGTGAGAAGATAATGGCAGAGATCCACCACACCACCTTATAAATGGTGGGTTTTGATTTACACACTGTCTTGGATTCCATGCTAGATTACTTTCAATGGCTACCATTTGAATTGATGAAAAATTCTCTAGGTAGACGATAGATAAAGCTAATAAATAAAAATTAAATTTTTATTTCAAAATTAAACGTTGGCCACACACTTCCTTTTCCTTAAAATTGTCTTAGTTGACAAATTCATGATTGAGATTGGGATATTCCAAATTTCGCAAATTCATTTTTCTTGAAACATAATAATTGTGAAGACCAGCAACAACTGGCACCGGCTTAGCCCTAGTCAATCAACACGGCCAGTGCCCACACTCTAACTCATCAAAACTTACCCAATTTAATGTTATGTTTCTCTATAATAACTGCAATTTAATATTATTCTTTACACACATTTGGAATAACAATAAATGTCATTTCAAAATTGTTTTATTGAATAATTTAATCTCTCACTAAATAAATTTATTTTTTTATAGAAGAGAAATTAAAATTAAAATATTACTTTATCGGTCATGAAGAAAGGTTTAAAAATTATATAAATATAACTTTTTAGCGAAACCTGAAAAACTAAAAATAAAAACCCTGTCGCATCACCTTTGTAGATATTTTTTTCTTTTTCCCCCACGTTTTGGGTAGAGATAACCCTAAACCCATGCATGCTTCCATTTCTGTACCCCACACTTTATGAATTAATAATTAATGACGATTAGTGAATTGCAAGAACTTCGATAGTGCTTTTTCTTTACCCCCATTAAAAATATTGTAATTGTAGTATAAATACAAATGGGAAACAAACCCACACCACAATTCATACTCAGCGTAGCTTCGTTTCCAATTCCATGACCCTTTCTATGGCTTCTGCGGAGAGCGTGAACGAGGTGGGACCTGGATATGTCTTCAAAGAAGAAATCCATCTCACCGTCCTCAAAACCTCTCTCTTCTTCGCCGGCGATGGCTTCACCGTCTACGATTGCAAAGGTCAGCTCGTCTTCCGAGTTGACTCTTACGGACCCGACACTCGCGACAGAGACGAACTCGTTCTCATGGATCCTAACGGACGTTGTCTACTCACTGTTCGTCGAAAGGTACCGAATCTACTCTCTGCTCTTTTTGCTTGATCAAGGTTTTCGATTAGGGATTATTAGTTAAGCGTCTCATGGATGTTGCTTAGTTTAGATGGTTTTGGATAGTTTTGAGTGGACTCAGTGAGTTATGTTATCGTCATGTTTTGGCGTAGCAGAGGCCGAGTTTGCATCAACGGTGGGAAGGCTTCAAAGGGGAGAGAATGGACGGTGATAAACCAATCTTCAGCGTGAAGAGAGCGTCGATCATAGGACGGTCGCGTGCGAGTTTGACGGTGGAGATGTACGATAAGCCGGGCGAGGAGTACCAGATCGAAGGGTGCTTCTCGCAGCGATGCTGCACGATTTTCAATGTGACGAAGGAATCTGTGGCTGAGATTCGTCGTAAGGTGGACCCCACCACAAGCGTTGTGCTTGGGAAGGAAGTGTTCTCTCTTTGCGTCAAGGCGGGGTTTGACGCGGCTTTTGCCATGGGATTTGTTCTGGTCCTTGATCAGATCAACGGTGAGGACTACGTTGATAATGGTGCGACCACGGAGCCTGCGGTGCACCCAGCCGCAGAAGATTGAGAGGAAATAATAGAGTGTCCTTCCAGATTTGACCACCCTGGCATTGCGTAAATCTGACGAGAGAGCTTCGATGATGGGTTATGCTTTATTTAATTTAACTCACTAATCTTTGGGGTTTACAATGTCCTTACCAAGGGAACCTCTGCCCCTTCTTTTCTGGGTCATGCCCTTGAATCAATAAATTTTATATTATATTATGCAGAAAAATATAAGTTGAGCTTCCTATTTTATGTGGCATTATAAATAAAGTTGCAATTTATATTTTAAATTGATAATTATTCCACTAATTTGTTTGCTTTAGTGAGGGAGTTATAAAAATCATACCGTCCAAAATATCTCCACTAATATCATCGATCACGGCAATCATGGGCGTCAAATAGGAATAAAGTCAACAGCTACACCCTCTCTTTCTCTACCATCACAATTGCGCAGATTAAATTTTTATTTTATTTTTTTATATTTATAATATATTGACCCGATTATTAAGTATGTGATTTATAATACAAAAGTATGTAAAAATTCGTATATTATATGATAGATAATATTTTATTATTTATTATTAATTTTGAATATTCACATCCACAAATGGATCAGCCACTAAAGAAAAGATGATGATATTGATGATTTTTGAAAGTAGAAATTTAACTATGCATTCTTTACTTTGAGTAAAGAAATATATTATAATATTATAGAAAGTGAATCACCGAATATAATAATTGATTAAATAAATAATATGAGAATATCTTTTGACTGTATGGAGTGAACTGCGAAGGAATCATATTCCCATTTGAAAATCTTGGTATATAATTAACAAATACAAACTCGGAATCCATCTACAATTCTTCTTTACGTATATATTTTAATTATTACAAGTATTCCTATTTATGTATGCCAGTATAACATGTATTTTATTGTATTATATCCCTTGGAATTTTAAATAAAAAACAGTATACACACGAGGGTCGAACCGTATTATTATACACCAAAATACTTTTTAATATTTGAGAATTATGCTATTTATTGGTCACGTTTTTCTTTCCTTATTAATCTAAATTTAATCAATTGAACCAAAAACGAGTTTGCTCACTCTTTGTTTTCTAATGGAATATATATATTTCATGGACAGTACGTAGACAAAAATTTAGACATGATTTTGACAGTTACCAGCATATATATATATAAATTATTTATAATCTGACCAACATTCAATAAATTAATTAAAGTTTGAGCACTTCTTAATTTTGGTTTACTTTAGTTGAACCTATTTCACTTTAGGGAATGTATAAATTATTTTTTGACATGGCAAGATAGAGGCTTTATATAATAATTATTCAAGACATGTTTAGTGATTAGTGACATGCATATAATTAACATTTTCGAAAAAGTTTTAAAGTGGTCGTGCATATAAAATGCTTTGGTGATGACTCATACACCCTGTATTTTACTTGAGTTTTGAAAAACAACAAGGAAACAATAAGAGAGTTATGAAATGTTTATAAAAAAGAACAATAGATTAAAGAAGTTAAACTTATGTTATTTTTTTATTTTATTATGAATAAAAAAGCATGTTGACATTACTAAAACGTTGAAAAGTTAGCAACTACAGAGAAGATTAATGAAGCCTATGTTACATATTGTTGAGTGTTGTTAATAAAGAATATAAAGTTAATTCATCTATACAATGAGATGCCACATCTTCGGTATGAAGATTCCAGAACTTGAAAGTACAGAAAACTGTTACAGAATCCAAAGAATCACGAATTCACATCTTGTAACTAATTACAATGCTACAAAAAGAAAAGCAACTAAACTTGTAAAAGCCATCACAGACGAGGTTCCAATTCCCTGTAAAGCATAATTGTCAGAAACTTGGAACCGGAAGAACATAAACTTAAGACATGGGCATATCTTAACATCGATGTTTCATTATGTTAAATTCTTGTAAATAGGAAAAAACTAACACAGATTCTACTTCATGAACTAAATAGTTTGATCAAAAGTGAAAGTAAAGGAGGTATCCAAACCTTGAAGGAAAGGAAAGATGATGAAGTTGCTGAAGAAGGTACAAGTCCAGTGAATCCAATATCATATGCAATGCTTCCATCAGCCTTAAACAATCCAAAGTTTCTCTCTGACGTTGGACCAGACTTCAAATTCTCATTAAACAAAGCAAAGATATAAGCCCTCACCATTTTCTTTGGCCTATAAGGGGTACCTTTTTTCTTGAGTAACCTCTTACGCAAGTTAAGATTGTAGGTCCTTGCATTCTTTATTGTTGCTCCAGCTTCATTGTCATCCCCATGAGAAGCCCAACCAGTCTCGGAAACAATCACTTCCATCTTGTCAAAACCAACCTTCTCCAAGGCAGCATAAGCTGCATCAACCTGTGCCTCAAACATGTTACCATAATGCAGCTTAGTCTTTGCATCATAAATCCCAGGACTTTTTTGGAAGAGGGCATAGTTAAGGTCAATATGTTGTGGATCATTCTTATAAGCAAGGAAGGGGTATGCATTTATGAAAAAAGGAGTGCCAATTTGTGAGAAGAATTGTAAGAGAGGCTTCATATATGGAAGGACATCTTCCTTGAAAGTGCAGGAGGATGGAGGAAAGGAATTAGCAAATACAGCCTCAGAATGTGGACTTGACACTTGAACATCTTTTGCTAGACCAAGCTTTTTAAGGGCATTGTAAACATTCTTTACTGCAGGTAGCAAAACTTCCCAGAGTTGTAAATCTGTGCCTCCCAAGATTTCATTTCCCACTGCAATTCCCCGAATTTTGGTTCCTGGAAGAAATTGCTGAACGTTTTCTTTGACCCAACTCATGGCTCTATCCTCCCCCACACTAATGCCCGTAAGAAATTCGTTGCCAAGTCCAACCACAATTTCAATGCCAGACCCTTTGAAGGCACGGAGGACCTGATGATCAGCATCATAAATCCTAATGTTCTTAATTTTTGCTGCTTTGAGTAAGGTAACCACACTTTCTGGGGGAGGCAGGTTGTCAGCTATTCTACCATAGTTTACACCATATGTTCCTGTAAACGCTTTATCCCCTAAAACTGCATCACATCAGAATGTGAAACTTTGCTTAGTGCATGGATATGTGTTTGTTTAGATAGATTATATAAGTCTCAGTAATGTTATAGGATTGAATATAAAAAATCACGAGTTTGTAGTAGCGTTATTTTTGTGTATACTTGGAACATATATAGCATGGTTGAAAGTATATATGTTGATGCAAAAGCAAATCAAATAAGATGATCAATGAAAAAAAATAATGTTTGACTGATCTAGACTCAAGTAACTAAGCAAAAAAGCAGCGTATAACTATCCAAATCTAAATGATATACATCTCTTATAGAGTATTATAGAAAATGGAAGTCCTCAATTGGCGAAAAGTTCATTTCAATTTTTAGAATAGAATGTGAGATAATTAGAAAGTGTAGTACATACCCAGAGAAAATAGTAGAAAGAAGAAGAGCAGAAGGCAATGAGAAAAGGAAGAGAACATGATATGTAGTCTAAAGATGGTACGAGTGAAAGAGCATTCCAATTGTGGAAAAAAAGTGAGGTAGATGCCTGTATTATGTAATTCAATGATGGTAACTTCATTAGCAAAAAATAGCTAGTAATCCTGAGGATGATGCAATACTTTCCTCCATAAACTTTAGATTCTGAGTCTTTAACCCAAGATGGTTGGAAAAGTTTATTTTCAGGGGATTAGAATAGATTCTTCCTTTAACTCTTCCTTTAAGTATACCTTTTCCACTTTCCACTCTAGATTTCCAGGACGTGCCTTTAGGTACTGCTCCACTTGTTTTTTTGGTTCAGTGTTTTTGGAGAAATGAATGCAATCTCACCCTTTTTTAGGGAAGAACTCTGCAGCATTGAACCAAAACTGCATATTATTATGAAACAGTTTCCATACAGTATACGAAAACAAACAACCTTGTTAGGTTTGTCTATGTCATCACTCACTGATTTTGAGAACATTAAAACATGTACAAAAATACCTGTGCAGCAGAGGTTGCTAACTGATTAGAAATTATATGTTGGCTGTTGCTTCTTCCACCCCATAAGCCATAAATTAAATCTCATTTTACTTTTATACTTATCTTAATCTTCATTTTCCTCTTATACTTATCTTAATCTTTATTTTAGGAATATATTTCGAATTGGACTTTCCATAAACACATTTCAAAACACTAATCTGGAATACGCTTCTGAGAAGGCTTTTCTAAAAACACATTGTGTAACACCCAATCTAGAATGCGTTTCTGGTAAGGTTTTTCTGAAAACGCATTCTGTAACATCTATTTCGAAACGCGTTTTCAAAAAAGTCAATCTAGAATACATTTTTGGATTAGTTTTTTCAAAATTTAACCTTATTTTCGCGATACTATTTCATATTGAGTCTATTCGTGCAATTTGAGTGCAATAATGTATAATTCATATATAATATTAATTATTACTTATCTTTAATTTGTTAGAAAAACCTTTAATTATTAGAAAAAGCTTTTAATAGAGGTAATAATACAACAAAAATCAAAGAACTAAAGGATGAAGCTGCTAAGGGATGAAGGTGCATTGTATACAAATAGGAGAAGAAGTTAGGGTAAAAGATAAAATTATAGGAAGGGTATTTTGGATATTTGACTTGGGTATGGAAGTGAAGGAAAAAAATTATGAGGGTGCAATAAGCAATAGCCTTATATATTCTATCAAGATACGTTGTTTGTGAAAAGCACTAGGGAGAAAGCCCAAGTCTTTTAGGCCCACTATATCATTCATAATTTTCAAAATCGCAAACACGGGCCATTATTTGGGTTCATTTAGTAAGGCCCACTGCTTCTTTCTTTGAGCCGTACTCTTTATTTCCTCTAACTTAACAGGTCAATCATTGTTGTGGATCCAAGCAATTGGTCAATCTTCTAACTTATATTTTAAAAAAGTTATGTTAAGAAAACGATTATAAATAATTATATATATATATATATATATATATATATATATATAACAAAAGATAAAAGATAAAGAAAATACGTATACGAAAAAAGTTAAAAAACAAATTTTCTTTATTAATAAAATATGGATAATGGAGCTAACTAATTATATTTAATCATAATTTTGATTAGTTATGATCTTTAATGCATTAATTATCATTATTATGTCTAATTAATTTATTAAAGGTAAATTAGAGTAGATATTCCTGAAAGTTGTACTATTTAATAGATCTCCTAATTATTAAATGAAGAAAAACAAGTGCTATTTATTTCGTTCTTTTAAATATTAATTAATGCATCCTGTGATGTTGAAGCGTATGAGTACATAAAGAGAGTGACGCAATAAATATGGTTGGTTTGAAACTAATGTTGCAGGTGGCTGGCCAGCTTGGAACACTGCCATTGCCAACCCAAAACTTCAATTTATTTATATTAATCAGATATCAAACATTGTTTTTTTTTATTAAATTAAACTAGCACTAGATAAAGAAAAAGAATAAAATAAATATTATTAATTTAATTTAGATTGTATGAAAGAAGATATATTTTTTATTCATTTTTTACAAATTCCATTAAAAATGGATATAAATATATAAAAGAAGTCAATATGGTCAATTACCTCAAAAACAGGTAAGTAAGATTTGGAGCATAATGCAACTAGGCAACAATATTATCCCTACCATTTATTGGAAATAGAGTGAAAGCCAATGGTTTTTCAACTATATGTGACCATGCCATGGACAAAACACACACAACTCCTTCTAACATTTCCTCTTCTTACTCCTTCCTTCTCCATTCTAACATCACCACGTCGCTTCTCCTTCTCAATGCAACATAAGGTGTGCCATTCTCATACCTACACTACACTGCATATCTGCTCATATCTTTCTGCACTTCCTTCTGTGTTTTCTAACATGCTTTCCCCCACCAACAAACATATTTTTCCAAGAAAATCTCCTTCTATTTACGGCAGTTTGACACTCATGTAGTGGTTTGCTTCTGTTTCACTCAAGGAAACAATTCCATATTTTTTGTCTTGTAAATCAAGCTGTGGTAATAGTAGCCAAAATATTGTTATCTTCTCAGATCTTACATGATTGTTTTGAGTTAAAACTCTATGTTTTGATGCAGTTATAGGATCATGGGCATGTTCACAGGGGGAACCTTGTTTTTCTACGTGCTCCTTTTGTTTAGTACCTGCCTGGCCAAAGATCAGCACATTCTTCAGATATATCCTGGCTTCAGTGCATCTCAACCTGATTGGAGCGACCATAATGGTTTTTTCTTGATATCCAACAGTTCAGCTTTCGCTTTTGGATTCTTTACTGCTCTTGATATTTCATCGTTTGTTTTAGTTGTCTTACACTTAAGCAGCTACAAAGTGGTTTGGACTGCCAACAGAGGCTTACTCGTTGGGAAATCTGCCAAATTTGAGTTTGACCGTAGTGGGAATGCATATTTGGAAGGTGAGAATGGTGTAGTTTGGGAAACTAATACAACAGGACATAAAGTGAGAACCATGGAGTTGCTTGACTCAGGGAATTTGGTGTTGCTTGGGGATAATGGGACATCTATTTGGCAAAGTTTTAGCCATCCTACTGATACTCTTTTGCCTGGACAAGACTTTGTGGAAGGAATGACACTCAAAAGCTTCCACAACAGCTTGAACATGTATTATTATCTTAGTTATAAGGCAGGTGATTTGTTTCTCTACGCAGGATTTGAAACTCCACAAGTGTACTGGTCCCTATTAGAAGAGGCTCAGAGAAGCTCAAGAAATAACACTAGCAAGGTTCACTCTGCTTCTTTGGTGTCCAATTCATGGAGATTTTATGATATAAATGGAGTTTTGCTGTGGAAAATTGACTTCTCTGACAACTCAGACCCCATGTCATTGTGGGCTGCTACCTTGGATCCAACTGGTGCTATCAATTTTTATGATCTAAACAAAGGGAGGTCTCCTAGCCCTGAGGCAGTTAAGGTACCGCAAGACCCCTGCGGCACTCCCCAGCCTTGTGATCCGTATTATGTTTGCTTCTTTGAGAACTGGTGCATCTGCCCCAAACTTCTCAAATCTCGCTTTGATTGCAAACCTCCCAACATCTCCACCTGTTCTAGGACTTCAACAGAACTTGTATATGTAGGTGAGGAGCTTGATTATTTTGCTCTCAAGTACACTACACCGGTCTTAAAATCAACCCTGAATTCTTGCAAAGAAGCTTGTTTAGGAAACTGCTCTTGCCTTGTCCTTTTCTTTGAAAACAGTACTGGAAAATGCTTTCATTTTGATGAGACTGGTAGTTTCCAACGCAATAAGGGGGGCACCGGTGGTTATGTTTCATTCATGAAGGTCTCCATTAGTAGTGATGATGGACATGTCAACAAACATGGAAGGAGTGACACGGTGCTAGTTGTTATCATACTAGTTCTCACAGTTCTGGTTATAGTTGGTCTTGTAACAGTATGCTGGTACTACTACAAGAGGAAGAAGAATGTTGCTAGGTATCCTCAACACACCTTTGAGGAGGAGGATGATTTCTTGGACAGTATCTCAGGGATGCCTGCACGTTTTACTTTTGCAGCTCTGGGTAGAGCAACTAAGGACTTTTCCACAAAAATTGGGGAAGGAGGTTTTGGCTCAGTGTATTTAGGAGAACTTGAAGATGGCACGCAGTTGGCTGTGAAAAAATTGGAAGGTGTTGGACAAGGTGCAAAAGAGTTTAAAGCAGAAGTGTCCATAATTGGAAGTATTCATCATGTTCATTTGGTCAAGCTCAAAGGGTTCTGTGCTGAGGGTCCTCATCGTCTTCTTGTCTATGAATACATGGCAAGGGGTTCTTTGGACAAGTGGATCTTCAAGAACAGTGAGAACAGTTTCTTGTTGAATTGGGAGACAAGGTACAACATTGCAATAGGCACGGCTAAGGGATTGGCCTACCTCCATGAGGAGTGCGAAGTGAGGATTATCCACTGTGATATCAAGCCACAAAATGTTCTTCTTGATGATAATTTCACAGCTAAGGTTTCAGATTTTGGTTTGGCTAAGTTAATGAGCCGTGAGCAGAGCCATGTGTTCACAACTCTGAGGGGCACAAGAGGGTATTTAGCACCAGAATGGATTACTAACTATGCAATTTCGGAGAAGAGTGATGTGTTCAGCTATGGCATGCTCTTGCTTGAGATAATTGGAGGGAGGAAGAACTATGATCAATGGGAAGGGGCGGAGAAGGCACATTTTCCTTCTTATGTGTTTAGAATGATGGATGAAGGGAAACTGAAAGAGGTTCTTGATCCAAAGATAGATATTGATGACAAGGATGAAAGGGTCGAGGTTGCTCTAAAAGTTGCTCTTTGGTGCATCCAAGATGACGTGAGTTTGAGGCCTTCCATGACAAAGGTAGCTCAGATGCTTGAAGGTTTGTGCCCTGTATCTGATCCCCCCTCGTTATCTCAAGCCGGTACGTATTCTGCTTTCATGAAACTGAGTAGTGGAGAAGCTACTTCATCGGGACAGGCTAGTTTTTTTAGCAATGTACCCATGTCATGTGTTCAATTGTCAGGACCAAGATGAGATCAAGCAGCCAGATGAATCATGCATACGTGTTTTTTAATGTTTAGTTTCAATGATATGAACATCAATTTCTTTGGCGGTTTTGTATTGCCACTGTCTTTAGATTTTAGAAATCTATATCTAGATGAATCATGCGTACATGTTCTTTAATCTTTAGTTTCAATGACATGAACATCAATTTGTTGGGCAGTTTTGTCTTGTCATTGTGGTTAGATTTAGAAATCCTATGGAATTTTGTACTCATGAAATGCAGACTGGAACTTGTCTTTGTTCTGCCTGTGGTTGACGATCTTCTCGTGATTTTCCCTTGGTTTCTGGGCATTGTTTCTTTAAATTCACGGACAAGGGATGACCAAAGAAGAGACCAACATTTACAATACTATTTATTTAGTTAGTTACTTATTGTAATTAGACCTTAGAAACCAAGTAGTCACACTGGTTTGATTTCTAATTATAAACAAATATGCCAAATCGATCTCAAATTGAAGTTCTCACAAAAAACAAAGTCTCCAAACAAAGTTAAGTCAAATTGATGCGGGTTAAGTATGATGTAACTTTAAAAGCGAGAAAGAAAGAAAACAAATCTTCATTCATCTCCAACACTAGTAACTCTATTTGCGGTACCTAATCCATCATGGTCTTAGACTCTTGGCAGAATTCCTATTCAACAAGAGAAGATGAGTGGCGGAGAGGCTATTTCTTATCACGTGTGTGGACTTTAAGACTTGGGACCAATTAATCATTCATACAGAAAAAAAGAAAATTAAATAGGTAACTCTAACCTTTATGATAAGTCATATGACCACCATTGCTTGTAGCATATTTTGACCTCAAAACTTGACCCTATCTTGCAGATTTGTGCGAGTCTAATGCTACATGGATTTTTGTAAATACATATCTGATGATGATGAACTCTAGACACGTATTTCCAAATTGCATTTCCTTTTCTTATTGTTTCAAAATCTCAGTTTGGCCAAAAATAAAAAGTCATGAATACTTGTCAAGTCTCAGATAATACATTAAAAAATAAGGGTAGATTAATGGTGATATCTCATCGAGTCAGTACAAAATTATGAAAGAGACAGTTTAAATAAGACGCATCTCAAACATGGTATCACCTTATCAACGAGTCCATGTGACAGGTGAAAAGGAAAGGAAAATCAAAACAGAGAGACCATACATTCAGTATTATTGGCTGACACGACAAAGATACAATTGCATAATCAAGCCCCGTCTACATTTGCAGCAGCCGTTGGTTTTTGTTATATTGTTATTTAAACCTATCACATGAATATTCTATGTTTTGTTTTTGTTTTCTTTTCTTGTCATGGAATTGGATCAACAACTTCCCCAACATATTCATATTTTATGAACAACTATGGTACCATATAGTGGTATCATATACTACACCACAACTTTATCTCTCTAATTGATCTTTAAGCCATAGATTTCATGGTAAGTTATTATACACTTTGACAGAGGGAGAAGGAGACAGGAACGTACGTGGTTAACTATATAAATCAGCCTAAATTCTTTTTCAGAATTCTAGTTCAAGATAAACAATTAAATAACATGATAAAACTATAAAAGGGTTGTTCTCTTTTCTTTAATTTCAACCAAAATTTCATTCTCTCAGAAGATACAGCAGTGGAAGCCTCACTACTATACAACATAGGACAGAATACAGGTTTGGTTTCTCTTATTTACAGCTAGATACTAAACTCTAGTGAACGAAACACGACAATATATATAGTAGTCACTCACAAGAGGTGAAAAAAAAGGAACACATTATTGTTTGAGACAATAGCATCACATGGTTCATTAGTCTTGTAAGATATTATGTACTCAAGTTCACTCAGAGAGGTAGGATTGAAAAGCTGCAGTAACATGAGGACGGTCTTGAGTTTCATGAAAGAGATCAGGTGGATATGCATGGCCGAGATCAGTCTTTTTTTGGCACTCTGTTGTTGTGTCTTCTTCATCTTCTTCAACATCCCAGAGGAATTTTGCATAAGAAGCCAGGACATAACTGAAGATGGACAATCATTAAGGTTCGCACATTAGTTTTATCAACGATCAATAGAAATCAAGACACAATTTTGTTTATATTGATTAGAAAAACATTAAGAATGAAGAATTATTTAGAATATTATTTTATAGATTTATAATATTTTTTTTAATTTAGAAAAACTTATATCTTACTGTGTACCTTATTTGAATTTATTTTCTACAAAAAACTAATTTTTATAAATATTTTATAATGCAAACTTAAGATAAAATTATTATAAAAAAATACCATTTTTTTTTGTAAAAAATAGTGTGTGGTTCTATAAATAATTATTAAGAGAATGAATGCAAAGATATATATATATATATATATATATATATATATATATATATATATATATATATATATATATATATATATATATATATATAATCCATGAATATTTATCTCACCAATCATCTGGGGCACTTCGAACAGCTTGATCAAAATAACCCTCAGCTCGATCAGCATTCTTCTCTGTTTGCCATATCAAATCTGCGTAGTGGGACAAAACATTAGCATCGCCAGGAGTAGCCAAAATGGCTCTTTCAAGATACTCCCCTGCTTTGGAATAATCTCCTCGAACCTATTTGCAAATTCAATGTTCAGAACGAAACTAATTAGTAATTGAAAGAAACAAGAAATTTCATGAAACAATAAGGCTATGTTTTAACAACGACTATTCTAGCTAGCTTGGCCTTTTTTCCTTCTCTTCTCTCCTTTTGGTTAGTGACTAATCTTACATATTAGACTCTTTTTTGTTGTTTTTCCCTTACAGTATGTGTCCATCATTTTTTTTTGAGAGAAAGATTATGATCAGGGTCATGCTTGAACACCAACAAAAACGAACCAAATTACCTCCTTTAAAAACTTAGCATAATTTCCAAGCAAAAGAGCATTATTGGGGTTTGCTTCAATCATGTTCTGGTAATAAGCATCTGTCCAATCCCTACCATGTGATCCTCTTCCACTCCCATTACAACCACCACAAATCCTGCCACCACCACTCCCCATCCCACCACCCATCACTGAAGTCTGCAACCTGCTATCTCTCTTCCCTGTACCATCATCCTCTTCATGCTCATCTAAACCAGAACTTGAAAACAGTTCTCGAACTGAAGGTGGTTTTCCTTTCTTCTTGAAAACTTTTTGCTTTGTTTCCTCCACTTCTCCACTTTCTTTCATCTGCTGGACTTTACTTCGTGACATGCAAATTGGAGGGGTTTGATTACGAGGGTATATCTCAGCCAAGTTTTGTATTGGAGTTGAAAGTGCTCTAGAAAGCTGGAGAACCGATTCTGACTCCGCCGAAGAGTCTTTGGAATGGGGCAGCCATGAGCTTGTCATTGGTACGGTGCAACTTCTAAGCAACATGCTTTTACACTTCAGAGAGACAAAAACAATGAAAAAATGAAAAGGGTCGAAGGAAATGTCATAAAGGAGTTCATACAATGGGAAGAAAGAAATGATAGTAGACTTAAAGTAGCATTTGGAAGGTGGTAGGGACTGAAAGTGTAATAAAGTGCTTACCTAGGAAGGAAAACACTGGAAGACAGAGAGAGAGTGATTTAAAAGGGAGTGACTGAGTGTGAGAAGAAAAATAGAGAAAAGAAACACCTCAATTGAGACACAACACAACACAAAAACCAAACAAGGGGTGAGTCATTTTTATACACCAGTACCAGAAAACACCAAGTAGCATTTCAGCATTAGAAAAATACAAGTTGAAGATTAGGATCATTTTGGCGCGGACACGTTTGAGTGACATGAAGTTGTGTGGACCATGTCACACTACCTGAGTTATTGTGGGCAGCAAAACTGAACGGCCATGAATGGTTTGTGTAAGTGACAGAAATGGCATCACCATCTAGCCACAGTTTCGACCAATTGATGCTGAACATGCGTCAACACTCGCTTGGGTGAGTCAACTGTGCCCATGCTTATGATTGAATTTATTCCCCTTAGTATTACACAGCTTTCATTACCAGAGTGAAATCTAGTAAGTGGAAACCAACGATGTGGGATATTTTCAAGCAAATATACTTTAATTCACTTTGCTAGTGCGATGTTAACGTTGATAATTTCAGTAAGATATATATGCTTAAATCTTATCTACAACTTGTCACTTGTTACTTCATACATTCTAATCATGTAGTAAATGTTGTTACGTGAACAAATTTTTCTTGTAGGATACTATTTTTACACATAAATTTTACACCATTTCTTTCTTAAATTTAAAAAATTCATACTCCAACATATTTCTTAAATTATAAAAATAAGTTAGCTTTTTCTCCCTATGTTTAGATACAAAGAGAGAATATGAAGAGTGGAGAAATACAAATAAAAAAAATGATTGTCAAATTTATATAAAATATTGAGGATGTTAAATAAAATTTCATATATTATATTATTTAGATAAATAAAAGTTAAAAGCCACGATTTTCTTCCGTTTCTGATCAGATCCATCCCTAATCAATTGGGTATAAGAATTTTCTTTTATTTACCTTCTATATTGTTAATTTTAAACCCTTCTATTTTTTATTTATTTTAATTTTCCTCCCTGTAAGAATTGAAGGAAAGGAACAACGGAATAACAAATAGGTCTAAAAATTGTGTTCTACGGAAAATGGTGGGAAGGGTAAAAGTTTTATTAATTAATATATGAAAATAAACTTAAATTTAATATTTTATTAATTTGTATGAATATTATATAATAATTTTAATTTAAAAATTAAAAATATTCCTCACAAAAGATTCCTTTCGACTAGACTATTGGGGAGAAACAAAGGAAATTAGGGTTTTGATTTGGTTTGTACACAATATATCTTTGGAATAGTGTACGGAGGGTACACTGTTTTTGACCCAAATAGGTCCCTTTTTGGGCTTTGCGAATAGCCTTTGTACTTCACTGGGAACCGAGAACACGGTCACCCCTTACCCCGTCAAAAGGTAGATTAGTGGATCAATAGGTTCCGCTAATATTTTTCTTTTCATATGAATTTTTTTTTATATATTTTACTTATATAAATAATTTTTAAATTCTTATTTATTAATTAATATTTTTATTAGATAAATAAATAAAATAGTATATTTTTATGATAAAATAATTAATTATAATCAATAATTTAAATTTAAATAAATAATTTTTATAATTTAAATTATAATATTATAATATATATATATATATATATATATATTAATAATATAATATAATATAATAAATATAATATTTTTAATTTTATTTTTATTTTTTATTTTAATATATAAATATTTTTTTACTTAATCCGATAGCTGATAAACTAAAGTGACTGACTCGCTAATCACTTTTTAGGTGTATATATAATAAAAAATTATGTTCTTTTTTTTTTTTTTAATTGACACAAATTAAGTGCAATCTCTCCAACACAAAAATTTTAATTGTAATTTATGTTAAAATTAATTATAATAATTGGATTTTATGCTTAGAGTAGACTTCCTTAAATAGAAAATTTGAATGGCTAAAATAAGATATTTAATTAAAAGTAGACAACCAAATTCTTCAATGAAAATTAATGATAATAAAACATGTGTATTTCGTACCAAGAACATATATACTAAAATAAAATATACACTTTTGCTGGGTTCATGTACAACCATGAGGAGGAAACTTGTTCTTTACATATAATGCAGAAACAAGATATTAGAAAGGCACCAAATTCGTATTAGGGATCACAAAATATTGGTATATGTTTAAAAATTACAAATATTTTTATCATAAATGAAATGTAAATTATAGATTTTAACTTAAAAATAGGCAAATAAGAATGAAAAAAGAAAAACTATAAAAGCTTGAATATTTCACAAATGAAAAAGTATCATTATCCTACTATGTAATTTGAATGACAAACAGTAGTTACTGCTATTTCTTGCTTTGCTTTGCATTGCATGCATATATTATAGTCGTCTGTATATCTATCTCCACCACGCATAGAGATAATATTCATCTTCACAAGTGTGTTGGTCATATAGATGAGATTAATGTAGAAAAACAAGCAAATTAAACTGAGAAAATTAGCTAAGTGGCCATGTAAGGAACATATAATATGCTCCCGAGGTTAAGAACATGTATACATATTAAATCAATGGATATAGAAGAAGACAAATTGAATGATCCGTTCACAAATCAGAAAGAGGCAAAGATTGACAAATAGAAGGAAGCACCAACCGAGGTATGGGTAGGTTCAGCTTTCCATTGAATAATTGGAAAATACTATACATAGATAGGGTTAGAAGTTGTAGGGTAGGTCCTTATGGTTGAAACAACTTGTCCCCACATCTGCATTTCCATGAGAGGAGATAATAGCTATCATCCTCCCCGTGAGAGGAAATCATGAAACCCTTCCTCTTGTGATTAGAAACCACCACAGTCGCTGTGCAAGGCCTACAGTTCATGCATTTGTTTCCACAAGCTGGAGGCTTTGACCCTATCACCACTTTCTTTCCTTCCAAAATCTTTCTGCTATCAGACAGAACGGATCCACCTACCACACCTTTCACTATGACTAAGATAATATAAAGGACAAGAATAAAGAGAGAGGCTTAGAGAATTAGTAAAATGCCAAAAATACTATGAGAATCGTGAAGGCTTGGTTCTAAATTTCTAACTTCATCCTATTTCTCAATATATAGATAGAATCATGATCAAATAACTCTCGACTTGTTTGTTATATAGGGTAAAAGGGGCACATTTTTTTTACCTGATTTGGGAAGTGGAACAATGAGAGAAAAAAATAAAGCCAAAGTGAGTGCAACTTGGAATCCATGTAGCTTGTAGGTTCTGCCTTGTGGTGCCATCAGTGACTGGTCTATGGAGGAGTTTGATCGATGTGTTAGATAGTGATGTAAGTTGGGAGGATGAGTAGGGTGTGTTTGGGAAGGGATTTGGAGAGACAGTGAAACGTTGTGGCAATTGAAAAATGATAGCAAGGAAAAGAAGACATTGAATGTGTTAGATAAAGTTGAGAGATGTTTCCTGTTGGAGAGACAATGCACTGCTTCAATGGTTTGTTCCCCAATGAAAATAGAGTCCACAGAGTGGAAATGTGTGGTTCAGTCCTTTTGGGAAATTGGAGACCTGACTTTGGATTGTTGGTGAGTTTATTTTATTGAGAAAGTTTAAAGTGAATTGAATTTGAGGGTTCACAAAGATCTGAATTCTCTGTGAACAGTGACTGACTGGGGAGATGAAATGTGGCATGAGATTCCTTATCCCTTCTTCTTAAGAAAGATCACTGTCTCATTTCTGCTTCCACCAAATTCATTAATTTAATCAATTGCCTCCAAAGTCAACATTGTTTTTGGTTGGTAAATGAAGATAAACAAAGGTTGCGACTTTTATCATGGTCTCAATCACTGGTCTACTGAGTAGTTGAGTTGTAGGGGTGACAGGTATGTTATTTGTACGTTAGTTCATTTTACTCTCTTTTTTTTCTTTCTTTTATGCTGTGTTTGTTTGAACTGATTTGCGACGAAATACTATTTACGAAGATAGAAACACGACATTCACACACGTTTGGTTGAACTGATTTGCGACGAAATGCAGGCGAGGAAAAGAGGGAGATGAGAGAGAGAGTTTCTTCGCTGAGGTGCGAAGAAAAGAGATGAAAGTAATGAAAAGTCGCAGTTACCCTACAATATATGATAGCGGTTAAATCCTAACCGCTATTATAACAGCACTTCTAATAGCGGTTAAGCCTTAACCGCTATCTAATATACACTTTAGATAGCGATTACAAAGGAACCGCTATTATATCAAATTTCGCTCGAGCGAGATATAGTCGCTCAAGCGAAACACAACCCCAGACGCAACAAGGTTCTTAAAAGGAGCTTATAATAGTGGTTAAACCTTAACCGCTATCTAATATACACTTTAGATAGCGGTTACAGAGGAACCGCTATTATATCCTCCAATTATGATCGATCATTTCACGTTATGATCGATCAGAATCAAATTTCGCTCGAGCGAGATATAGTCGCTCAGCGAAACACAACCCTAGACGCAACAAGGTTCTTAAAAGGAGCTTATAATAGCGGTTAAACCTTAACCGCTATCTAATATACACTTTAGATAGCGGTTACACAGGAACCGCTATTATATCCTCCATTATGATCGATCATTTCACGTTATGATCGATCATAATTAAATTTCGCTCGAGCGAGATATAGTCGCTCAAGCGAAACACACTTTAGATAGCTGATTCATGAGGAACCGCTATTATATCCTCCAATTATGATCGATCATTTCACATTATGATCGATCAGGATGGTGTTTCGCTCGAGCGAGAGTATAGTCGCTCGAAGCGAAATACAACCCGAATCTTAAAATATTTTTTTGAATATTATGTTTTTAAATTTGCTATTAGACAAAACCTTTCAGAATTCAAAATGTTAAATAATTTTAAATATTAAAATTAACTTTATCAAAAATTAGGGAAACAAAATTTATCCAAAAGAGTTCAAAATGTATAAGAGTATTCTCAATTTTGATGTTTAATTATATTATTAATTCTCAAAGTAGAAAATTATAATGTAATTATTTTATCTCAAGTTAATGTGATGAGACGATCATAAACATTTCAACATTCGAGTCAGATATATGGGACATCTTCGTCTCTCCAGGTTGTTCATGTTCTTGCACTCAACCTTTCCACCAAGAACCAACTTCCGAGTTGTAATTCTTTCTTGGAAAAAGGATGCTAACGATTGCTTAAATTGATTGCTTTGTTTTTTTAAAAGCTGATATGATAAAAGTTCCAAGCAATTCTATTTATAAAAGAGTTTTCGAAAAAAGTTGCATTAATTAATCTGTTGAAAGTTTGTTTTAATCTGTTGAAATAGCAGTTATAATCTGTTAAAAGTCCTTTCAACCCATTAATGCGTTCTTGTTCTTTAACGGAATTGTTTTAGGCTGATACGACCAAGTTTTTATCGGTTAAAACTTTTTACAAACATTTTCTAAGAGTGATTTAATCGATTGATTCGCGGTTTAATCGATTGATTCGAGTTTAAAACTTTCTTATAACACTTTTCAAGTTATTTTAAGCGATACAAAGAAGTTTTAATCGATTAAAAACACTGCACGAAATTTTTTCTAAGTCATTTTAATCGATTGAAATGCGTTTTAATCGATTTAAACTCTGTACAAAAATTTTCAAGTCATTTTAATCGATTGAAATTCAGCTTTACCTAAGCTTTACGTTAAGACGACTCCATTCTTCGAGTGACTTGTTTGACTTGTTGCGAGTTGACTTTTGACTTTATCTTTGACTTCATCAAATCATTGAGATCTTTGCTAGTCGCTCGAGCGAGATCAGTTTCGCTCAAGCGAAAAACAACCCGAGGATGAAAATTATGTGCAGGTGTCTTCGCTCGAGCGAGTTTAGTGTCGCTCAAGCGAAATATAACTTGTAATAGCGGTTTTAGGTGAACCGCTATCTAAAGTGTCGAGGTTTTGGAAATGTGATCGATCATTTTGGCAAAATAATCGATCATTTGAAAACTTTAGGTAGCGGTTAACATATAACCGCTATCACAGAGTTACTTTTAAGAGCGGTTGTCTTTGTAACCGCTCTTAAAAGTGTATATATAATAGCGGTCCAATTTAACCGCTATCTTATATATATTTGTAATAGCGGTTATTACTTGGAGCCGTTATCTAAAATCTTGATCATTTGACAAATTATATATTCTAAACACGACGAGAAGGAGGTAAGTCATGAACAGAAGTCGAGGGTCATGTACATGCAGGTGGTCACGGGCTGTACAGGCAGGTGGTCACGGCATGGTCTGTACATGCAGGTGGTCACGGGCTGTACTGACCAACTTCACGTGGTCACGAGTGATAGAAGTTACGGGACTTATTCTTTCTTACGTAGTTACAGTCGATAGGGAAAGTTATTGTATTATATAAAGCAAAGCTAGTCTCATAAGACTAGCTAAAAGACTCTAGCAAAGCAAAGCAAAGCTACTCTGTTGTAGGTTGGATCTTCGCCGGCGACCACCTTGGTTGGTACGTTTGTTTTTGGTATATTGTCGGAGGAACACCCCGGGTATGGTTACTGTGTCTTCTCGTCATGGTTGGAACATAAAACTTGGTTGGTACGTTTGTTTTTGGAGTACGTGTGTGCATGCATAAGAGTACGTGTGACCATTCGATTTGAGGTATAAAACATGGCCAAACCTCCTCCACTCCAACAAAAAATGTGCACCATACGACCATGGTTTTCGACACGTGCATTGGTTATGTTGTTGTTGCGAGTTTGTATCTTAGAGGAAAAAATTACATTATTTTTACTTACAAAAAATGAGATTATTTTTGCGATATCCGAAAGACTATCGGACATTTGTTAACACTTGCTCGCTGTTGGACTTGAAAGTTTTGCCAAGGAATCGAGTCGCGGGATTGAAGACAAGGTACCAAGCTTGTTGTCCCATTCTATATGTAAGATCTGTATTGACATGTATAACTCTGCTTAAGAATATTGCCAGTACTTTTGATCTGGATAATGCAAAATTCGAAATCTAAGCATTTTTAGGTATAAGTATTATGACAATACTTACATATGATAAATTTATGACGCTTCCAATTTCTTTTTAATCTGGTACAATAGGTATAAGCATTTTATAAGAAGTTGTTGTAAATAATTATTAGTAAAAATATTAGAGGAAAAAATTAGAGGAAAAAAATTATTAGTAGTTTTGTAAATAATTTTTGGTTTTGTGATACTTGGTTTGCGAGATGGCAATTTTGAATTACTTCCATTAAACATTAATTAATTAATTAATTAATTATATATATATATATATATATATATATATATTTTGCAGATGTGAGACAAAAACATCGAGGTCATTGGTTTAGACAATGACGATATAGATACTTGGTGCTGGATATAAACATGATTTCACATATACAAAGTGAGATAAAAAATCGAAGCGAAATAGGAGCGATGACAATTCTTTGTTTGATAGCTTATGGATTAAATATGTTGTCTATGGTAACTTGTAGTAGCGAGTAACATTAGGGACTTTATTTCGAAAAAGAACGTCGTCGAGCACGAGTTGATGTCATACCTTATTCATACTTGAACAATCTCGTCACATTATTCGCATGGGACCGGAGGCGTTCATTAACTTGTGTCAACGAGTAAGGACAAGCTGGATTAGTAAACGATGGGTTACAATCAACGAGTGGAAGAACAAGTGGCTAAATTTCTCCATATTATCGGACATAACGTTAAAAATCGAAGCTGTTTCATTTTTTTCCATCGATCGGGTGAAACCGTTAGTCGACACTTTCATAACGTGTTGAATGCGATAATAATGTTGGACGAACAATTAATTGTTCAACCATCGAGGAAGGGATGTGTGTCCGTATATATTAAGCAACAACCGATTTTACCCATACTTTAAGGTAATGTACTTACCAACTTTGTGTGTATATAACATACACATAGATTGTCTAAACTTTAATGACAATAAATTTTTTACCCATTAGGATTGTTTAGGGGCAATAGATGGAACTCATGTTCGAGTTAAAGTCGCAAGATCAGATGCCTCTCGTTTTCGTGGAAGAAAAGATTGGCCAACACAAAACGTATTTGCAGCTTGTGATTTCGACATGAAATTCACATATGTTCTAGCAGGGTGGGAAGGAACAGCATCTGATTCAAGAATATTAAAGGATGTTCTTACGAGAGAGGATCGCCTTATCATACCACAAGGTTTATTATTTATAACATGCGGATTTTGTGTATAGTCAACTAGTTTAAATATTCTAATTAGTATAACTTCAATGATTTTAAATAGGTAAATACTACTTGGGGGATGCTTGGATTTATGTTAAAAGCAAACATAATGACCCCTTATCGAGGCGTTAGATACCACCTTAAAGAGTATTCTCGACGAGCTCCACAAAACCCCAGAGAATTGTTTAACCATCGACATTCGTCTCTTAGAAATGTCATTGAAAGAACATTTGGAGTTTTGAAGAAAAGATTTCCTATAATAGCTAGTGGAACAAAGCCTCATTATTCTTTTGATACAATGACGAATATAGTCCTAGCATGTTGCATTCTACACAATTTTCTTCGAGGGATAGACAACGATGAATCACTTGTTAGCTGAAGTGGATCGAGAGTTGATGGAACAAGATGTGGATAATATGTCGACTCAAGTTCGGGAAGAGGATTATAGGGAAGGGTCAAACTTAAGAGATACTATAGCAAATCAAATGTGGATAGATTATCAAAGTCATTAGATTTTGTATATAATAATATATTTAATAAGATGTACTATTGTTATTGTTGAAATACGATTACATTACGATTATCTATTTATAATAATTATATGTTGGTATCGTAATTACATATATTATCTTTCCAATAGGTTTAAAATGAACGAGAGGAAAGGATATTGCACCGGATTCGTCACTTGTAGTGCGCGAGTTTACAAAATGGACTCGATGACATGGACTTTCGGTTGTTGATCGCTATGCTTGATGAGGCAAGGTTGGGTAATCGGGTTGATGGTAGTTGGACAACCCAAGCATATAAGAATATAGTTGAATCCCTAAGACGAGTCTGGATTAATTGGTATAACTAAAAATAATGTTAAAAATCGACAAAAAAGTCTTAAGGATAGATGGCGGGAGGTCCACGATTTGTTTCATGGACTTAGTGGATTCGCTTGGGATGATATGACAAAACGGTTTGTGGTCGAGCAAGAAGTATGGGATGACCTAATTAAGGTACTATTATATGAATTATCATTTGTTGATATAGCAAAACATAACAATTACGAGTGTTAACCATTCTCATTATTTTGTAGGCGAAGCCTTACTGCAGCTAAATGGAAGCTGGCAACTATAAGACATTATGATTTGATGGAAGAATTGTGGGGTGCTGATCGAGCCAGTGGACATATGGCAAGAACTTCGCGTCGAGGCCGAATGAATATAAGTTCTCGAAGGGCAACGATCGACTTGAACGTTGATGTGGACCCCACACCGGAGGAGCGACCATTTCACTTTGGCTTTGATGCAGGATTTGATACAGCTTATCGATCACCTCCACGCATGGGTTCCGACAGTCCTGCTGAGGGTGCTCACTCAATTCCATCTGCTGCGTCTACTGGTTCAGGTGGAACCTCTTCATCTCGGGGCACAAAAAGAAAAGCGCCTATGATTGATGTGATGGAAGGTCAATTTGAAAAACTAACATCGAGGCTGGACACATTTACAGATTACCTCGGGCAAGGTAATATAATCACCCAACGATTATCTGACATAGCTGAAAGACAGGTGGTCGCCATTGAACGCAGAAATGAATTAATTAATGAGCAAGTTAATGTGATTAGACGATCATCAACATTTCAACATTCGGAGTCAGATATATGGGACATGTTAGTCGGCATGAACCTAAATGACGAGCAACTTATGCTTCGAGTGTTATAATCATTTGTGTACTCACCCATCACATGTTAGACGACTTTTTGGCTTGCCCTCACATCTTCATCTCTCCCAGTTGTTCATGTTCTTGAATGGAGGTGATTGAATGATCTGAAGCTGGAGGACTTGACTACAAAAGATGGATAACATTATAATTATTTGTTTGAAGAACATTAGTGTGCATAGATTTATAATTTTAGTAATCTTTCCTTTAATTATTATTCTATTTTCACTGTATTTTATATTTGTTTTAAATAATAATGTACAATTATATTATTAGTTTTCATAATTATTTGTTATTATCGAGTCAATATTAATTATTATTTTATATTTTATAATTATTTAATTATTAGTCAAATAATTTATTTAATATGTCAACATTATTTGAATATGGATATGCAATGTACATAATTTTGTAATTGTTTATTTATATAATTTTTAATAACTATCTAAAAAAAGTTAATTTTTTAAATTTGTTTCCAATTACAAACACTTTTAAATTTGTTTTTTCTTTTAAATATATAATCAATGTTAAAATATGGATAATTAATTAAAAAATTATATTTATAATCATTTGAACCTTATTTAATACAAAGGGTAAAATGGTAATTTTCTTAAATAATAAACATAAAATTATAATTTTTATATCTCATATCAATCAAATCATTCACAATTTCCCATAAACTTTCCTTTCACTTTTCAATCATCTCCATTTCTCTTCAAATCCCTCCTTTTCCACTCTCTCAATTTCACTCTCTCAAATCACTCTAACCAAACAAAGCCTTAATATGGATTGGGATTTTATGTATATTTCTTAGTCCAGACTAATCTTGTTCAGAGTGTTCTAAATTATGGAAGAATAAATGTGCTTGCAGATATATTATTGTGGGACAAGACCTTCTTTTTTGTCGTTGTGGTGAAGGATAATGTTGTATAGTGATTTGGTGAGGTGCTTAATAACATTTGTTTACTTAATCGAATAATCCTTCTAGACCTGACAAGATGTTGAGGTTAACTGTTGATCCTGACATAAGAAGTTTTATAGGTACTTTTTTTCTTTACTGAATTTTGAATACTTATTATTTCACACTCTATCTCTCTTCTTTATAATAAGTTTTTGTCCTTCATTTTTTTTACTTAGATCAAACAAGTAATTAATACAGGGGAGCTTTTTTTCTGTCTTTAACTTTTTACCATTTTGCAGTGTTCCTCGAGTCTTGAACTTCTTTGTCCCTCACCTGGACAAACAGAAGAAAAATCAGTAATTTTTTTTTTTGAAGCAAAAAACCTCTTCTCCCCGATATAGAAGCTTTTCTAGATTTTCTTTTTACATAAAAACCATGTATTTATTATTATTTATGCTGTTATTAAAAACTATTTATGTTTTTAATATTTTTCTTCAGAAATCAGAATGTGCAGTGAGAAGGGGATGCATCTGAGGCGCCGAAAGGTCCACGCGGACATGGAAGCCTGGTAAATGCATCCAACGGCTGTTATTAGAATCCGTATTTGGATCGGACCGTAGAGACGATGATTGTCCTTTCCTTCTCTCCTACACACGCACATAACGTAACTGTTCAGATCATTATGGTAACGTCATTACCGTACTATTCTCCCGTCCTGTCTTTGTCCCAATCATTTCAGTTTCAGAATTCCCAAACGCAAACTTCATTACTCCTTTTTTGGTAAATTACTGCTATGCTACTTCTGCACTTCCTTTTAAAAAAATGTTTTCAGTTATTAAAAATAAAAAAAATAAAATTTATTTTTATTAATAAAGTCCAATAATATATATCAGACAATATGTGATAAACTTAAATTATTAATGTAACATATTAGCGTTATCAATTAGTTGTAGCTTCTAAGAGAGAGAATTGAATATCTTCAAGATGATTTAGTTCAAAATGTTTAGATTTTAGATCATTTGTAAAAGATTTATGCAGTTTACAGGTTTATCAATTTAAATGTTAAGAAAGGCTGAGTCTTTTAGTTTATGTATAAGTTTAAATTTAATTAAAAAGTCTTCTGCCCTACTTTTAAAAAATACAAATATTGGAAAAAGGTTCTTAACTATCTCCAGCTGTGAAAAAATTATAATAAAATTCCTTGTCACTTTCAACTGAAAGATAAAGTTACAACAGATATACAACGTTATTAACTGCAGTATGCTCAATTTCACTCTTCCTTCAGAAGAAAGAACTATAATTATTCCACCGATCAAACCAATTGGCATTCCTACAGTCTTCTATTGGTTAGTCAATCAGACCCTCTTGTTCCCAGATGTCCACAAGGAAATCTACCATTTCCTAACAATATTTACACAAAAAAAAAATCAGATAAATGTTCTTAATTACTTGTTCAAAAGCAGACCTGTGGCTTACCGCAAGGGGAATATGCTGAGGGAATGGCTTGTTGCTACCCAGTAAACTTTCATATGTTGCATTCCAACTGCAGCACCATAGATATTTTCATCAGGTCACAAATGGAATTGGAATTTTCTCCAATTTGTCAACTTTGTACAAGGCCTTGTTTGGATGAAATTTTCCATAAGAACTTATGGATGAGAGAGTTTTTACAAAAGTTGTAGAGCAGAAGAAACCTAATTCATTTTCTCAAGAAGTTTGCCCAAAGAGGGTCTAAAAACACAGTACACAAATCAATAGACGAATAAAAGAGTAGTACTAAACGAAAATGAACTTGCATATTAGCAATAATCCTCACACACACTTGGCCACACATTTATTCTCTTAGAAACATCGGTTCTCATAAAGGTGCTAACTAACAAAGGTATTAGCAAAATTAACAAACTTTATGAAAAATACAGTACAATATCTGCTTAAACTTGCGCATTCTTAAAATTATAAAGAACAATGAACTATATCGGGAGTAAAAGAAAATGGGTGCTAGACTAGAATTACCTACACCCTCCTCCCCAAAAACACCAGATACATTAAAAATAGTTAAAATTTCATAAAGACAAAGTGCGAGTAAAACCAATCAAACAAACAATTCAGCTTACCTCACTTTTGGTTCTCTCAACTGTTCTGTTCTGTTCTCAGACCTTTTATTTCCTACCCAATCTTTACGAGTCTGATTCCAAAGAATAAGACCTGGCAAAGGAAATCTCATGGTCAACAATTTTTCCCCTTCCCTTTGCCAATTTTCGTAAGTAGACTTTCAAGTAAAACAAGAACGATTGCCCCAATATGATCTCTTCCAAAATCTCATGTACAAAACTTTAATACAGGTAGTGATAGACGCAGTGAACAACATATATATTGGGAGATTAAAAAATGAAAAACTGACTAAAGATATCCACAAAGCCTATTCAGTAATAAAACAACCTATATCCTCGTTAGAACATAAAGAAGATTGAAGAAAAGCACATATCAGTGACCAAAAAACGGAGGTAATATGAATGTAATGACAAAAATAAAGTACATGAACTGTAACCTTCAAACCGAGAAAAGATATTTTTGATTTGAACATCAAATATAACAACGTGGCATGTAAGAATCTGTTCTCCCAAAATGGTGGTAAGTAGCAATGAAGTCGCCTCAATAAAGTGAAGTTCAGAGCTGGACTGAATCATCATTACACTCCAACCATATTTCCTATATAATTTTAACATGCATGAGATACATTTTGCCACAGAAAAACAGAATGGTCTGCCCAATAAGATTCCCATGAATTAACCAATTTTGTCATGAACAAATTCAATTAATCCACCAGTAGGTGATTTCAGCTTTTATTGTGCAGAGCCATGTAGCTTATTTTTTCTTTCAATTTTTTCATATGTAATGTAATGAAATGTCAGGAAAAAAAATAAAAAATAAAAAATCAACGTTGTATACCATGATTCACAAATTCAGTGGGGTTGCCTGAACCTCCATGAGGATCTGCAGCCTGATTGGTTATACTGGCTGATGAGATGCTTCCCTGTGACTGAACAGCACTGTTGTCCATATCATGCGTGCTGGTGATCCAGAAATCCTCTGATGTACTAGGTTTCTTTGCAGCCTTACCTCGCTTCTTCAATCCTTTTGGCGGAACATCAGCATTAGCAATTAGAGGGGTCTTTTTAAAGGGCCCAAGACAACCACTGCGCTGTTACAATCACATTTAATTCTGTCATGAACCGTAATACAATCATATCAACATGATTTTGTAAATCATCATCCCTAAATTCATATATTGCAATTTAATAGCCAAAACTTGGTTAGCTCACACTAAAGTTTAATCTATTTGATTGGTCCATGCAGAATTTTCCTCATAACAGACAAAAAAATTAGCAAATTACAAGTATATCCAACAAAAAATTGAAATGACTAGATCTTTACTCAAGGACAAGTTAACAAATTACATATGGACCATCTTCCTCAATCCCAATTTAAAGCTCTGACTTCTGAATATTGAAGGCTAGCAAAATGTATTTCAATATCTTACTATAATAGTGTTACACAGTCTATCTACATTGACACCGATAAGAAGAATAGCAATCACTTATATTCTAACACGACATTTCCTTCGAGCAAATTTGGTTCCTAACCTCGGCATTAGATCATTAGCAACACATCTAATTATTATCTAAACAGGGATGATCTTTTAAAATGTTGAGAAGTTATGAATTTTGACAACTTTCCAAACAGAATCCTGTTTTTAACAAACACAAAATACCTTGCCCCTCCACTCCCCACAAGATTTATTGGATTCAGATAATTAAGACAAGAGAAAAATCTATATAATAAATACATAAACAGTTTTCTGTAAGTAACTTCATGGTTTTGTTTCATTTCTCTTTCCTATTTAAAAGGATAGAAAAAAGGAAGTTGGCATATTCACCAATTATCGAATTAAATAGCTAAGCTTAGTCCCTTGCATAGATTTTCAAGACAACTACATCAATAATTCACTAAATAAAAAATTAAAAAGCATTTCCAGATTTTATTAAGTCGCATACCAGTACATGATTATTGGCATAGTTAATATGATCGATACCCATGAAGGGTGAAAGGAAGCAATGAAAAAAAAAAAAGAAAAAGATATAAATTTATTCAGTTGGTTACATTTGAATAGAGAAAACATACCCCATATGCAATGTCTGAAAACCCCAAAAACCCTAGTCAGATCGGCTGAAACGAATCCACGGGTGAATGAAGGAAACGGAAAATGAAGTCAGGGTGTAATCCTGAAAAATAAAAAAATTAAGAACAGAACGGTGAAGAAGCGAATTGGAAATTATTTTAGCAATTTATATGAAAAATGAAGAGCAGAGGGAGAAAAATGATGATATAAAAGGGAAAATGAATGAAGGAAGAGACTTATGGCGGTTGTGTTGTTGTGTGTTACCTTGCAGACAGTCCTCAAATGGTTTGGTTCCCTTCTGCGAGGGAGTCGTTTTTGGGTTCTGTTGCGTTTCTTCTTCTTTTCCAGACAAAAACAGGGATTTTTACGACAATGTACAGCTATTAATTCCACAGGAGAAAACAACACTGTACCTTTTTTATTTTATTTATTTATTTATTATTGTTATTATCATAGTAAGGGGCAAAATCTAAATATTGATAATATTTATTATACTATGTAACTTTGTCTTGTTAATAAATGTTGATAAATAATTTTAAATATACAAGTAAAAGATTAGTAAATTCTTTTGATGTAACTATAACTATATGTAGGTTTAAAATAACAGTAACAAATTATAAAAGAAAAAAATATGAGATTGTGTTAATTAATTTCCTCGTAATCCTTGGTATAAATTATTATAAGTTTGTTAAGGTAGAGCCTTTTGAAGAATACTTCAAGATTCTGTCTTTTTTTTTTAATCTAATTTTTGTTATTAAAAAAAGTTAATTAATATTAAAATATACTATTTCTCTTAATTTTCTATCATTAATTCTAATTAGTCTTTTGTTGATATATGAAAATACTAAATTAAAATCAGATAATTAGTAACAAATAATATTTTAAATATAAATAATTATATTTTTTGTTAAATTTGTAATTGATTTTTGTTATTGTGTTTGTGGGTTTTCTGTATGTTAGTGATATTTGTATTTATTATGTTTTAAATATGTAATTTAATCTAATAGTGTTATTAGAGTCACCAGTTTTATTTTATTTTCACAAATAACTACACTCTTCACTTTTATTTAAATAATAATAGTTTTAAAAATATTTTATAAAAAAATTGATAAAAAAATTAGATAAATTTTAATGTTAAATTCATTATAATAAACAAAATTAAAATTAGTTTTTTAATATAATTTTTTAATAAAAAATATAACATATTTTGATTATTTTATTACATATTAATTTTAAATAATAATTATTATAATATATTTTTATTTTATTTTTTAATATATTTTATATTTATAATTTTTATTATAAATTATATAAAATATATAATAGTATTTTTTAATCAAATAAATATTATTATTAATAAGTTTATTATATTATAAAATATTATTTTATTAATTACTGATTAAATTTTAAACTCACGTCTGTTAACAATGGATTCAATTTTAAAAACATTCCGATAAATGGAATTTTGAAGTGCAGTACGAAAAAACCCTATAAATTCACAAACCCTGGATGCGAGAACAGCAAGACTCACTGCAACAACACTTCACATCGCTTCAATCTAACACATATAACTACTCTAACTCTCAGTGCTTCTAAAGTTTCATCGTTTTACATCTATTGTTTTCTAATTTTTCTGGGTTACTCCAAACAGAGGAGTCACAGAAAGAAAAAAGCTTATTTTGTTTCACTGCTACCTTTGGTGATGGATTTTGAATCAAATTATGATATTGTTGGCTCTGCCCAATTCATTCGCACTCACGACTTCACCAGAGTTGCCTTACAAGTAAGACCCTCTTCTCACTTTCACCTTTCCCTCATAATCATCAATACCTGAACAAAACACTAGTATTTTACAAGTGCTTGTTTTTATTAACACTACCTCCAAGCCCACACTAAATATTGAATATTTGTAGATTCCGTGTAAGGGGCTATTACTATACTTATTTGCAAGAATATTCATGTGAATTTCAGTTTCCCGATCATCTTCTAAAAGATTCAACAAGAGTGGTCACTGCTCTGCGCAAGAGACTTCAATCATTGAAAAAAATTGATGTCACAGAAGGTGGGCATGAGAAAGACGTAGGATTGTTTGTAATGGCAGACACGGCCTATGGCAGTTGCTGTGTTGATGAAGTTGGAGCATCACACATTAATGCTGACTCTGTCATACATTATGGACATACATGTTTTAGTCCGTGGGTACTTCTTAAACATTTTTTAAATCTTTTATTGAGCTTATTTTACAAATCCTGTGTCTTTTTTTCCTCGTCTGATTTGAGAGTGTAGAGATGTATTTGATATAACTATATCCATCTGTGCATGGTACAGCCCAGTCATTTATGCTGTTAGATCATAAGTTAAGCTTCCTTTAGATTCAATTCCTTCTTTGAGCACTTCAACCTAAATGTAATTATAGTGTTTGTGTTTTTTTTTTTTTAACCTTAATTAAGTGTTGACATTCTCTTTCTTTGGATCCTCTTTTCTCTGTGCAGGACAACAAATCTACCAGCCTTTTTTGTTTTTGGGAAGGCTTCTGTTTGCATACCTGATTGTGTTGAAAGTATGTCAAAATATGCTCTGATAAATAGTAAGCCTATCATGGTATGACTAACTTTTTAATCATTCCTGGATTCATACTTATATAAATTAACTGAATTTTGTAATGTATGTGAAATAATGTAGCTGCAATTGTCATCTGGTGATAATTGTTCAGACTATGAACTGAAATTCTCATCCTTGTGCAGTTATTTTGGGATGATTTACATTACTTTGCACTTGCTGATTTTTCCAGCTTCTCTGTCATATATAAGAAAAGTTTATAGGTATTTTTCTACCATATAGGTTGCTGACATTTACTGTTTCATGGACCACATGCTTCCAGGTCCTTTTTGGGCTGGAATACGCACATTCAATACAACAAATTAAAGAAAGACTATTAAAACCATCAGACCCTAAGCTAGAAGTTCACTTTGCGGATGTTCCATCTTCAGTTATGTTTCCATCAAAAGATACTAAGAAGATAAATGGGCTTCAAGAACCAGCCAGTGGTTACCATGGGGAAAGTGGAACTACATATAGCATTGGGGGATTGACTTGGAAATTACCTGAGGGACAAAGCATGGATGACTACTCGCTCTTTTGGATTGGACTTGATGATTCAGCTTTTGCTAATGTTGTGCTCACATTCAATACTTGTGATATAGGTTGACAGTTTCCCGTCCTTTGTGAATTTTTTCATGTGTATCTGTATTTTTCTTTATATGGCACAAATCTATACGTTGCATTTGCATATAAAAGCTTACCCTTTCTTATGGAACCTTTATTGCATTCCATAAAGTTCTTATGTCAATCGTTGTTGTTAAGATCCCAATTAAGATCATGAACTTGTTTGATTCTGCAATTTTAGAAGCCAGATACGAGCTGGATTGGTGGCAGGATTGTGAGTTTGTGAGATTCACAATCTTGGCCTTTATATTTCTAATGAAAGACTTATCTGACCAATTATGAGTGGTATTGGAATTTGAGCTTATGAATTTTCAATTTTAGTTCGATGATGTGATTTAGAGGTTATTATCCTTGTTTATCTCACTTTATACACATATATGTTTAAGAATAATTTTGCATGGTTCTTACGATCCCCACCTCAAATTTATTAAGATCTCAGTTTTGACAACATAGATGTCAATTGCTTCATTTAATTTTGGCTTCTTATCTTATCGTGTACATTGTATTTCTATCATGAAATGGCAGGAGAGAAGTAGTTGGTAAACAAATGTCATGTTTTGTACGGCATCTCTAAAAAAATGATATATTTTGGGAAGCTAATCTTCCTGAAATTACTACATTGTTTTAATTTTACTTTTATACCTATAAGTTATAACATGCATATGAAATGAAAAAGCTTTTCAACTTATTTTCTACTTTAGATTCCTTGGTGAATCATGATTGTAATTATTATTATTCTGTTGGTTTTAGTCAGATATGATGCAAATGAAAATCAAATGGTGACAGACTTGTTTCAACAAAGGAGGATTCTTAAACGAAGGTATGTATCCCAATATAAACACATTGCTCTGTTTTGTGTAAGCCATCTTATGTAATCAATTTAATAAGCTAGGGTGATGGCTATGCAGATATTACCTTGTGGAGAGGGCTAAGGATGCTAATATTGTTGGGATTTTAGTTGGAACTCTTGGTGTTGGTATGTTTTCATGTCAAAATTTGTTTCTCTTTTTTTTGGTGTATGCTTATTACTAAAGTAACATGAGCATATACAGAATTATATTGTCACATTCCTAGTGAAGCTCTGTAATATCACAAATTTCCTAAAAACATTTTATTTGAACATTATTGTCTAGTGAGAAAGGATATCAAGAGTGAATCCTTGATGTTACTTACCTTGAATGAGATGAAAGAACACTTTCCTGACTTGAGGAACATTACTATGTGTGACACCATTTGCTTATTGACTATGATTATAGAATGCATACTTTAATGGTTCATAGTCTTAATCATGGTTTGGGTAGCAATAAGAAATGTGGAAACTTTCTCATATGTGAGTAAATATTTTATATTCTTGTTCTTTTCAAAAGAAATGGGATTTAATTTAACATATTTCATACTGATACAGCTGGTTATCTTCATATAATCAATCAAATGATGGAGCTCATTACAGGAGCAGGCAAGAAGGCCTATACTTTGGTTATGGGAAGACCAAACCCAGCTAAACTTGCTAACTTCCCTGAGGTGAAATACATTACATCCTTAGTAAATAATTCAGTCTGTCTTTATGTGCAAACTTTCTAACAGAGTTTGATTTCATCAGTGTGATGTTTTCCTATACGTTTCTTGTGCCCAAAGTGCTCTACTAGATAGCAAAGAGTATCTAGCTCCAGTTATTACTCCCTTCGAAGCAATGATAGCTTTCAATAGGTACATTATCGTAGTTAAACTTACTTTTATTCTAAAAATTTCTCTCTGGTGATAGTTTTCTGTAGCCTCTCTATGTTTAGTTTATTGTAAATCCATGATTTACTTGATTTCTGATGTGACCATATTAATCTGTTTCCAGGGGAAGTCAGTGGACAGGAGCCTATGTAATGGAATTTCGAGATCTAATTAATTTGCCTCAAACGGAAGTTGCAGACCAGGAGGAAGAAGCACGGTTTTCATTCTTGAAGGGTGGATACGTTGAAGATTTTGGAAATCAAGGTAGTTTCTATTCCTTGCTTCATACTTGCAACTGAATAGTTACTTTTATTGAGTTTTTTTAAATGAAAAAAAAAAAGAACATCTTCATAATTCTGAGATAATCGAAAAAATAGTAAAGATGTGTTATTCTTAATCACAGTGGACCATCTGCGTAAAAGGAAAGTTCCCTTGAAGAGATTCAATTGTATTATAACACCTAATCAGGCATGAGATTGTTGCTGTTTCATGGAATACATAATTTTCGGTTGCCATAACCCATAAATTGTCACAGCTACTGCTGCAAGATATTGTGTTTATCCATTTTACCACTAAACCTTAAAACTGAAGCTGGTAAAAGAGTGTAATGCTGGTAGTGATTCAGTGGTTTATTCCTTGTTACCAAGTAAGATCATAAATATTAATTTATTTTCTTATGACAAAGTTTATATTTTTATCAGAAAATGTTGAGGAGGAAAGAGAAGCCCTTGCTTTAGTAAATGCAACAGAGAAGGCACTGCAGTTGCGAAATAACTCTAATGCTATAGTGAAAGGGAATGCTAGATCAGGAGCAGAGTTTTTGGCTACTCGATCTTATCAGGGGCTGAATATGCCCATTGAGAATATCTCCCCAGAGCCGTACCTCATAGGAAGGAGAGGAAGGGCATCTGGGTACGAGGATGAGAAGAACCAACAATGAAATTTTGGGACAACAAATGAGAGGTGATACAATACAGACATAAACTATGTTTTTTTTTTCTTTAGGTTGTAGTAGTAAAATGAGAACTAGTAAGGTCAGAGATTGACTAGGGAAAGAAGAGTAACAGTCTTTGGTTGTTGTCTCTAAAGCCTAGCGAGTAATTGGTGGAGCAGGTCGTGCAGTTTGGTTGGTGAGTTTGGCAAGCAAACCAACTCCATGGCACCATATTGTCTATTATGATGGTCATTCTTTCGTTCCATTATCTTTTCATTGTTATCTTCAATGATTTTTATTTGAATTTTGTGAGGAGAACTTGAACATGAAATTCCTAGTTTGGATGTTTGATAAAATCCAAGTCATAGATAAAAGTCCATAATCAATTTCATAGCTTTTGGTTTAGTTTTAAATGGTGCTGTTAAGTGCTCATTTCTTAATCCTTTGTCTTGAAATCTATCTGTTCAATGATAGCAATGTTCATTTCTAGATTATCCTTGAACAAACCTTAATATAATATTCTTTAGTCAAATAATGCTGTTCTTTTGTTTGACTATGAACAGCTACATTCTCCCAAAGTGTATTAATCTTGTGCATTATCAAATCAATGTATATGACTCATTCCTCTTTTCCATATACAATTGATAATGAAAACGACTAATTGAACAACCACCTCACTTGTTTAATACAAAAAATATATTAATGGACAAAATTACTTTCTTATGAAAAAAAATATTATAATGTAATTCAATAATAACTTATTGAAGATGTTAGATTTTTATTAACAATGATTTTTTATGAATTGACTGTAAATTTACCCTGACGATACATCACCATCAACCTATAGTATTGTTTATTGGCAGCAAGAACAATCTGTAGGTTACAAATACATAATGCCTCATATGCTCCTTGCTAATAATATGACTTTATCTAAATGTGAAATTAGAGTTAAAATAAATTAAATTAGAATAATTATCCTAAATATGCATGACCTAACTCTCAAATATAACATTTAAATAACATTTATATGAAAAAATGTAATATTTTTTTAGCCTTATCTCACATTTTAAAATAAGTTATTTTAAGTAAGTTAACCATGATTTCAAAATTATTTAATAGACTTGAACTTTTCTTGAGAAATCAACACTAATGAGAAAAATGGTTGAAATGCAAATAAAGATTTGTTTCATTGAAGTGGGTGGCAGTTATTGTGTTCGAAGAAAACAAAAGTTTTGCCAATAATAATATATGCTTAATTAGGAATGGGACAAAATCCTACAGTATCAATCTACAGCCACAAGAAAAGAATACCCCAGATTTTTTATCTTTTAATTTTTGAATTGGATTTATTTAAACCCTCCTCACCACAAAATTATATTTGAAAAATTAAAGTCTGATAGACTGAGACAGAACAGGGGAAGAGAGAGACAGAGAGACAGAGAGACAGAGACAGGTTGTTGAGTTTTTGTGTGTTCTTCAAATTCCTTAAACAAATGTACAAGACAAGTACATGGTTTGATCTATGGGTGCAGAAAACAGGGTATTAGCATTAGTAAGAACACTCCATTCTGTGCACTCGCTCCCTCAAAATCCCGTTATACAAAGCGATTCTGTTCGCCGGCATTCCGACACAATCCGAAGTTTCGTCTCTGCAGTTGTTTGATACTCTGTTTTCCTCTTTCCTTTCTCTTCCTTCCTTCTTCACACTATCTGCGAATTTCACTTTCTTCTTCGTCTTCTTTTTCTCCTTTTTCTTTTCCTCTGCATGCAAAACTTAGTTAATGCAAATCTAAAGAAGGGGAGAGAGATTCAATAACATGAAACAAATAAAAATGAGAAAACATCTTGCAGAAGTTATTCCGGAAACAATTGTAAAAATATAAAGTATAAAAAGATAATTGCTTGAGAATTTGTCGAAGCAAACAGCTTCTGGAAAAGTGGGAAGAACAAAAAAGAAAGTGAATATACCGGAATACAAGCAAGAGCGCAAGGTGGGTTTGTTGGAGTGGTGAATTTGAAAAGAAGGGGTGGTCTTTTGCCTGGAGAAAGCAACATAGAGGAGAGTGGTTGAGAGAAGCATGGCAGAGGTGAGAACAAGACTTTGTGAGATAGAAGCCATGTTGGTGTGTTGTGCGAAAGAAAGAGGTGAAAAGAGTAATGATAATATGGGTGAAGAGGTGGTTGGAATCACGGGTAGAAAAAGAGAAAAATATATAATGAAAGAAATTGGTGTAAGGTGTGATATGTAGAAGAAAAAGAATGGCAGAAGTTTATTGGTAGTTGGTGATGTGATGTGAGTATCTAGATTTCTGTGTGTTGGTGCAAGTAGTGTTCGGTTTGGTTTTGGTTTTCTTTCTGCTATGTTTATGTGATGGTTAGAGTCACAGTGTTGAAGTTATAGCAAGAAATTTGAAGAAACCAAAACATCGATGAATGCGGTTGCGGTTTGTAGGTTTGTATCATGTTTCAGTGTGTCTTGTCTTCTCCTGTGAGGTGGGGTCACATTCAACCACAGCCACCTTACCATCACTTTGGATTATTTCTCAAAAAAATCTCTGACAAATTTTAAATACCAACCTAGGTTCAACTATTGAAATAGTTATCTTATTTTTCTTCGGAAGTCCCACATCGCCAACATTGTCATATTAGTATCATTTAAACACAAATTATATTATTTTGTATATTATCAATTTATTTTAGGTTACAATCTTAATTTAGTATCAGAACTAAATCTAATTTCTTTCCTTTTTTTGTTTAGGGTCAGGAGTTGTTTTTTTTTTTTTTTCAAAAACTATTCTTTATCTGGTTTGGTGAATTATTTCACGTATTGTAAATTCTCATAATCTTAGTAATTTTAGCTTTTTTCTCGTAATCTTAATAATTTTAGTTTCTTTTTTATTATTATTCTATCTTTATTATAGTTAGAATTGGGCAGATGAAAAAAATTAAAATTGAAAGATATGTTAAAGGATATTATAAAAATCAAACCTGCATTTCATCATAAATTTAAGCAATGTTTTAATTATATATTACTATGGATCAAGAGTGAACACTATAAAAATTAGCAGATAATTTTTTACTATTTTTGAAAGTTAGTATGATAAAATTTATTTTCTACAGCTACTCTTTTCTGGATTTTTCCTTCACCAATTTAAATGAGACATTTTATAGAAAGAAGAGAATTCAAATAAAGTTTCTGAATTATTCTCTGTCAATTTTTAAAATTGAACGATTTACAATCTCAAAGTTATTTATAAAAGAACGGTAGAAAACATAATTTGAGTCACATGCAAGAAGCGGAAATTGCTTATCCTCATAATTTTAATCCTATTTGTCAAAAATGAGTTGACCCAATAGAATAATTTTTATTTTGAAAAGCTAATTGTTAGTATTTAATTATAACTTATTAGGATTTCATTTGTATTTATCAATAGTAAAAAATAATTTATGTTTTTAAAATATTTATGAGAATATATATATATATATATATATATATATATATATATATAAGTCTTAAAAATATTTACTAAATATTAATGTAATTTAATTTTTTTATTTATTTATTTCCTACCTCGGTTGTTTTTATTTTTTAATGAAAATAATGCATAAAAAACAAGTTACAATTTTAAATTAAATTAAAATTAAAAATATGAAATAGTTAATGAGTATCATTAAATAAAATTATTAAAATAAGTGAAATACACAGACAAGTCTTATAAAAAATAGAAAAGGAAAACTTTAATTACTAATAAAATTTACTTTATGTCTTGTCTTTATTAAAATTTACTTTATGTCTTGTCTTTATTAAAATTTACTTTTAGATAATGTATTTGATTCTATAATTGAAAAAGATTATATTCTATATATAATAATAATAATAAAAAAGTAAAAAAACAGTTCAAGCCAAGATTCCTTCACCTTAAATCGTTTTTTCTAATTGAAATAGTAGTTAAAAATTAGAAATTGATAAATAAATTTTTAAAATTAATCATAATTTTTGTTTCTCTTAGATCTTACTATTTAAAAACCAAAAAAAATGAGTAAACACTTTGCAATCTCACGGTCAAATTCAGTTCTTACAGGTGTTAAGTGACTAACTATATTATACGATAGAAACATTGAATTAAAGTCAATGAATAATCAATCTGATTGAAAAACTAGTTTACACGTGTCGTGTGATGCAGCGAGAGTGAGAAAGGACAGAACATTATCCTAAATCTCAAAGTGCAACCCAACATCATGCGTGTACGGACCAATATCTTTTACTCTTATGAAAAGATTTGCATAGTCGTGCAGTTATATATCTCTTTCTATTCTATTTTTATACTTTACGTTTTATAATACAAAATAAAATATATTTTTAATTTTTTGTGGTTAACATTTTAATAGGTTTTGTTCTAAATTGGAGAAAAAATCTAAAAAATATAAAAAACCTAGAATTCGTGTATACTTAAAATTCTAAGCACTGTGGAGGGTCATATATTCACGACATTTCCAATCATGCTTTCACGTTTTGATTTTTATATATGTAAATTATTAAAATATTAGTCTTTTAAATTAAAATAAATAAAATGATTTTTTAAGATATTAAATCAATTTATTGTTAGTATCTTTATTGAAGATATGTTAATACTATTACTTGAATTTTAAATTAAATAATTGATATATTATTTTTTTAAAATTATAATGTTTATTTCAAAAAGTAATTTAACAATGTTATGTAGTGATACATTATTCTAAATTTCCTGTTACTCATTTTAATAGTGTCATCTTCAAATCATCCCATTAAATTAAACTAAATGGAAATTTTCTTTTAGAATATATACTCAAATAGTGTTTTATCCTTTAAATAATGAAGCGATAAGTATCTCTTTTTTATTATTATTATGAATATTTTTATTAACACATTTCTTGTAAAAAGTACTTTTAAAATGTGTTTTTAAATAATACATAAATATTTTAAAATATAGTACATGAATTATGCTTGTGACAGTAACAAATGAAATAATTGAAAGAAACCTTGGTAGTGTGAGAGGAAAAAAATGTAAATAAAATTAATTTTATATGGTGTTTACTTGAAAGAGAAAAAAAAGATTATTTAAAAACAATAGAAGTTTTACTGTATTATTTTTCACTTATTTTAATATATTCATTTCTTATTTATTATCAAATTACACTTTATTTATTTGTATATTACTAAACATTTAGAAGTTTACCTTTTATTTCTATTTTTTCAATTTATTTTTTCACTCTTTATATTTTTATTTTCTAAAATTTAAGGATAAAAATAAAATTAATTGGAGGATCATATTGCAACCTACAAAACTAATAAGCATGAACTACTTTATTCAATAAAATAGTAATTGTATAACACAGAATAATAAAATTAAAAAAATTAATCAAAATAAATAAATAAATAAACAAGTGGTGATTTTTTTTAAGAAAATTAACATGACTATAATATAATATTTCGTTTATCTTAAAATATTATAATATTAAGTTATACGTTTTTCAGTTTTTTATTTTTATTTAATGTGTAATTTTAATTTATATTTTGATTCTTAATAATAAGATGAATATACATAATTTTATATATTTATTTATAAATTATTATTATTATTATTATTTTTAAAATAATTTTATAAAAATATAATTTATGTAATTTAAAATATTCTTAATTTTTTATTAGATTTATATAGTTAAATTTTTTGATTTGTTTATATTTTTTTCTACAAAATAAACATCACAAAATATATTAATATAATTTAAACATTTTTTTTATGGATAATGACTAAGACTTAATAATATTGTTGAAGTTTAATTCCATTTTTGTAGTATTTGACAGTGAGAGGATAGGAACACATGCTTTCTGGCTACGGAAAAGAAAATCATTTTTGAAGAATGTAGAATATGAGGTATTTTTTTGCTAGTGTGTATTCTGAAAATAAATTTTTATATAACTTTAGAATTATTTTTTAAAAAGATAAAATTAAATACGTATAAAAAAGTATAATTATATGATAAAAATTGCAAAGAAAAGGGTAGAACGAGACCAATATGATACTGTAGTATTTGACAATATCAGTGTATATTATCCTTGTCTTCAAAATACTGCATTCAAGAATTGAGAGGCAGGAACACAAAGACCACATAATTGAATAACATTGTAGCAAATTAAGAGTTTGGTGATTAAAAAAAATGGCAGAAAAAGAAATCCCTCAATTTTGAGTAAACAAGATAATAAAACTCAGACTCTATTTAGATAAGATAGAATATCTGATATGGTTTTAAAGTTGTTTTTATCCTTTCCCAAATTTCAAGACTATTCATAAAGTTACTTTCATATCCATCTTCTTCAAAATGGTGTGAATCTGGACTTGATTCTGCTAGCAAATCTACTAGTGTGAAAGCAAGAGTTTGACAGGGGAGGGTAATTCCTTGTCTAGCCTGGAAATTGTGGAAAAGGAAATCTTCTGTTTATCTCATTTTTCTTCCAGAAATCAAAGGACAAAATTACTTCACATGACTCAATAAAAGGCCAAAAACACTAACTCAGAATCGAAAATAACATTATTTGGCAACAGTGAAACTCACTACAGATGTTCAAATGTTGTGAAGAAACCAGAAAAACATGTATCATAGATATAGTCATGCAAACAGATAGGAGCATTCTCATCATCAGATTGCTAAAATCTGGAAGTCAGTCTTCAGAATAAAACCATCTTAACATGACCATTACAATAACTGCTCACTCACTATAGTTTATTAACAAGCACATATAATGAAATTAAGTAGTGAGGATGGGTGGCAGGTAGTCAACTTTGTCGCCAAGAACTCGGGCCTTGGTGTCAGGAAAGAATTCAAATCCTGGAAGCTCGGTGACAGTTCCTTCGCTGGAAACCCCAATAGGATAGCTGAGTAAATGGCCTGGAAGGTCATGTTCAAGGGTTTCACTCGAATAGAGATCCCAATACTTGTCAGCAATCTGGTTCACCTTCCTGATACATTCTGTAGTTTCAGGATAAAGGAAGGAGTCATGAAGCATGCCAAGGTGCTCATACCACAATGACATGCGGAAACCATGGATCTGACCCCTTGCAGGCTGTGTCGTCGCCAAATGAAAGGGTTGATAAGCACCCATTGCAATCTCAGAGTCTCTTGCACCATCCATTGATCTCTGGTTTATGTTGGCAGATCCAACAATTATGTACTCATCGTCAACTGCAAAAGAAAGAAACAGTTCTAGCACTTTCAGAACTTATAGTATCATCAGGGAATATTTCTATGAGATAGAAAATCAATTTTGTAGTATTTATTAGCTTATTTAAGCATCTTACATTTTGTTACCCGAAAAATAAATTTAAAGAAAGACATTGTCTGTTTTCACAGTTCAGGCCATTTTTTGAGTTATTCTCAATGATTTGAGACCCTTTTTTAATGTGTAAAGATAATAGTATCAGTTTAAAAGGATGATTCCAAGAAATGGTTTGAAAATCCAGATTACAGTGAGTAAGAATAAAAAAAAAAGCCAGATTAATTTTCTGAATTACCTATCATCATCTTGGCATGAACATATATCATGAAGCGCCGGGCCTCTTGGGCTCTTATATAATCTGTATTAGCATCTGGGCTTTCTGGAGGCTGGTACTCTCCTTCTTTCTTCACCTCCCGATTACCAAGGCAGAAGAATGTCAAATAGTTCCGAGGATTTTCTTCTATTCCCTTTGCCCGGAGTGCCTCAACGACATCCTTGTACATCATATCCATTGTTCTCCTCTGCCAATCCAATATTGCCTGAACTGATGCACTTTCTGGGACACCCTCTGGCCACATTGGAACAACAACGTACACATTGAACCTCTCCCCAGCTTCAATCTTACTTACAATCTTGAGTGAAAGCTCCTTTGGGATTAGATGCAAAGCACCAATGTCTTCAGGCTTAATGCCATCAGCACTCCAAGCATAACAGCTTCCAAGGAAATACTGATTCTCAATATAGATGAAATTTTTTGCGCGTCTAATGGCATTAATATAAGCATCTTGTATACTTCGATCTATTATATTATCCTTCCCACTAACTAGCCCGGCTCTAGCAGCATCTTCAGGAGTATCTGGGAACCCAAAAGCAGCTCCTCCATCAATGGATCTAAATAACTGAACGTTCCATGTCTCACGATCATCAAGGTAAGTTACTGGGGATGGAGGAATAATAACATTTTCAAGGTCTCTCAGTGGAACAAGTAAGTCCTTTCCTCCCTGCTTCCTCCATCTTTGCTCAAAGTTGAACAAAACATCCCAAGCAATAGGCCCTTCAAGTCGAGAGTGGATGTCATGCCAAGGTTCCCTGGGGCCACCTTTCTTTATTGAAGAACCACCGAAGTTAGGCTGATGAAAATCATCATGGTGTGCTGTGTCCAGAGTTCTGAAAAGAGAATGGAATTGAGTGTCATACCTTCCATCACAGAGATCAATACCCCCCACAAAACTAACAATTCTTCGCCTATCAGATTCTCCACTCGGTAAGTCACTGTCCACCACTACGATTTTCTGGTGATGAGTAAACATGGTGGAAATTTCCAAATCCTGAACAATGCTTCCACCATCATCAGGATTGCGAGGGCATAAAACACAATGCACTTCGGTGCCCCTGAAGTACTCCTCTGTTTCTTGATCATGAGTAGCCATCAACCCATCTTTTTTTAACAAAGGAACCGAAGTTCTATCATCCCAGACAAGCATTAAAACCCTGACACCTTCATTTGCTTTTTTCTTCAGAAGCTCACCAAGTGTTGCATCTCCTCCAGGCTTTGGCCTCCTAGAATCCCTTACCAACGTAATCTCAGTATAGACAGACCAACCGGTAATGTATATTATGTGCTGCGCTTTAGTGATTGCATCAAAAACATCCTCCCAACATCTATGAGGTTGGTAAGTCTGCCCGCCACTAAGTGGTATTTTAGGGACAAAGTTGTCTGGTACATGAGCATCTTGGTACAGGGAAACCTTACATCCTCTTCTTTGTGAAAAAAAAGTATAAGGAACTCCAGGAAATTTAGGACTTCTAATGCCTAGAGCCCAGTTCCGGTCTTTTGAAATATCAAAATATTGCAGCTTCACGTGGATCTTGGAATTTCCATGTATTGGATTTTTATGCACATCCAATATTTCAACCCATCTATCTATTTCTTCACCATCCAAGATTTCCTCAACAGGCACATATGCTCTTCCAATTAAGGTTGCCCCAATAGGATTACCATCTTTCACTGTAAATATGATGTTTGATGCCATATGGGCACAGTAAATGTGAAAGGACTCGTACCATCTTGGATTACTGTGCTCCTTTTCTATAATTCTGGTCCTTCCCACTCGAGCCTTCTCTAGATCAATGGTTGCATATAGTTTAGTGATACCCTTTCCAAAACCAACCTTCTCCTCGACGTTATGTAAGACCTAAATCAGAAAAATATATCCGGAATTAGAATTTCAGGAGTCAAGAAAAAACGTACATGGACATAAAGGTGCTAAGTAAAACAATTGAGTATTATCATTTCATCACGCGTGAATGGATAATCTACAGTTATATCATGACTGCATGGATCGGGAAAAAGAGGAGATGGAAATTCTAAAATGAATATGGCTATTCAACAGAATAAATTGAGAAGGCAAAGCATCTCAGTATATTCAGTGGCTTTGATAAGGATGCTTAGGATTCTGAAAGCTGTTGAGGTGAAAACATAGCATATGCAGAGTAAAGTGTAAATATTGTAAAATTAAAAATTGCTGAGGTAAAAGACCAGTTCAATGAACCATAGCTATTTCAATTGAAGGCAGATACGCTGACTGCAATTTGCAGTCAACTGTGCTTCGAGAAGGCTTGACTATGTAATAACAAGTTAATAACTATTTCCCTTCGGCTTTCACCCTTACATCAAATATGTGACTTTCAAGTAGAAAATAGTATAATATGAGGTCTTAAAATTAAACAATGAAATGGGCAATGCTAAAAAAGAATGTCTCATTGCTACTAGGTTGAAACACACTATCCCCTTTGAAAATCAAACGATGAATTATTTGTAAAAAGAAAAAGAAGAAATCTTTTTGAGTCATTCTTCTTTTAGGGAAACTTGATCTTCATTTTTATATTTTATAATTGATCTAAACCCTGTTAACATTATCACAGTAACACGATTACAAACTAACCCGTAACAATCATGCCGTGAGCCACATGATAGTAGTGACGAAATGTAAAGATTAAATTCAATAATTTTAAAATATAGAGATCTAAGATCAAATATTCAAGGACAAAAAATATATTTTACTAAAAAAAAGTCAAAAGTATTGATTACATACTTTAGATAGGATTGTTCTCATGCTGCAGTTAAAAAAATATTCATCCCCTTAAGTTATTTTAATGTCATAATAACTTCAATTTTATCCAATAGAGAATGAATACTTTAAAACTCATACCTAAATTTTTACAAACATTTTACTCAAATAAAAGTGTTTTTATAAAACTTAATTATAGAATATGTCAAAATGAAATATTTAACTAAATTCAAGCATAATAAACTAATTAATTACAAAACATATCTTTGTGTCATGTGCTAATATCAAAGTAATTCAACTAAATAAATGAGAGAATGAAGCCTTAGGTAGGAATCTCGTAGCAGTTTCTTAAATCAGAAAGGTGCATCTGTGGACTGTCACTGTGGACGAGGAATTTGCCATTTGGAGCTTTCCTTCCCTGACATTTCCACCGTAGTAAAACCCAGTTCAGCATATTACTCTCTATTTTCTCTCTCCTTTTCTCTTTTTTCCTTATGTACCACATCAAGGAGATGGGTATATCGCTCCCAATATTCAATCCTCACCAGATAAATCACTCAGCCATTGTAGATCATTTTTCACATGATTCTCATCTCCAATCTAAAGTCCATTCTTTCTTGGCTTCACTTGTCTGTTTTCTAGAGACTATTTTTTTGTAATATTTGTTATCTAAATATAAGCAAGTGTGTCTGAAAGAAGCAACTCTAATTATGAAAAATCTGCTGAGAAACAAGCAAGTGTGTGTGAAAGAAAGTTTGGGGAAGCAAAGGGAGAAAAAACTGTCATTAAAGTCAACACTCCAAATACACCCATATCATTTATAAAAGCATTCAATATATCCATGTAATGGATTTAATCCCTAACCTTTCAAGTTCCGATCAACTTGCCTATTACTACCATTCAACAAATTTGTTCCTTCAAGAAATTCGAAAAACACTTGAAAAGTGGAAATTCTGGAAGTGACAGACCACAACACTGTTGAAAAACTGATTTTACAGAACAGAAACTCCGAAGATATCTCCTTGTAAAACCAGAATCCGTAAGAGAGATTCATCGGTGATCAGGTTAAGGATGCCACAAAGGCAGTGACAGAGCTCTGCAGACACAGCTATGATTGCTACCATCACAAAGTTCAAGAATCTTACCAATATTCAGGATTCTGAACTGAAAACAGTGATAACACTAAGCTAGAGTACTAATACTACTTTGCTAATATATTAATAAAGGTTTAAGAAATTTAAGAAAGCAAACCTTGGTTATGAAATTGTCACCACCAATTTTGAGCTTATCCACTTCATAGATTGTGGCATGAAGAGTGCCATGGAGCAGAATTTGCGCCATCACTCAGTACCTAACAATTCACACACTCAATTATAATTGGATGGAACCAAAGCTTGAAAGCTGGTGGCACTCTCACTGATCAAAATACAGAGTGTGGATAATGTTTAAGAAGGAAGAAGAGAGGAGAAGGAGTAGGTGAACAGGAGTGAGTGAAAGACTATGAACATTGCTTGAAGAAAACGATAACAATGGCTACTGGTAGTTATATAATATAAAAGTGTGCATTGTTTTTGACTAGTTGCTAGTCCCATTTGCCAAATGACATTAAATTGTATTCTTCTCTCTTTTCAACAAACTGTATCAATTATCACTCACCCCATCTTCAATCCTTTATCATGTTATAATTATCAAATTTAATGCACAATGAAAGCATTTCTTTTGTTAGCATGTAAATATTTCACTGGTTTTAATTTCTTTTACAATACCTTCTTATTAATCCTCTTAAACATTAATTTTTTACAGTAAATATTATGTGTTTCTATATCTTTAATACATCCCATAAATGAAAAAATTAAATTATATAGCTTTTTCTTTAATGCTATTCTATAATATATATATATATATATATATATATATATATATATATATATATATATTACCTTATCTTGTTTGGTACTTTAATAAACATGAAAAAAAAATATAAATATAAATAGTATTTCAAATTTTATAAAATTATTATGTAATGTATAATAAATATTTTATTTATTTAATAAATTTTATCTCATATTATATATATATATATATATATATATATATATATAATGATTAATGATGTAATATAAAAAAAAAACTAATGTTTCATATAACAATTAAAATGATTTTTTTTAAAAAGTAAGAAAAAAGAGACAGAGAATAATGGGATGAGTTTTATTAATCTACAAATATATTATTTTGAAGTACTTTTTTTCCATAATCACATATTGTGTAAAAATATCATTCTAATAATATAGAATATCTAATAATTAATCATTTAAAAAATAGATAGTTGTCTTTGACGTGTTTCTAGAAAGATTCAAAGTTAATTTCATTTCAAATATCTTTAAGCAATCTTAATAAATTGTTTATATAAATAAGTTAATATATGAAATTTATTCATATTTTTTAAGCTTTTAGAAAAAAAAAACATTTAGTCAAAATTTGACATCATTTTATATACTTTTACATTTAGCGTATTAAAATATAACTCATTTATATTGATTAAAAGGAAGTGTGCTTGCCATACTTTTTCTATTGCAATTTAGACGTGATAAATTTAAAGTCAAAGTTTCTAGAATGTTGATTATTTTTTTTGTTAAGAATTCAATGTTTCTAGATTGTTTATTGATAAAAAGTTTAAATAAAAAATGGATTACTCTATTTTCTAAACTAATTAAATATTTAGTAGTATTTCCCTTCTTGTTGACTTTCTTTATTGATTTATTTGAAGTTTATATTTTTTTAATAATAACAAATTTATAAACAAAATTTCAACACAAATTTACAATTATTTAAAAAAATATATATATATATATATATATATATATATATATATATGAAAATTAAAATATATTAAACTAAACTAAGTTTTCGATTGACCTAACAAGCAACTCTAGATTATTAACACACATTGACTTAATCAGACACTATAAATTAACAAAAATCAATTATATTTATAATCTATTGATCCAAATAGTTCTAATATAATAAATAACATAATTTAACATATCTAATAAATTTTATATAATAAGATACTAATATATGAATTAATTAATAAAATTTAAGACAATGTAATTCTATAATAAATTTAAAAATAATATTATGATAAAATAATTAATATTTAAAAAAATCTTGATAACATAAATTTATAACAAAAAAAACTGAACAACATAATCGATAAATAATTTTTAAAAATTATATAGTAAAAATAAAAATAAAAACGTATTCAACCAATTATATTATTTTTTTATTGACTTCATCGGTTAAACCGGATCGGTTTTACAACGTTATTAAAAAACATATATATAAAAGAAAAGGCATGTGATGAAACTTTAATTCCTACCTAAGATACCTTTTTTATAGGATCCTCAACCACTAATTATAGTTTTAAATTTGAATCATGATTTAGATGTTGACACGTGTAATCACGTTAGAACAATAACTTAATGATTAAATAATTATAAAATTGTTATTGTTGAATATTCATAAATTACTGTCATAAATCACGTTGTTGAACTGTTTATATATATATATATATATATATATATATATATATATATATATATATATATATATATATATATATATATATATATGATTTTGGATCTAGTGTTCTATGTTTAGTTCCAGGACTTAACTAGTGAAGGTATAGAAAATGAATTTAGTTTTAGATGTAGTGCACCATTTTTTATTATTATTTTTTTTATAGGGAGAGTCTCTTCTTTAGATATGTTCACAAAATTCATCAATCACATATTATTTAGTAATTGATATAAAAATAATTTATATATTTTTTATTTTAATTTATCAAGATATTATTTAAGATAAAATCGATATTTTTAGAACAGATAATTAATACTCCAAAAATAAAAATTAATTATAATAATGTTTTTATAACATTCCGGACATAGAATATTAATGTCTAGGATAAAAATAGAATTTGATTCCATAATCTTTTATTCGAAGTTTATGATATTCATAAATCATACATCAATTAATAATTAAATCTAAAAATAATTTATATATGTGTTCATCTATGAGTCTTAATCTATTGATATATTTTTTATAAATAAAACCGGAAATATGTTAGTCCGAATATCTTCGTTCATCAACATTTATTAAACAAGTAATCACGTATTTGTGTCAGAAACTGCATTTGATTCTTTATATAAATTATATAAAATATCAACACATGGTAGAAATACAAATAATAAATAAATATTGGGTAATGTTTTCAATTTTTGAAATAGAAAAATAACAAGTGTTAAAACAGTTAAATACTTTTAATCACCATAAATAAATAAAAAATTGACAATTTTTAGTTCTTCATTTGTACTAGTTTTAGTAAAACAAGTAAAACATAAATGTGATGTAACATGAATTTCGACATGACCTAATGGTTTCACATCATAGTTTAAAATGGGAAATTTTTTAAGGTTTTATAATTTTAAATTTGTTTGTCCCTGCAAAATATAGTTCTTTTTGTTTCCCTTCAAGTCAACTTTTAGTTTTTCAAAGATTTTTTATTATTTTGGTTCTTATCAATTGTTGATGAGACATGTGACGCTGGATTAAACATTTTCATATTAGGTTATTCTGATATTTTATATTCACTCTATTTTAAAATTACGTGTCGAGCTATGTTTTTCCTTGAAATTTTATATTGCATCAACCAATGGAAAGAATCCAGGTAGAATTGCCATTATAAATATCATAATCGACTTTTCATTTTGCAGATCCCACCACCAATTAATCATTAATCAAAATCTTATCGTGCTGGTCTTATATTTATCACAATCAGTTTCAACCATTTATAATAAATTGATTAAAATCACTCGTAAGCAGTAAATCCAGAATTTTATCAGAAGACCCTACAAGGTATTGTCAGCCAACAGCTAAAGACAAACATTGTTAAGAAAGCATGCATATGTGGTAAGGCATGCAAGGCCACAACATGATCACGAGATTTCTAAAATCTTTCAGAAAAGAAAAGCATCTTCACTCACTGGACCATTACAATCATTGTTCACTCTAACACTACATGCACTGTATTCCATGTTACCAAAGTAATATACGAGATGAAACTAAGTAGTAAGGATAGGTGGCATGTAGTCAGATTTGGCACCAAGAACAGGAGCCTTGGTGTCAGGGAAGAACTCAAATTCTTTCAGTTGTGTCACACTTCCTTCGCTTGAAATTGCAATTGGATAGCGAAGAAGGTGGCCAGGAAGGTCTTGTTCAAGTGGGTCAGTAGTATAGAGATCCCAATACTTGTCACCAATCTGGTTTACCTTCTTAATACATTCTTCACTTTCAGGGTGGAGGAAGGAGTCATGAAGCATGCCAAGGTGCTCGTACCACAATGACATGCGGAAACCATGGATCTGACCCCTTGCAGGTTGCCTCCTAGCCAGATGATAGGGTTGATATGCACCCATCGCAACCTCAGAGTCTCTAGCACCATCCATTGATCTCTGGTTTATGTTGGCAGATCCAATGATTATGTATTCGTCATCAACTGCATGAAAAACAATTAATGTTCATCACATTATCTATGAACTTCTTTTGCATCTCAATATTGATGCTGGACGTACAATATTATTAATATTGTCTTACCTATCATCAACTTGGCATGAACATAAATCATGAAGCGTCTAGACTCTTGAGCTCTCATATAATCTGTATCAGGATCTGGTCTTTCTGGAGGCTCGTACTCTCCTTCTTTCTTCACCTCCCGATTACCAAGGCAGAAGAATGTCAAATAGTTCCGAGGATCTTCCTCAATGCCCTTTGCCTTTAGTGCTCCAACAACATCCTTATACATCATATCCATTGTTCTTCTCTGCCAGTCTAATATTGCCTGAACTGTTCCTTTCTCTGGGTAACCTTCTGGCCACATTGGAACCACAATATACACACTGAACCTTTCCCCAGCTTCAATCTTACTAACAATCTTAAGTGAAAGCTCCCTCGGGATAAGATGCAATGCACCAATGTCTTCTGGCTTAATGCCATCAGCACTCCATGCATAACAGCTTCCAAGGAAGTACTGATTCTCAATGTAGATGAAATTCTTTGCACGTCGAATGGCGTTAATATAAGCATCCTGAATACCCCTGTCAATTATATTATCCTTCCCACTGATGAGTCCAGACCTAGCAGCTTCTTCGGGAGTCTCTGGGAACCCAAAAGCAGCCCCTCCATCAATGGACCTAAATAACTGCACGTTCCATGTCTCATGATCATCAGGGTAAGTTACCGCGGAAGGAGGAATAATGACATCTTCAAGGTCTCTCAGAGGAATCAGTAAGTCCTTTCTACCTTGCTTCTTCCATCTTTGCTCAAAGTTGAACAAAACATCCCATGCAATTGGCCCTTCAAGCCGCGAGTGAATGTCATGCCAAGGTTCCCTCGGGCCACCTTTTTTTATTGAAGTATGTGGAAAATTAGGCTGATGAAAATCATCATGATGTGCTGTGCCCAAGGTTCTGAAAAGTGAGTGAAATTGAGTGTCGTATCTTCCATCACAGAGGTCAATACCCCCCACAAAACTCACAATTCTTCGCTTATCTGATCTTCCATTCGGCAAAGCACTGTCCACTACCACAATTTTCTGATGATGTGTAAACATGGAGAAAATTTCCATGTCCTGCACAACGCTTCCACCATCATCAGGGTTGCGAGGGCATAGAACACAGTGCACATCGCTGTCGTAGAAGTAGTTCCCGGTGTCTTCATCATGAGTAGTCATCAACCCATCTTTTTTTAACAAAGGAACCGAAGTTCTATCATCCCAAACAAGCATCAAAACCCTGACACCATCACGTGCTTTTTTCTTTAGAAGCTCACCGAATGTTGCATCTCCTCCAGGCTTTGGTCTCCTAGAATCTCTTACCAACGTAATCTCAGTGTAAACAGACCATCCCGTAATGTATATCAAGTGCTGTGCGTTGTTGATTGCATCAAAAACATCTTCCCAACATCTATGAGGTTGGTAAGTGTGGCCTCCAGCAAGTGGAATCGAGGGAACAAAGTTGTCAGGAACATGAGCATCTTGGTACAAGGAAACCCTACATCCTTGTCTTTGTGAGAAGTAAGTGTAAGGAACTCCTGGGAATTTAGGACTTCTAATGCCTTGTCCCCAGTTGAGGTCTTTTGAAACATCAAAGTACTGCAGTTTCACATGAATCTTGGAATGTGAATGTATTGGTTTTTTATGCTTATTCAATATTTCAACCCACCTATCTATTTCTTTGCCATCCAAGATCTCCTCAACTGGCACATATCCTCTTCCAATCAAGGTTGCACCAATAGGGTTGTCATCTTTCACAGTGAATATGATATTTGATGCCATATGAGCACAGTAAATGTGAAAAGACTCGTGCCATTTAGGATTTGCGTGCTCCTTTTCTATAATTCTAGTCCTTCCCACGCGTGCCTTCTCTAGATCAATGGTTGCATATAGTTTCGTAATTCCTTTTCCAATCCCAATAGTCTCCTCCAGGTTATGTATCAGCTACATCAGAATCATGTGTAATAGTGTCTTTTGTTAATATTACAAGAAATAAGTTTTATTATATATATATATATATATATATATATATATATATATATATATATATATATATATTTTTTTTTTTTTTCAAATAATCAGACCTAACTTTAATCGAGTCAAACAGTTAATTCATGACATATCTGACTTATTTCTCTCTTTAACGACAATGTAAAAAAATCTTTTAACATTTTAATTAAATTCATTATTTCTAAATTTTTTCAGTAATTTAAATTAATCAATTATTGGAGATAAAATGACAACAAAAATTAATTAAGTAAATTCTCCAAAACCTGCTAGGATTAGTTTACGGTTTGATTAGCTACCACAAGGTGTTATTACGTACAATCCTCGTTCCTTCCAAAAAAAACTCAATTCTAATTATTACGTTCTCACATAGGTAAATAATAGTCTATTAACATTTTAATCAAGTATTAATCTTCCATACAACAGATTTTTAGTATAACTTTTTTTACAACTAATACCAATAAAATACTTTTCATCTTTTTTTATCTTTCTAAATTGAGCTCAATAAATTATTTTCTAAAGATAAAATATTTATAATCCATCTAAATCTAATAAAATGGCAATTTAATCTAATGATTTGTGTTTTTTTTCCTATAATTAAAGATTCGATTATTATTTATGCAACACTTTGAAAAAAGACTTATTTAAAAATGAATATATATAGATAATGTTTCATGTTGGTACCACCCTCTTCTTATAGTCCTTTTTTATGTAATCACCTTGGCCATTACTACCATATGATGTCTTGCTTCTTAAAGAATTTTCAAAACACTTGAAAAACATTTGCTGGGTACACACAAACTGGCCTTGTTTGAAAGAAAGAAGGAATTTGTTTGAGCAGGTTAAAGATTCTGAAGAGAAAGCAATGGCAGAGACATATACCTGACAGCATAACAATATGAGAATCTAGAAAAAAGAATGAATTTTGTTTATATACAGCACTATGAGATTAACACTAAGGAGTAATGTAATAATGGTTTAATAGCATCAATAAAACTGATCCACTAATTACAACTGGTAAAAAAACCAGTTTAACAGATGACTGGAATCAGTGAAGATGGTTGCAGTTGTGTGTTGAGTTGATAATTAAGAGGCAATGAATTGGGAGGGACAGAAGGAGGCAAACCTTGGTTAAGATATTACCACTATTACCAGCCTTAAGGTTATCCACCTCATAGATTGTGGCATGGAGGGTCCCATGTAGAAGAATCTGTGCCATCACTTAGTTATACCTACAACAACGCAACCAGAAATCTCAGAAACCATTAAATTTGATCACAACAAACACCTGAGACTAGCACGTGACATGGTGCTATCTCAGCTCGTTGAACCAAAAATAGGTGTTCAATGAGAGGAAGACGAGTTGAAATTGGAACAAATATAAGTTAATTCACCAACAAGAGAGTACGACGGGCATCTTCTTAATAATTAAATAAATAAATTAATAAGAAAGAGACCAACTTTGAAGAACAGAAAGATGAGAATTAAATAATGAAGGAAGCTATTGAGATACTGATGAGGAAAGTATGAGCTAAATACTAGAGCAAGCATTGAAGTTAATTAACCATGGTTCACAAAACTCATGGATCCCCAATTGGCAAATGCCAAATGGCATGATATATCATGTCACTCATTACTGTTAAGAAAAGTGCATATATGTATGAATGCAACAAATGCAACTTAATTAGTTCCATAGATTATCTAATGCGTATGAAAATCTTTCATATAATCAATTTATCACTGTGCTGTGTGAGCAATTTCTTCACAAAATTGTGTGGTAGAGATTAGAGAGCACCATATATATTCAATCACAAATACCAGTTGCTTTGACCAAATCACTTCACAACTGTTCTTTTATCAAACTCACTGTATTCTCCACTAAGAGACATAAGGACGAGAGTGACTATACATGAGTTTGAAATTCTATATTGAATAAAAACGAAAAAAATTGAGTTTGAAATTTTATATTTAATAAAAATGAAAATATTAAGTAATTTATAAGTAAAAAAAATATATTTTTTTATATAATTAACTTATGTTTCATCGTTAAGAATCTCCATCGAAAATAATTAAAATGGTGGAGTTTATATACAGTTTTAATCAATTCCCCTTTAGCAACTTTCAAGATAATTATTATATTGGTGATAGTGGTTGGGCCATTTAGCAACTATTTTCTTTATGCTTTTCCTTCATCCATCTCTTTTTATCTTTTCACTTTTCATAAGCACACTTTTGAACTGAATTGAATTTATTTTTTAATATGACTTTTCTTATTATTCTTCTGTTATTTATGAAAAGTATTAACAATAAAGTAAAAATAAAGACATGAACAAAAATAAAATAATTATTGCTGTCTGAACTTTACTGATGAAAAGTTAGAAAAAAAAAATATTCTTAATCACCCAATTAATGCATGTGATTTGGAGTGGCAAGAGATTCATTTCTGGAGAAAATATTTATTAGAGAAAGTAACTTAGTTTACAAGGGGACAAGGTGAAAACTATATCAGGATCACTTCTGGTGGAATCAATAGTTGTCTCAGAGAGAATGATGATTATATTGAAGTAGTGGATGTACCAAAAAATTATTGGTGGTAGTGGTTGGGCCGTCCATGCCATTCATCATTATGCACCCTTAATTAACAAATGAAAGACTAAAAAGTATTAAGCTTTCTGAAGTTTGGGAAAAATAAAACAACTTTTTTTTAAGTGAATAATGTTGAAGTTATGTGATACGTGTAAGTAGGACAAATAAAACTGAAAGATAGAGAGAAATTAAGAAACCCACAAGTTCTTTTCTTTTCTCATCTTCCTATTTTCTCACCCTCTGTACCAAACACACACACGCGCACACACACACACACATATATATATATATATATATATATATATATATATATATATATATATATGCGGATGAATTGACATTACAAACTTCTGTCTTCTAACCACCAGTCTATGGACTTTTCATTCAACTGAAAAAAATAAAATGAAACAGTTAATGAGTACATCAATCCAACAATACACTATATCTTATTTCAAATTATACTTCCTTTAGCATTTTCATTTTTCAAAGGAAAAAAAAGGAGTTTTCAATTTTACTTTTTTTTTTAATGGAAAATCATTGAATTGGTTTGTATAAATCTTCGCGATAGTGTGTGATAGCGTGATTTAAGTATGAGTTAAGTCTCGTATTGAATAATAAGAATGAAAAAATTGAATAAACATATCACGAAGTATGACTTCACTCTGAACCCAAAATCATAAAATTTTAGGTTATGGATCATATTTTCTTATATTATTGACATTCTTATTCAACACTTAAATTATCAAACACATTAATTAGATGATGTAGTATGAGATGGCTCCCGAATCATACCGAAAATTTTGGGCAGACAAAGTGTTAGGAGAAGATGGTCCAACCAAGCCAATTTGCCTGAGTGTAGCTGTACTACACATCTGAGTTGTGCATGAGCATTAAAATGCTGAGTGATTAGTCATTATTTTCCCGCATTTTCTTATCTTTATATACTTATCTTAATTGGTGCATTATGTTTAATTGTCTATTATTAGTGCATTTTCATTGATTGGGCTTCATTGGGCCAATAATTTAGATTTTAATCTATTTGATCTAATTTTTACTCATAAAGCAATTTTGGACTTGAAAAATTGGGCCAAATGTCATATTTTATTTTATATGGGTACTGACATTAGTTTATTGTTTTATTTATCATTTTTTCTACAGATCTCCAAATAACATGATTCTAAAATAATTATAAACTAGACACATTGAGCTTTCCACAGGATCTAAAATCATTCAATTCGGAGCTAAATTGGATTTTACATAAATTATCCAAAACGGGTCAAGCGCACCAGGCCGGCCCAATGGACATGCTTCAGTAATTTAAGTCTCATAAATTCATTAAAGCTCCGAAAATAGTAGAAACGGTGGCGTTTTAAAGCTAACTCAAGAGGCTATCGTTGGAGACCAAAATCGCTTAATTTGGATAAGTATTGAAAATACTGCACGTGTTTGAAGTTCATGGACCTGCACTGAAGCCAATTTATGATGTGTTTCATGGACTAGTTGAGCCCAAAACCTCGATTAAGATTAGGGTTAGGGTTATTTATATAAGAGAGGCACATCACACGAAAAGAGGAGAATCAACACACAAGGACTAGGCAGCCACCACACTTCGTCTTTCATCTTCTCGCAATTTACATTCAAGTTTGTTACTCTTCTGTCATTATTTTTAAATTCTTGTTTCAATTTTAATTATGTTTCTTCTATTGCGTTTTCAACTTTCTATGGATAGCTAAATCTTTGTATTGATTTTCTGAGAAGAATGCAAGTAGATCTTTGAGGTTTTGTTCTTCAATTTCATATTGTTTGTTCTCTTAACTCTTCATCTTCTAATCTCAGTATTGAATTATAATCTGTTTATGCTTAATAAACCGAAACTTATATCACAGTTTGCTTAATTCTGTGTTAGATATGAGATTATGTAATGTATGCAATGCTTAATTGTATAAGGATAATTTGGGGTTAATCTTCGCTTAGTTGGTTAATTTCATGTTAGAATAAGGGTTAAGGAAAATTTGGGATTAATCTTCGCTTAGTTGGTTAATTTTATATTGGAACAACGGTTAAAACTAATTTGAGATTAATCTTCGCTTAGTTGATTAATTTTGGATTAGAATATAATTTGGGATTTATCTTCGCTTAGTCGGTTAATTTCGAATTAATTTCGTAATCTAGGATAAATGACGCTGCATTAGAATCAGAAAATCAATTGCATTTTAATCTATTTTTAATCCGCATTTTTATAATCTGTTTTTATTTTGTTTCATCTAATATTTTAATTTTGAAAAACTCCCCTTTTAATTTTTTGTTACTAAAAATTGATAAACTTTGATAGAAATTTGTGGTCTTTGGGAGACGACCTAGGAAAGCTTTCTAGTACTACATTTATCTGTTTTAATTATTTGACCGACTACGACATCGATCACTGAGGGTGGTTGATGCAGAAGTAGAACTTGAAGAGAAGACAAAGAACACTGCCATCAGGTTTGTACTATAACTGTCACTCCAAAAGCCACATTACATTAGCTGAACTGTGATACCTTTTGAGACACCTTTTGTTACAACAACATTTGGACAAATAAGTAGAAAAAAAATCATTGGAATAAAGAATATTAATTAAGAATCAAGTAAAAGTTTATATGCATTCCTCATTATTTACTGAAGTATTCATATCCATATCTTTGTAGCCGGCAACCTCAGCTAAATTGGTAGCACCTTTGTTTTTAATTGCTATGTTGAGGAAGAATAAGCTTCATGGAAAACTTTTTCCCATCCAAAAAACATACACTTGTTTTGTTATTATTGGATTTCCTCTGCACACGTGTTCATGTACTTAATTATCTAACTATTCCGCCATCACTTGTGAACATTTTTCTGATAAAACTAGAACCTTCACAGTTTTCTTTTCTGGGACTGAACCTCATTTTCATTCACAAAAACACTGTTCTTTTATGTGCTCATGCATTTGAATATTTTTTTGAATACTTGAGTTGAGCATCACAGTACTTTGTGTCAATGGAACTACTACATATGCAACATATGATGTATGCATGGTGTTTGCATAGGAAAAGAAGGGTATGGCTCGGGACATTTGGAACAGCTGAAGAAGCAGCCAGAGCATACGATGAGGCAGCCATTGTTAAAGTTTATGTACTATATCTTCTATAAAAGCTATCCAGTTATTTCATTCATGTTATAGTTCTTCTTTTTCTTCGTCTAAGAACCAAAGAGTAACCCAATATAATACCCCAATAAAATATAACCACGATATATCTTTTTGATCAGAGGTTGAAGTATTCACTTGAATCTCTAATTAGTTAATCTTGTTTCAGTTTTTGCATTGTTTTGGTACCTGACGTTTAATTCTAATTTCTAGATTTCTGATATAATATGAGTGAGTAATTATTGTAAAAGAATAAACTCATTGTACATATTGTAATTAAATAACACTGTTAATTAATTAATAAATCCCATGAAAAACATTTGGCAATTTCTATTGATATATAATTCAGGATGTTTAGAGCAACTTAGAGAAATAAATATAAATTATTAATAGAAAATTTGAATCCAAATTACTTAAAAAAAATTGTTAAAAACAAAAAAAAGTGGGTCACTGGTAGTAATTACAATATTAAAATATATCAATTTTTATATTACGAAGTCCATTTGAAAAATTTTAATAAATTTATTGAGGTAAAACAATTGATTGAAAAATCTCTAGAAATATAATAATAAATAACCCAAATATTTAATAAAAGAAAAGGTTGGAAGGGAGTTGAAGAGTTTGGAAAGACGAGGAGGAAGAGCTTGGTTTGGAAGAAGGAAGAGAATGATTCTGGCGGTTCTGTTTGCGAATGCGGAGGGCAATATCCTCATCGAACGGTGCGTTTACATCCCCATTTACATTTTCTCTTCGCTTTCTCATTCTATACCTACCAATTTTCTTATGCTGTTGACATTAACAATAATGTCTTTTTTATGTTCTTTTATAACTTTCTGTGAATCTTGATTTGTTTGATCTGGATTCTGTTGGAATCATAATGGTTTAGCCCGCTTTTCTGATGCTGGTTACCTGTTATTTCCTCTTACAATTTGAAAATCCACCCTTCATAAGTGCACATGTTGAACACCTGTAACTAGTTATTGGATGTGATGTTTATGGATTTTGATAATCTCTTTTGATGCAATCATGCTAACATGTGATTATCTGAACTCGGTGGTTCTGTGATTGCAGTTTTCATGGGGTTCCTGCAGAGGAGCGTCTACATTGGCGTTCTTTCTTGGTTAAACTAGGAGCTGACAATCTTAAGGGTGTAAACAATGAAGAACTCCTAGTTGCTTGCCACAAGTGAGTACACTGGTCTGCTGTGTATATGTGATGCGTGTATGTAGGCCCATACTTGAGAGCATTCTGTGACAATTCTTAACTAGTGAGGGAGGATTGAACACTGTTTGATATGAATGTAGAATCTCTGTAAGTCAAAACTGTGATGGACTTTGAATAATTTACCTTTTTGTATTTTTTTTTTACTGCAAGATGAAAACAAATCGAACAAGATTAGTTAGTTCCTAGAATATGTCAGATAGTCTCTCCATTAATGGAAAAATTGAAACGAATTGGAGTAGTGGAAGATAAATCACTAACATTCATGAACTTTTGCAGATTGATTACTAGAGCCACAGATATTAGAAATTTAATCTTCACCGCCAACTACTCTTCATTCATTTTCTTGTGTTTGAAAAATTGCATGTCTCATTTGTGTGGGATGATGCTGTTTTGTTTTTCTTTTTTGTAGGCATGATGATAAATGTTTTATTTGTACGTTTTTTATCTTTATCAGGTCAGTTTATATTGTATACACAGTACTTGGAGACGTCAGCATTTATGTCGTGGGGAAGGAAGATTATGATGAACTTGCTTGTACGTATTCATTGAACCATTATTCTATATTTAATTATGATAGCATAAATGTAAGGAAATGAGTCATCTCAGTTGCTGATGTTTTAATATGGCATTGCACCAATATTTATATTCGCTGTAAAATAAGATCATTGTAAGGAGCCATCTTTGTTGTTGATACTTGAAAGTGGATATGTCACTTGGATACTGTAGTTGGAGAGACTGGTTCTTTTGTTCTCATCTGAATACACTAGCTGAATGGGTTCTGTTATTTAGGTAGCTACTTGTTAGCTGGGAAGTCGGGACATGGAGATGCACGCACATAAGAATTAAAAGATTATATGAGAAAAAGGGATATAAAAGTGATATATTAGGGGGGGAGGGGTTTAAGAGGGGAATTCTAATGGTGATAATGATAGAGTGGAAAAAAGGGATATAAAGCCAATGACCTCATCATAGTTTGCATGCTACCAAATATGGTTTTTAAATATTATCCTTGATGTCATGAGTTCAATCCTTACCCTTCCACCATTCCCAGGCCAACTATGTAATATAACCCTAAGAAAGGATGTAGAGAAAGCAAGTGGGGTTTGATGATTTGGGAAATATTATCATTTAAATTTTATATTCCCTTGTGTAGCTCTTTTTCTTTATCGGTTTGTCTGTCAAAGATTTAGATCAGATAAGGACTTCTTTGGAACAGAATTGAGGTTGGAAAACTTTCTCTATGTTAATAATAGATATACTAAAGATCAGTGTGATTTCCGAACTACGACATTACTTTTTAGAAAATGAAGTCTTAAGAAAAACTAGCAATCAAGTGAACTTGTAAGGGTAGATCTTGGAATCTAAGTTTTGTCTGACTTACCAAGAAAAGAAAAATATAAATATTAAATGAAAAACAAGTTATGATCATAATAAATTCAGCTTTTTTAACACTGTCAGATGTATTGCCATTTCACCAAGAGCTGAAAAAAGGTATGTTCAAGAGCTGTTAAGTGCTTTACATCAAGACTACTATTTACCAATAATTTGTTTTCCTCCAGTGTCAGAAGTAATCTTTGTGATAACCTCAGCTGTGAAGGATATATGTGGAAAGCCCCCAAGTGAACGTCTTTTCCTTGATAAGTATGGAAGAATTTGTTTGTGCTTGGATGAAATTGTATGGAAGGTAAGGATGCATACTCTGCACAATGTCTACTAAAAGAACTAGAGTAAATTTTTTGAAAATTTCCTTAGTGAATTCTACTTGCCTGAGACAGAACATTGAAATTTAGAGAGGGATGCAAAAAGAGAGAAGACAGGAAAAATGTTTCTGTTATTGAATGTTGAATGCAAACAAAGAAAATGAGAGTTCCCTTTCTACTACAGGGAAAATGCTAACGAGTCTGCATGTCTTTCCCGTCCTTACTGTTTAAGCTCAGCCCCAGCTCTTTTCCTACAATAACCATCTAAATAATTATATAGTAAGACGAGTTTAAGGTACTAATTTCAGTTTGAGAACTAAAAATAAAAATAAAATAATATGAACAGTGATTTTCGTTGATTTGATTTGTTTTAAATATTTGGCTGCCTAGAAAATCTAAACGACATCATTGAGGCACTTTTTAGAGAGGTGAGAATTATGGTGAGGGAACTGCAACTGTTTTTTAGCTAACATGTTGAAACAAAATTAAGGTTGGGAAAGTTCCTTCTTGTTCTTTAACTGTTTCCTAACTAAACTTTATAACTTATTGAATCCTGTTAGAGTGTCAGTGTATGTCATCATATATAATTAGCTAGCATTGATACTATTATTTGATGTCATTGATTTTGGATGAGACACTTATCAGATCAGACATTACATTCTGCTATGCACCTGAAATAACGCTCCATCTTGAAAGTATATAAAACTTATCGATTCAACTTAAAAGACACATGTTTTTTCTTTATTTTATATATAAAAGTGTTGTTCGTTCTCTATTCAATACTCACACTACTGATCCAAACTTTATCTTTTGTGCAATTTCGTATATCTGCTGGTTGTGTTCCATATTTGAAAGAAGAATTTTTTTTCTTGATATTGTATTGCGGTGCTTGACATTTTCCATGTGTATCTTTTGAAGGGATATTTGGAAAATACAGAAAAGGATAGAATCAAAAGATTGGTTAGGTTAAAGCCTCCCACTGAGTTCTGAATGAGACGTTCAAAACCAGTCATTATACAATCAGCAGTCTGTGTCATTGTTCAGCATCTTGTAACTGGGAATGACAAGGCACTGAAGGTTGTTCAGGATATATGATATTTGCATCAATTGTTGGTCAGACCAACCTCTAGATAGAACTTTCTTCCTTAGTCCAGGGAGCAGATTTTGCTGGGCCAATATTTGTATTAACCTTCTCAATTTTTTAACATTTATTTATTTATTTTATACCAGTTATATTCTTCATTTTATTCTACCTTGTGCATTGGACTTTTTGTTCATTCTTGATTGGTTCTAAACACATCATGAGATCTTGAAGCCTTGACCCTTACAGAAGCTGTTACTCAAAAACGGAAACACTTAAATTCATCACTGAACTTTAATTGGCAGGTGTTCCTAAGGACTAATAAAATCAATATATGGGATTTTTAGAAGGTATTATATTAAATTTCTCCGGAGATGAAATTGAGTTCTACTAACGTAAGAATCTGCACCAATTTCATAGTGCTCCTCCAAGGGGCATCATTCTAGATGGGAATTAAAATTCACAGTTTCCAATACCAATGGTTCTGCATATAGAGATTTCATTTACCACTCAGTTTGCAATTTTTTTTTTTATCTTAAGATTCGGTAAGCAAAGGCAACCTCGTTTTCCTTTTGAGATTTTTTTTCTTCCCTTTTGTTTTGACATTCCCATTTTCTAATGCTAGGCTTATATTGGTTATCAGATGCAACTGTTTGAAAGTTTTTAAAAACAAACTTGCTATACTTTTCTTGTTTGACTCAGTAAAACCGAAGAGAAGATGAACTATTCTTTATTCTAATAAAAAATAAAAGGTAAATTTTGTCTGAAACACAAGTTGTCCTAAAGTCACATAGATCCCTGACTAATTAAAATGAGATTATGAACTCCTTTAGTATTTGTTTGGATCTAGGAAGGGAGATTTACGTTGATGCGTGCTAATATAGATTAGTGATTTTGTGCTTGTTGAACTTTCTCTTCGCAATAAGGAGGAAAAACACTGGTTTACTGGAGTTGAATCTTTTTTTTTAAATAAGATCGCGGGAATAGTTAGTTCGGAAGATATAAAGTATATCTTTTTACATAGTTGATTGTCACGAAAAATTGTAATTTTTGTTCTGCTTTTTTAATTATAGTAATAACAATAAATAATTAAATAAAAAATATTAGATATAATAAATCAATTTATTTCACTGTTTATAAATTTTTATTTTATTTTCTTAATCCAAATAATTTTAATTTATACTTTCTTTCTTTTTTTCGTTTTTTTCCCCTTTTTTCACACATTTAATCCTCAATTCAAGCAAATTGCCATGCTTATTTTTTACGTGACAAGAATTAAATATCTTATTACACAAAATTAAAATACTTATCACTTAAAACCATCTTCTTTTTTTAATTTAGGATGATGACACCAAATGGGCAAGGGGTCTATTAATTTAACTCTTTTTTAATTATTTTTTAATTTCTTCCTTGCATTACATTTAAAAAATTTCATCTGAATCTTAAAATTCAACTTTATCTTTTTTACCCTCACTGCCATGACACGTGGATTGCGAAGAGTACTTCACATTCTAAATATAAACTATTTTTTTATTTATAACACACGCGTTTGGCGAGGCCAAATTAAATACGATACTTATGTCAGTGTATTTTTCTTTTTTCAATCTGAATTTTATATTTTTTCCTATCACGAACATTTTGGGTACAGTTAGGTATCCGAAAACAGGTCCTTCTGTCGCATTTTAATCTCCGAGGGATATATTGATGCGTTATAGTAATAATAGGTGGTAGATCGAGGGATAGATTGATCCGTTATAATAATAATAGGTGGTAGATCTTGGTTCACCTCGTTAAAGAGCAGATGACAGTCTGAGGAGCTGGTCTACCATTATTTAAAAAAAATAATTTATTTTTTAAAATAATTTTCTCTAATAAATTTAATAATAAGATTATTATATAATTGTTAATAAATCAATATATATATATATATATATTATTTTAATTTAATAATATAAACCAATATATTATTTTAAGAAATTATAATTTAGAATAATAATAAAATTTACATAATAATAAAAAATATATATATATATATATAAATAATGTTAAAATTTATAAAATTTATATTTTTATATTTAAAAGTTTAAATACTTATATTTTTTTTATTGGATAAAATTTCACATTATTTTAGATTAAATAATTCTTACACCTTTGATTCAAGTCATAAGGATAAAAATAATTGGTGTTTAAGATGAACAAGGAGAATAAGAGAAAGAATGTTGTGTTGTGTTTCAAGAAAGAGAATATTTCATATGAGGGTGGAACTTTTTTAATTCTCTTTTTAAAATTTTTAATTTTATATATTATCTTTATAATTAATTTTATTATAATAAAAATTATTTTTTTATTAATTAGGTGAGTTGTGAGCGTGGGTTGGCCTAGTTGGTTTGGCGAGACGGACCAGAACGGACTGATAGACTGACCCCTCGCCATATTATGGTTGGTTGACGAATTCACCCGCCGGATCTGATGCATTTTACCATCTCTAGTTACATTATATATTAATCTCGTTTACTGGTAGTTGTTTATTTAATCAATTTTCGTATAAGTAATGATTTTTCATTAAAAATTTTGAAATGATTTGTTTCAACATGTAAGTATAAATGTTTGATCATTATGCTAATTTATCGAATTATACTATAAAAAAGTACAAAATTTTGTTGAAACATTTTGATTTTGATGAACTAGAGTAGAATAGTATTTAGTCAAATAGCTGATGTGATAAATAAAGTAAAAATGGACATGATTAGCCTCAAAGAGTGTCAGAAATCAGAAATAAATTGGATATAAATTGTTACTTCATAGAACGAGAAAGAGCGTTTTTAAATTAATTTACCTTCTACTTTATTTATATTCGTATATAATTAATTGTAAAAAAATATGATTAAGTTAAGTAATACATATTTATTTTTAGTTTATAGAAAGAATTAATCTCATAATCTCTCGAATATTGCCGAGGAAGATTATCTCTCCATTTAAGTATTTTGTGATCTAAATTATCCAAATCAAAGATCATTTCACATTTCACTCTTTTAGACCATATTTTTAATTATAATTACTTGTAATTACTTATTTCTTTTAAAAGATATTTATCAGATTAGATTAATGACAGATAACCCAACTCAAATAAATTAATCTAAATGTTCTTCAAGACTAAATCAATCTCAATTCAATTTAAGTGTGGTTGTTTTTGAAAATTGGATCGTGACAATATCAATTCTCATTAAATTAAACAATTTACAAGCATGAATGGTGAGACCTACTCCCTGTCCTAATGTCCTTGTTCTGTGGCGATAAAAGAACAGCTATCAAAAACTAGGTGTCTTCCTCGTTCTCTCCCCACACACCAAGGTTGCAACTCACACTCTGTACCATGAAACCTCTAATTTTAGTCCTCACGCTTTGCATCATCGCTGTTTTCTCACAAGCAGCAACCCCCATACACACTCAACCTCAACCCAATGAATCTTTCAAGGTCAACCAAACCAAGCCACTGGTAACAAACTTTCTTCACTTCAAAAAATGTTTCAGAAAGTAGAATACAATACCCTTTACTCTAAATGTTCAAAATCATCCACTTTTACCTATAAAGTTTCGGTACAATTTATGTTTCAAATAACTTTTCTAACCGAAGGAACATAGATAAATCAGAGAATATAAAAAAAGGGTGCTTAGATTTCTATTTTCTACTGAAGCATTTTTCAGATCTTCTTGTTGCATGTGAAATTAAAGGTTATATGTGTATGCGTTTTGCAGAACAAGGCTAGTTCCTGTACTTATACAGTGACCATCAAAACAAGCTGCAGTTCTCCCTCGTACACCAGAGATCAGATTAGTCTTGCATTTGGTGATGCTTATGGCTATCAGGTTCCTTCTCTATTATGAATATCATTCATACATTCATCTGTTTCTGAAATTCTCTTGAAATTTGTATGCATATTTACATGAAATGAACTTAGGCCAATTGAAAAATTGAAAATTTGGTGCTAATTAGTGACTGGATGATCAATGAATCAGGTTTATGTGCCAAGATTAGATGACCCTCGTTCAGGGACATTCGAGCGGTGTTCTACGGATACATTTAACATATACGGTCCATGTACGTATCAAACATGTTATCTGTATCTATACAGGAGTGGATACGATGGTTGGATTCCAGAGAAAGTGACTGTCTACAGCCATAACTACAATCCTGTTACATTTTACTACAATACTTACATACCCAATGGTATTTGGTATGGCTTTGACTACTGTCGCGGTTATTTGCCTTCTACTGCAGCAGAATAGTGAAGTGTAGTGTTGCAGTACTGAACTTTCTGGACTTTTTCACTTTCTCATTACTATGAAATAAGTAGAGGTTCAACTATGAAACCTGATGTTCTGGGCTCAGTGTAGTGGACCTTCTATTCACCCTTTGTTGTGGGTTTTATGTATGAACTTACCATTTTACTAGTTACTACCATCTGATATTTCATTCCAGAGACATTAAAGTTTCTGTGTGCTGATAAAACTAAAATGAGGTTTTGGCTTGTTCTTTTAGTAGTTATTTGATTTTCTTTGATTGGCACTGGCACTTGTCAACCACATGCTTGACATAATGCCTCAACATGCAAAATATTGTGGAATTCTTAACTGCATATGATCCTACTGAAAGAAAGTGATGACAGCTTCCATCCATGTCCACCATGCAGCCTCCAATGCATGAATCAGGTAAGAAAATGATCGGATTCTCTTACAGTTTAGTTCAATTGAAACTTGATCTGTATCCTTGTTAACAATAGGTTGAGTAGCTACTGAAGGGCATATAGAAGAATATAAAATTCAAGCAAAATTCAATTACGAAAAACAAAAAAACCAGAGTTATTGAATGCAAGGGACCTAAAACAAGACTGGACTTGTTCTAATGATTTGATGGACCTCAATCACCAAAGCAACTAATCGTTGAGTAGTAACCAATACATGATTATGTTTTTAAGAGAAACGTAACCAGTACTTGATTAGACCAGCGTGTTCCAAACTTAATTATGAGATTTTTCTGTCTTCCATGTGTATATCTGTTGAAGGGTATCTTTCTAGCCGTTTGGCGTGGAAGAACATGTTATTTTTCACAGGAGACATTCTAATGTCATTTCAGTTCAATCTTCAAAACAAAAGTGCTTATGATATTCAGAACATATAGAAAAATGAACGAAGAAAATAATTTATTGAATACTTCGTTATCTACATTGAAGATTCTTACCTCTTACTTTCATTTATACTCTATTTTCTTTGTCTATTTTTACTCTAAAACCAACTCCATTTTGTTTAAGAAATGAATCGCATTTGAGTTAGAAATCCATGACATAATGCAGTTGATTCTTCTACAGATGATTTTTTTCATTAATCAAATAGGAATAAATTATTCGGGTTATGCTCTATTCTCTTTAACTGTGCCTTAATTTCATTTTGGTCTTTCTTAACATGCAGATGTGGATTTAGGGGGCAATATATATATATATATATAATAATAATAATTATTTTAAAAATTAAATAAAAATTATTTTATAAATGTGTGGTCCGATAAGAAAATGATGTGTGATTAGATACGACGATCATGTGAGGTTTGATACGATGATTTTGTATGATCTGACATGACGATCCATAGTAGTCCAACATGACAATCCTATATGGTGTAACATGATGATGACCTTACGAGGTTTCACACGATAATCCTATGTGGTTTTACACGATAACTCTACATGGTTCGACATGGTGACCCTGAGATCCGATAAGACAATGTGTGGTCCAACATGACCCTATGTGGTCAAACATGACCCTATGAGACCCAATATGACTTGATGTGGTCTGTATTATCCTGTGTGGTTCTTAACATAATTTATAATATCACAATGTTACAAATATGATTTCTAAGGTTGAAAATGAGTTATGATAATCAATCTAAGCTTCAATATTCGCCACTTAGGTTGGGGGGCCATGTAATAGTCGAGCCGAATAATTCAACATAATATCGTTGTTAATTATCTACATAAGTCTCAATATCCTTTACTTGAGATTAGAAATTATGTGGTATTCGAATAAAAGATTTTGTCTTGCTACAGAACAACACAACATAATAACGTTGTTATTTAACTTATTTTAAGTCTCAACATCAATTACTTTAGGTTGAAAGACTATTAGGTGTCCAAATAAATGTTTGCACCCTGACCACCAAACCTCCATATTGGTCTTAAGGTGAGATTCTTTTAGTAGATATGATTCCGAAAATCTCACCTTGAATCATGGTCTATTATTGTAAATTCAACATGATGAGAATCAATTTGTTTAATGGATATAATAACATAATAATGGGGCCTGATCCAGAGATTCTAAATCGATATCAGAACAATCCATTAAAAAAAGATATAAGATTAAGTTATAATCACATTTTTCACTTGAATCATAATTAATCAAAGTCCTAAGAATTTGACAATAATAAATAAATAAATAAAATAGTTTATCTTTTTCTTTTCCAATTTTTCATTTATAAAAAATATTAATATTTATTCTCTAACATAATCTTTCATTTGTAATTTTTTCTTTTTCTATTTTCTTCTATATTTTCTTCTTTCATCTTCTCACTTTCTCACTTCAACTTTTTTAGAGAGACTTACTTAATATTTTCATATTTTTAAAATTAATTTTCTTATTTTGGTAACATTGATAATTGGGAACAACATGTGAAGAATTGTAATTTTTTATTTTTTAAATTTTAAAAAATTTTCTATTTACATTGAAGACAAGAATTTAAAAAATAAAGAAGATACAAAAATCAGTAATCAAACTTTTTATTATTATTATTTTTGTTTATTATTATAACAACTTAGTATATTATAAAAATATGAAATATTGATATAATTTTTAAAGTTTCTTATTAATTAGTTGGTTATTTTAGTGTTTTATAATATTTTATTTTGATGTTAAAATATGAAAAAAAATCATTTAATTTTAAAGATATAAAAAAAATTATAGACTTATTTTTTAAGAGAAAAGAAATCATAGATGATGAAATAAATTATACTTTCCTAAATTTAAATTCAATTAGTAATATTAAATATTTTATTTAATATTTTATATAATATATTTATTTTTATATAATAAATTTTATTTATTTACCTCATCTAATTTTTTTCACCCAATTAATATAATATAATAAAATATAATATAATAATACACTAAATACTTGAAGGTTATATTATAAATTATGGAATTACAATTTTTTTATTAAAATTACATATACTTTTTATTGTCTTTTAATTTATTTTTTAAAAATTATGGAGAATGTTAAAAAAGAGAGCTTTAAATAAATTATACAACAATATATATAAAATTATATTACGAATAATTTTTATATTATATAAGATTAAAATTAATATTTTAAATAACTAGGAGTTATTTTAATAAATAATATACTCTAAATTTATGTGTCACAATAACTTTAGATATAAATACATATAAGATAATAGGTTATGTAAAGAATTATAATATATTTATTACTATATAAATAATAAATTAATTATATAGTTACTTTAAAATTATGAATAAATTATATAAAAAATTTTAAAACTAGTATTATGATTAAAATATTATTAATTTTAAATATTTTAACTACCATTATAATTTAAACTCATGTTTTAATATAGAAAGAAAGTTTATCATATTTTATTCATCGTAGCACCTCCCTCATTAGATAATAAGTCCATTATAATAATATGATAAAATGAATTATAAGGTAACAAAACTATTATACTATTATATTATATATTATCTTGGTGCAATAAGCAACATTTTAAAATATAAATAACACTTTTTAACTTTTAAAAATATACTAAAATGAACCACTAATTTGGGAACATTAATATTCAACCTTTGGAGACTTCATTTTTACGTTATATCTGTCATATTATTTTATAAAAATGAAAGAAAAAAATCATTCAAATTTCATTTATTAACTTATTTCCCACAAATTGCATAACTTTGAACAAAAAGGCCAGACCCAACCTATTGGTTAACCAGGAAGAACAGAAAATAATTGAAAAAAGTAATCTTTTTTAAGAAGAAAGCAAGGACAATATTAGTACACACTAGCTTGGAAATCTTTTACAAGCAAAATTTTTTCCTTCCACTAATTATTTTTTTATCAGACTGATGTAGTTTTCCTTCTTTGGTTTAAGAGCCGACCACATTTGTTTTCTTTCTTATGCAAAGATAAGAGAACAACGTGGTTTTAAATCAAAGTAGAAGGTTTTTTCAACCAAAAGTTAGCAATTTTTTGAGGTATTTACCGAAGTCTACTACTGATTATTGAGTGTAAACGAAGGAGCATAATGTTCGTTGAGAAGAAAACGTAAAGAGGTGCATTTGCTTCATGTGCTTACTGTAAAAACAATGTCATAGTATTCTTAAACCATGTGTTTTCCAATTAGATTGTGTGTAGTTTCATCTTCTTCAACTCCATTATATGTCTCCATTGATGCACTGAACCAATATTGGCAAAATTAAACTCATATCTTGTTAACAATTATAAACTTGAGATTTAAGTTGTTTTATTTTATTACAAAAAGAAACCAATTTAACGTATAAAATCTGCTTCCAAATACAGAGCTTCTATATGCATGTAGTCCTTATATATATAGAAGAAGAAATTGGGTACGTACATAGCATATAAAAGTTGAGGGTGTGTGAGTCTTCAGTTGCAAGTTTGGATATAATGGTTAGTATCTGACATTGTCCCATTTTATCAGATTCACATTCTAATTAACTTTAAGACAATATGGCTGGTATTATATGTTGTGGTGACTTCTCTGATGACATGTGATTTGTATATATAAAGTTCTTACAATGTTTTTTCAGTGTTAATAAAGTCTTATATATCATGGAAAATGTTAATTTAATGCAGGAGTTTTTCTTCACCGTATTAATCATTCTGAGTGTTCTTGCACCTGGATTGAGCAGCACAACAACTAGTTTCAATGTTCTGCAATATGGAGCAGTTGGAGATGGAAAAGCCAACGATTCCCCAGTAAATTATAATCATTATCTCTCATCATTTTAGTTTCCACAAATTATTATGCTGTTATGCTGCATGCATGAATTTAACTTAATGTCTTCCATTTTAAACCTATGCCGATAATGTTTTTGAAGCCTATTCTATGGCTTACACACAATCTTCAACTTATGTAAATGTGTACATTCAACAGGCCTTTCTGAAGGCATGGAAAGACGTTTGCCAGAGCAAGTCATATATTTCTCAGCTCATCATACCAGCAAAAAGGACATTCATGCTGAAACCTACTACCTTCAGTGGTCCATGCAAATCCAATTATACCTACATTCAGGTACTGTATATTCTTAGTAATCTAGAATACTCATTCTCCATGTACCATCATCAACCTTTACCAATGATTAAAACGCATAGCACATAAACATTAACTTGACTGATTCTATTTTCTTGCAAACTACACTATGTATGATCAACTAATCACTTGGGTTGCCTAGTTGTAAAGAAGTTTAGATAGTTTGCATGGATTATTGTAGACAGTGTAAGTATGTATAGATTAAGCAAAGGAAAAATGCTGAAAACAGAAGAGTCTATATATTTCATGGTAAAAGTTTACGCGTTTGTGGGACCTCAGCTTTCAGGGAACATTGTTGCACCAAAAACAAAATCAGAATATTCTGGATTCCATACAAATACATGGCTTGGCTTCTCATTCATCAATGGTTTAATTATCAATGGAAAAGGGTCCATTGATGGTCGAGGCTCTGACTGGTGGCAACAACCTTGCTTAGGAAATCCACAACCCGTAAGTAAATATGTAGCACTTTTCTTTCCCTTTTTTTGCTTTCTCTATTGTTTTCACATTAATTCATTGTTCTATTATTTTACTATATATCCCAACTTTTTATGATTTTTTTTCCCTTTTTCAGGGTACAACCTGCCGTCCACCATCAGTAAGTATCAGTTCTTGATCCTTGCACTCGTCTACATATCAGTTACCATATATATATGCAATGTTATCCACGTAAAAAAGTGTCTACAACTTTCATTTCCTGAAGTTAGAATCACTTTATATATACTTAAAAAAGGAGCATTAGAGAAAACCTAAATCTTAATCTACCCTTGTACATATTCCATGTTACACCTAATCAATGGATTGTATTCTCAATGCAGATTATATATATGTGAAGGTATAAACAACACTGCTTTCTGAAATACTTTGATCATATAGATATATGACAAGCACTAACAGCACCATATATAGGGAATAATAAATGAATTAAATTATAGTTTTTCTGTTTTTTTGGATGCATAGGCAGTAACATTCAATAGATGCAATGACCTTCAACTGAAAGGATATACAAGTATTAATCCAGCAAGAAGCCACATGACTCTAACAAGCTGCCAGAAAGGCACCCTCTCTAACCTGCGTCTAGTTGCTCCTGGAACAAGCCCTAATACCGATGGCATTGATATTTCTGGCTCAAAGGACATTCAAGTACTTAATTCTTTCATTGGAACAGGTAATGAACTTCACATCTAACACCAAAATTTTTTGGTTAAATCTTCCAACTTTTATTTCCTAACATGATTCTGTCTGTTATACAAATGGCATAACTTAACTGCAGGTGACGATTGCATTGCTATTAGTGCTGGATCCTCCAATATCAAAATAACTGGTATAACCTGTGGTCCGGGTCATGGTATCAGGTTAGTTCGTATTTCGGTAATGATCCTTTGAAATACTATTATCCATAAAACACTCTGTTTTACACTAAATGATGAAAACTTTTCATTTTGTGAGTTGAGATGGGAATTACAATTTCAAGATAAGAGATCTTAGTCATTGAACTTATTTAGTTTTTTCTATAAAAATTACTAGATACTTGTGTTTCAAATCTATGAATAATGAGATGAAAGTACTTTCCTCTCTCGCGTTCAATTCTATTGGAGAGATTTCAGTTTTATGTAAACTTCAGTTTTTCTATTCTGTGACCCACAAATTCAATTATCAATTAAGCATTTTAAAACTAATTTTCTTATTTTTGTAGCATTGGATCATTGGGAACAAGTGGAGAGACCGACATTGTAGAGGACGTGCATGTGAAGAATTGTACTTTGACCGAAACATTAACTGGAGTAAGAATCAAGACATGGCAGGTAATTGAGCAGATGAAAACAATAGTAAAAAAAAAAAAACTGTATTTTATTAGAAGATATTTTGCTTGCAGTTTTGGTTACATGCATGAGTTCTGCAACTTATGATCATGTTGAACAAAACATAACTTCTATGCTATTTTGCATTAGGGTGGGGCTGGATTTGCTAGGAGGATCTCGTTTGAAAATATTAAGTTTGTTCGAGCCAATAACCCCATTATCATTGATCAGTTTTATTGCCCTCATGAATCAGACTGCAAAAACAAGGTATCACAAGAAGATAACCTACCAGGTTCACTATTTTTCCTAACTAATATTTTACTCCCAAACTTTGACTAACAACTTTTTTTATGTCAATTTTTTGGAAAGACTCAAGCAATCAAGGTAAGTGATATAACTTACAAAGGAATTGTTGGGACATCATTGACAGACAAAGCAATCAATTTGAGCTGTGATCAAAACGTGGGATGCTCCAACATTGTGCTTGATCATGTTTACATAACGTCTGCAGTTCCAGGGCAGAAGGTTTTCTCCTTTTGCCATAATGCACATGGAGTAGCCACCCACATCAAACCATCCGTAAATTGTTTGCTGAAGTAGCTCTTCCACAAATATTGATCTGTTGTCTTCAGCACTGCTTTTTATGCTTCTTGGATTTTCTTTTTCTTTGGATCATGGAGTGAATAATAGTGTACAAGAACTGTATTTTGAAGAATTATTATTAGAAGAAATAGAGTTATATTTGACAATATCATCTTAAGTAATTTTGTGAAAATATATACATATAAATATATGTGTCAACTGATACGTTTCATTAGTCATTACACCAATCAATCGCTATCCTACTTTTGAGTTGTTCTTATTTTGGAACCAAGTAATTACTAGACCCAAAATAGATATTGAGATGCAAATGAGAAAGAAAAAAAAAAGAAAAAGAAAAAAAAGTCAAGGTATATAGTATAATGTAATGGATGGTATAATATAATGTAACGAATTCTATAAGAGGGAAACATGGGTTTCTAAATTTAACAGCTAGGCTAGCCAACGCAAAGGAGGGAACATTGGTTCTGTTACATTGCAATTGCATGCCAACACAACAACCCTGTCTCTCTGTTTGTTTTGGTGTCTGTGTTGGAACTTGAAATCACAACGGCATGGGGAAGAGGCCGCCGCACCTGTCCGACATAGAGGCGGCCCGCTACCCCCCACCACCACCTCCTACTTTCCACATGCCACAGCCTCGGCAGTGGCTCTCATGGTTGGTGCCACTCATTTTTTTGGCCAACATTGCAATGTTCGTGTATACCATGTACGAAAATGATTGCCCTGCCTACTTAAGCGACGAGGTTTGCCTCTTCACTGAATATCTGGGCAGGTTCTCCTTCCAACCTTTCAGGGAAAACCCTCTCCTTGGCCCTGCCGTCCGCACGTGAGAAAAATTATCTCCCTCTCTCTCCAAAAAAAAAAAAAACATTTTTGCATTCATCGTTATCATCATGGATGAACATTCAACTATGTGCATGAAACAATATTCGTCTCGTTAATTAAGGATGCATGCAACCTAATTGAATATTATTTGTCCTCTTTCCCTTGTTAGCGGCTTGAAATGGAAATGCCAATAATGCATGCATGATGCATGGGGAAGAAAGAAAGAAAACAATGTTGAGTTTCACTTTGGGTTTTCATTCATCTTTGGGGCTATATTGTATTAACTTTCTGCAGGCTGCGGCTATTAGGGGCCCTTGAAGAGGACCTAGTGGTGCACAAATATGAAGTATGGCGCTTCTTTTCCTGCATGTTTCTTCACGCTGGAGTCGTGCATTTAGTAGCCAATATGTTCAGCCTTCTATTTATAGGAGTTCGGCTTGAGAATGAATTCGGATTTGGTAAGGCTTAATTCTGAAATTTATTCACATTGAATTGAACCTCTATATGAATTTCTATAGTTAAATTCTAATCTCTTGGATTTGGCAGTGAGAATTGGATTCTTATATATCCTTTCTGGTTTTGGCGGAAGTTTGCTGTCGATGATGCATATGAAAGAATCTGCGACAAGTACCGTATCAGTTGGTGCATCTGGAGCACTTTTTGGTCTTCTGGGAGCCATGCTTTCTGAGCTTCTAACCAACTGGAGTATCTATGCAAATAAGGTACTATATATGATCTGTCAGCATTGGAAAACAGTGTGTGTAAGGACAAATTTTAACCCAGGCTTACTTCAGTGTGCAGCTCTTACAAGCCTATTGATCATTGTTGGCCTAAACTTGGCTGTTGGGTTTCTACCCCATGTGGACAATTCAGCTCATGTGGGAGGGTTTTCGGCAGGATTTTTACTCGGTTTTATTCTTCTGATGCGCCCTCAATATGGATACGTAAATCGCAAATACATACCTCCAGGATATGATGTGAAACGTAAATCCAAGTACAAATTCTATCAATATTTCTTCCTGATCGCGGCACTGATCATTTTACTTCTCGGGTAAATAGTTACAGTTGTCTTGCCTGTCAATTTTCACGGTGCATATTGTCTGTCATGCCTTGCCTAACATCCCTGACCCTGACACAATGACTAATATGACGACAGATTTGCATATGGCCTGGCTGACCTGTATATAGGAAATGCAGCCGACAAATTTTTCTTCCTAGACAGTTATCCACGATGAAGGGTTCTGATTACGCATCCAGTTCTTCAAGTTTGCATCTACAAACTGAAAATCTTCCCTTTTAGAAGCGTTTATGCGAGTACATATGGCTTACAGAAACAGATAAATAAAGCTCCGCTTCAATTTCTTGTGCCTAAGACATCTGCATGATTTGCAACTGCTTCTGAGAATTTTGGTTTGAAATTCTTTCTTCTTTCCAGGTACATGATTATTTATGCTATGTATATGACACTCTATACATGTATCTATTTGTCTTCTTACATGGATAGAAAAAAATTCTTGAGTGCTGACCTCCTAATTATCAGACCATGTGAAATAGTGTTAAAGAAAGTGTATACCTATCATTTGTTCAAAACACAATTCTGTTTTCTACTTCCAGAATCAGCTGTACGTAGATCTTATCACAACTGAATCCAAAAACAATGAATACAGCTTTTCATTTTTTTTTGCGGTGGAACAAATAGCTTATCCAATAGAAAGGAAGAAATATTGGTGCTTTGATTTAACTTATTTCTTTGTTAAACCAGAAATGCAGAAATATACTGGCACTATTCTGGTAGTTACATACCTAGGAAATTTACTGCAAGGTTTTTATACTTCTGATTCTGTGCAGTTAGAAGTTAAAGATCTATTTTAAGGATCAAGTCCTTTGCTTCTCCATTACGGTAATTACTATTATATCAACTCTAATGACTCTTGCTTAACTGAAAAATAATCAATGTCAAAAGGAAAATGTAGCTAAAATCTTGACAAACAGGCTGACAGAAACCAATAGACGAATGTCACTACAATGTAATGATATACATTTTAACATGCTTTTACGTAAAGAACACATTTGTGGAGATTTGAGGATCTTAATACGTCTATATCCATCACCAATGAATAATTTTCACCTGCTATGAAGGAGAGTTGGGCTTTGATTTAATTTATTTCTTTGTTGAAGCTGATGAACAGAAATTGTATCAAACAAAGACACATTTTTCATCAAACAAAGTTTCAACATGATTGGTTGTAGAATCCACTAATTATATTTGATAAAATTTGTGTCTTTCTCTCTCCATTGTGACCATTTTCCATTGCTCAATACAGGAAATGATCCAAGTAAAAAAAAAAATCTAGGTCAAGGTTCACAGAATTCAATTTGCATAGAAACAGTTAAACTAGAACAGTTAAAAGTAAAATACATTTAGACAGCTTAATTAATGATTCCCTGATGAAGCTAACAAATTATTGGGAGTGTCTACTGACAGATTGAAATCAAAATTGCATTTGCAAAATCATTTGTGACAGAAAATATTATGAATTGATGTTCTACTCTGCTTCTATCAAATAAAACAATAAGTAAAGCTTATATACAGAGTCGTACACGCAAGCTTCAAAATATTTGAAGACAACATGATCTGACTACAACTATAAAGAACTCCACTTTTTGAACTTAGCACATTACAAAATTCCACAGTACTCATGCCAGGGTATGCTATATTTCACATGATTCCGAACGACCAAAAATCATGTAACGGTTATTTGCAACATTGTCATAAACAAAATCTCTGATAAACCTGCAGTCATCCATGAGATATATCATCAAGCTTGTTCTCCTTAAGCAGCTAAACAACACAATAAAACCCACAAAGCAAGTGGAAAAATTACAACTTACAGAGGAACAAATTGAAGAAGAATCGCTAATTGTGGAAATGGCAAGTCTATGTATTCCATTATCTTCAGTACCGCTTCTGACTTTATGTAGGATCTAGAATCAACCAGGAAGTCATTTGTTCGCTGCTAATTCTTCTTTCTTGTAATTTACAATCATGAATTTCTTGTTTCCTCACAAGTACATTAGTTCGGTGGAGAAGATAATGGAACGTTTAACAGAAAAAGGGATATCTTATTTGGATGAAAATTGTTGAGGCCCGAAAACCTTCATTAGCAGCTTTTTAAACCGAATGGATTATAAACTATAATAGATAGATGCTATTGCTACTAACCGTAATTTTTTTTACAAATACTTTTGAACCTTTAATACACGTACCTGTCCCTCTCAACAAGTACAACACTTGAGATGTCATCAGGAGCTCTTCCTGATCTTCTGAGCAACATTTTACCTGCTTCACTCTGAAGAGCTTCATATCTAATTGTCCTAACAACCATCACAAAAGCATAAACAAACGAAATAACTGATCAACTTCTAAACCAAGACAAAGAAACAACTTCAATATACAAATACAGGAGATAAATTTTACTGTGAGAATAATCAAAGGAAGAAATCATCACAAGGAAAAGAAGATAATAGATCATATACTTATTTCGATCGTTATCACGAACGAACTTCACACCCCCATTGCACAAGTTGCATACTCCTGTGTCACAAGAAAGAATATTCATCCAACAGTAGCACGGAAGAAGAGAATCGTTTGTTTGTTTAAGGTAGTATGAAGAGAAAAGATGTGTGAGGGGTAATTATTACCGTCAAACAGCATGATGGGTCGTTTGTCTTGGTCGAAGAAACTGGAAGTTGCTTCGACCCAGTTGGTTGTGTCACTACTGGGTTGTGCCAGAGTTGCAAAGATACTAAATTTTCGTGCAGACAGCGAGCACACGCTTGAGTTGAAGCGCCTGACACAACCAGTAAGTGGTGGAAGCTGAAGAAGAGCCATTGAACTTGGAGAAACAAAATTACATTAACTCGTCCAGTTTTAGGAAAGGGTGCATTTTTAAGAGTTTTTTTTTTTTTCCCCAAAGATATTATTATTAAAATATAAATTTTTAATGCGACTATAGTAGGAAGAAATGTTTCAGAGTTCAAGAAAAATTTAGAAAGTTAGGGTTCTTCTTCTAAAAATATTAAGACATTTGCAAATCTTAATGATAGTAAGTGACACGACAACGTAATTTGGATGTACGTGGTGTGTCAAATACCACAAAATAGCTAAAGTGCTCGAGACAACCACATATGCATTATTACAGCCACGTATTATAAAAAATGGTTTGAATTATTTTAAAAATTATTAAGGTATGAATAAATTTTATAAATAATATATTTAAATAAATACATTTATTTATTTAAATAGATTTTTATATATTTATATTTTTTCTTTTTTTCTTTTCTATTTTACTTTTTTTTCTCTCATCTCTTTTATTTTAAAAAATAGTTATTAAAAAATTATTTTAAAATAAACATTTTTTAATAATTATAACATAATAATAATCATAATAATATTTATAATATCTCAAATTTATAATATAATAATTTTAAAATATAATATATTAAATTATAATATTTTAAATTAGTTAAATATTTTTTTAATAATAAAACATTTATTTTATTCAAATTTAATTTAATATTTTAAATTGAAAAAAAAATAAGAAAGGTTGAGAAAAAATAAAAAATAAAATATTAAATGAAGACGGAAAAAATATAATAATAATAAATAAATAAAATAAGAAAATAAATGAGAAAAATAATTATATTATATTAAATCAATTTATTTTTTTTATTAAATTTTTTATATAAAGAATAATTTAGACATAAATTTATTAAAATAATTTAAAAATATTTTATTTAAGTAAAATTTTTAAAATATATTATTTATTATATTGATTCGATTTATTAAATGTTTGATTAAATTTAATAAATTTAAGTTTGATACTGTATTTAATTATTCAAATAAGTCAATTTTCAATTTTATAAATTTAACCTTAACGTTTTACTCAACTTTAACTATTGGAAAGAAAACATTTATTTGTACTCTAAAATTTGTAAATTACTTAGATTGTAATATTTGAAATAATACGATAGATATAGTAAATTACCAGTCACTTTGAGTTGTGCTAATGAAATCTGATATCGATTGGGTTATTTTTTATTTTAAGTATTCAATTAATTTTATTTTTCTTCTAATTTTTTCGATAGATGTTAGTTTACCAACTAACATTAAAAGAAATCCCAATTAAAATAGATAAAATATTTTCCTAGTTGATATTATAAGAAAAAGAAATTCTAACCAACTCTAACAAAAATAAATAAATAAAAAGGATGATGTTTATTAAAAACTACTTCAAAAAACATTAATCAAAATATAATTATGACAAACTTAAAAAATAAATCCTTATGTCTTAAAAAAAATGTTGATGTTTATCAATGTTGCTTAAAAATCTGTGTAAGTTGGAAAATAATAACATCCATAAATATAATCTTACAACAACAAAATAACCATGATCTTTAACCTAAAATAAATTCTGAATAAAATAAATAGAATAAACTATTACTGTGTTTAGACCATAACGATAAAAAAGATAGAATCAACTATTATATAAATAATGAAATGATAAAATTATACATTATTTTTAATGTGAAGACAGTGATTTTCAAGGACAAGACAGTATTTTTGAGTTAGAATTTTTCTTATTTAGACCCATTAAAAAGGTTAAACTTTTTAGATTTTATCTCTTACATGAAATCAAAGTTACCCTCCAAAAAAACAATTTTTTTTTACCAAATTCTTATATATTTTTACCATCTTGATAAACAGTATAATAAACTATTAGATAGTAAACTCCAACTTGAAAAAGGTAAGGATATTATAAAAAGATGGTTGAGAAATAGTTCAATGTAGACATTGTTTTCTCTCTTTGACTCTATATATATACTTTCTGTAAATTGTAATAGTTATTTTGAAGTTTTCTTAGATGTTATTTTTTTAATTACAATTTTTTAAAACTATTTACAATAAACAAAATATTTATTTCTTGTAAATATTAATTATACAAAATAAATATTTAAAAGTAGTAACAATTATAAAAAGTCAATATTCCTAGTGCATATATGATTAAATAGAACGTAATTAAAATTAAATCCATAATAAAATATGATTTGGTAAAAAAAAAAAAAAAAACCGCTTGGGTAGTGTAAACGCCTTAATGGGAGAAAACATAAGGAAGAGAGTTACGCCTTGAAGGTGGGACTTGGGAGCAGCAACCTTAGACACTGCGTTTTGCATTCTCCATTGAAGTGAAGAGAAGAAGAGAAGGATCAGCAACAATGGGTTGGATCGGAGAGACTGTGGATTCCATCAAATCTCTTCAGATCCGCCAGGTTCTCACCCAGGCTGTTAGCCTCGGTTCGTTCTTCTTCTCCTCTTCCTTTTTCCGTTTCAATATGTTTTCGTTTTTTTCATTCAATCTGCCCTCTGTCTCCTATTCCTCCGCCCCAAAATCATTCAAATTTCAACTTCTCCAATCGAATTCTTCACCCCCCCCCCTTTTTAGGGTTTTTATCATTAACTCATTTTGCCAATTTTTCACTGTTTACATTTGCCTAAGCATTTTGCGAGCATGAATTTCTTCGTTTTTCGCTTTAGGGCTTTATCTTTAGCGGCTCTCACTCACACTGTCACACTGCCAGGTTATAGATTAGGAGGATCACAATATAATTTATGTTAATTAGATTGTGCAAACAACATAGGGTTGTGTCCACACGTTATAAGCCATATTATCTGCCTGCCGTATTTTATGATTCATCTAACCTTCTCAAATGTTACTATATGGATATGCTGCAGACAGTAATTCAACATTTGGTTGAAAACTTTGTATATGCTATACTGTTTTATCACAAGTACTGTCGACAGTATGATTTTCTTAGTCTATCTGTAGAATTTTTATTTACCAATGTAGTTTGTGTTCTGACTCAGGTATGATTGTTACGTCCGCGCTGATAATATGGAAGGCATTGATGTGCATTACTGGCAGTGAATCTCCTGTTGTTGTTGTTCTTTCTGGAAGCATGGAACCAGGATTCAAGCGGGTGAGTCGTCTTATGCGTGAATGCTTTCAGTTTTTCTGTTGTTGTTTTTGTTTTTTACAATAAATAGTATTTTGTATTACTTGTACATAATTCTGGATATATTTCAGTGAGAGAGCAGCTGTGTATATATATGCAAACTATTTTTGCCGACTTAATTTGTCTGCTTCTTCGGGGTTTTAACAAATGTTGGCTAACGTGCAGGGAGACATCTTATTCCTCCATATGAGTAAGGATCCAATTCGGGCAGGAGAGATTGTTGTGTTTAATGTCGATGTAAGTTTTCTCTTGGGTTTCTTCTTTATATTTTGCTTACCTTATTTGTATTTATCAGAATCAATCTATATAAAAAAATTATATCAGTGCCATTGTGAATATCCTAACACAGAAAAATACGTTTGCTTATTCTTCTTAATTATATTCATTTTTGTTTTCTGCTCTCTACTTTCTTATCATTATTGATATAGATGAGATATTTTATTGACGTGTTTTTTTTTTTTTTTTCCTTTTTGTATTTAGGGACGTGAGATTCCAATTGTTCATCGTGTGATTAAGGTAAGCCCCTCACATAAATTGTCTTTTCGATGGAAAATTGGGGAAATTTGGTTCACAATATTGCATGGGGGAATCCATTTCATTTCATAAGTTCGTTGCTGAAGTGGTGCATTGAAACCTCATAAATTACACAAACTATGCTTAGCCAGTTTGATGTGACTACGAACCAAATCCTAATCTGGGTTTTGTCAACATGTGTACCATCAGTGTAGAATGCTGTTGAAACTTTCCTCGCACACTGCCCCCCTTTTTTTGCTTTAACTAATTTATTGTCATTGACAACATTGTGAAAACTGGAGAGCATCATGAATCTCGGGGTAATGGATATAAATATGATTGATTACTTGGGACTTATCATTCCTTGCAAAAGGAAACTTCCTGAATCCCCCAAACCCACGCATACATATTCACTGGTTTCACATCATACTTTCTGAAACAAATGTACTTGCCTCCTTCAATCACTTCCCTTCTCTTGTTGCTTAAACTAATTTTATCAATTTATTGTCATTGACAATACTGAAAAATGGAGAGCATCAAGAATCGATGGATAATTCATAAGTAAGATTGATTAGTTGGATTTATCCTTCTTTCTAGAGTGGAACTTTTTGAATCCCTTAACCAACACACGAATACACACACACACACACATACTTATTTACTTGTTTAAATTCTTTATGCTATCTGAAATTTATGAGAATGATGGTTGCCCTATTTTAGAGTCTCAATATTTGATCATTCTATAGGTACATGAAAGGGAAGATACTGGAGAGGTTGATGTTCTCACAAAAGGTAATGTCTAGTTCATGACTAGATAACTTAATGGAAATGTTGGCTATGCTGATTTTTAGGTCCTCCATTTTACAGAAACACTAGTGATGCTGGCAACACACTTTTTCAAACACATTATTATTGAACAAATCTCACATGGGGTCCCAGTAAAAAAATGAACCCATTCTCTATTTGGTGACATCTGCATGAAATTCACCCAATAATTGGAGTGTTTTAGCAGAATGTGTTAACAGTATGTTGTTAGCATCTCTCTTGTACTAAACCTAACCTAGTTGCAAATTTTGACATTCATTCTTTTCTACTTTCTATATCATAATTTTCTATTCAGTTATCCATTTTAGTTGGTGGTTATATGTTAATGTAGTGCTCGTCCTTGATGTATTTTGTTGTCTTTGGCAGGAGATAACAATTATGGGGATGACAGGCTATTGTATGCTCATGGTCAGCTGTGGCTGCAAAGGCACCACATTATGGGTAGAGCTGTCGGGTATAGCATTCATTTTAGTCATACTTGTTTCACTTATTTTAGTTATATACTCGTTCCACTTATTTTAGACTTGTTTTCTAAACTTGTCTTGTTATAGCCAGTACTCAATTTGTGGCAACCACATACAGTTATTTACAATATTTAAGTTATGCTTCAAGTTTCCAACTATAATAAGAGACAGTTCTGTGACATAATGTATTATGCATTTTTTGCCACTACTCTAGAAGATCATACTATCTAACCATTTGCGCAATTTTTAACACCCAATGGGCTTTTGAATACGAGCATCATTCCAAGTGTTAATCCTACTTCATTCCGAAATGATACCAACAGTTTGACATATTTACGATGGAGCTTTATAATTGGTAAATAGTATTCTGATACTCTACTAAAATTGCCTTTTTTGGTCAATGGCAGGTTCTTACCTTATGTTGGCTGGGTGACCATTATTATGACTGAAAAGCCTATTATCAAGGTTTGTTTGCTATGCCAATCTATTGTGTTCATCTAGCTCGTGTAGGTTGTTTACGGTTGGAAACTTAATAGTTCTGTTGTGATGCTGATTTATTGCTAAGCAACGGATGATATTTTACCCTGCGATGCGATAAAATGATGATCATTTTAAAGATGCATGACCAGGACATATATTGCATGAAGTATAAAGTATTCTAAAGCTGTCACTTCCTTGCAGTATATTCTCATTGGTGCTTTGGGCTTGCTCGTGATAACTTCAAAAGATTAATGATGATTCTAAAATCAAACTGCGGTCTAACCTCCGATGGTAATATGAGCTGATGTCATGCTTTTCTTGAAGGTATCATTTTGTACCATTCATAGTACGGGGGACTCGCTATATAATGTTAAGAATTAATGCAGAATAGTTGAATTTTGGTATTTGATTACCTCTTCTCTTAGTCGTTGATGAGTTGGCATCTGATTGAACCCTCCCCCCTTCCTTTATATTTTGGTGCAGTTTAAGTTTAAGCCTTAGATGTTTCTTATCTACAATACTACCTGCTGTCTATATCTGTACAAGACTGCTTAGTATTTGCGAAATTTTAGATTGCCGATGCGTTATGAATGTAACATAAATATTGAAGTTTTATCTATACCGATCCTAAACGAAGTTAACGCATTCGAGCATGATATCATTTCCTAAGCTGAATGTATTTGTGTGTAAATAAAAAACGTAGTTAGGACGTCGCATTCACGCCGATAATGACCACAATGGCACGCAAACAAGTTTTTGGTTTTTCATAGTTCCACGAACAATGGAAATGTGCGGCAGATTTGAATCCCTTCTTCTGAAAGAAATTAAAAGCTTGCCATGTTTTTTATTTGAATTTATATTTAAATAAATAAATCAGCAACTTTTACCGAACATACATTTAAATTTTTCTAACGAAAAAACAAGAATTCAGCTAACAGATGTTGATAAATACCAAAAATAATCCAGAATGCGTTTATCTTTTACTTTAACCACAACATTTACAAACGGACTTGTAGAAATCATTTTCCTTCTATACTTGTATTCAAATTTTAATCACTACTATTTATATAGATTATAGTTATTATTAAAATTAACAATTGTCAACTTATTTTAATTTATTTTTAGTTATATGATAGTTAACAGAGATGTTGAACAGGGTTGAAAGTCGAAAAATCATACACAAAGATTACATACAAATAATATTAAATCAAATAACACCTATTTCTAAAGTTATTTTATTTTAAAATCAAATATTTATTTCATAATATATTTTCTATATATCTGTCGTTGATAAGGTAATTTTGTTTTATTACGTTTATATATAAAATAAACGTGTAAATCAAGAGATTTTAATAAATGCGTAAAATAAATATTAAGAAGAATGAATAAGATGCTATTACATAATTTTTTACAAATAATGTAATAATAATGGTTATCAAAATCAATTAAAAATCAGATAAACCAGCTAAACTGGACGAGGTTACCAGATTTTTTTTGTCGTTTTGTCTTTTTTTTCCTTTCTTTAGTTTATATATATAAAGGTGAAGAGAAAGTTAATTTTGTATTCATCATATACTATTCGTTTTTACAATTGTCTGACGTTGTCCTTATTATCATCGTGTTCTATTATTATTGTCATTATTATAATCATTCATGAAAATACAATAATTTTGGAGGTGCATATTTTATGAAACTAAATTTGAGATTTTCTAAAATTAAGATTTTCTAAATTTGAAATTTTTTAAAATTGGATAATAAGAGTAAAATTGATATTGATGAATAGACATGTTAGTTCTATAATCATATCTTGATATAAAATAAAATGTATAAAATTTGAAGTTAGCTGCAATGGAACATATGATACCATTTTTTTCTCTTAATTATTTTAAAATTATTTCTAAGTTAACTGGAGTGTTTTCTCTACTTATTTTTATTTTTAAGTTAAATACAATTTTTTTATTATTTATAAGTTAGTTATAGTTTTTTTTTCTAATTATTTTTAAATTAGGTGTAACGATAATTTTTTTTCTTTAATTACTTTCTACTTCAAATGTATAATAATATATTTATTCATATTATTTTTTTATATATTTTATCATCATTTTTATTATTATATAATAATTTTTAAAATAATACTTATATTGAATTAAAATTATTATTATATTATGATAAATTTATTTTAAATTCAATATATTATTAAAATATATTATTTTATTAAATTCATTTCAATTTTGATTTAATTTTTTATTAAATCTCAATTAAACCTTTTTACCTTAAATCTATATATTTACCTGTGTGACTATCCATCCGATTTTAATAACATGCTGATAAAATAATTTGTTTTTCTTTCAAAGAAATAAAATATACATAATTTAAGTTGAATGAAAAAAAAAATTAATTTGAGGGTTTTTGTAAACTAGAAACACCTAACTAAACCCTATGCTCGAGTTTCCACCGTTTCGGTCTCGATGAGACGATGCTCCCTCTCCGATCCACGCGCACACTGTGTCACTCAGCATCAGAACCCATTCTTCTCAGACTCAAATCCGAGACCGACCCCGACACCCTCTTCCACCTCTTCCAGTCCAATGCCACCAACCGCCTCCTCGTCGAGAACCGCTTCGCCTTCCGCGACACCGTCACCCGGCTCGCCGCCGCCCGCCGCTTCGATCACATCCATTCTCTCCTCCACCACCAGACCACCCTCCCCCAAGCCCGCCGCGAGGGCTTCCTCGTCCGCATCATCTCCCTCTACGGCCTCGCCGGCATGACCGACCACGCCCTCCGCACCTTTCACCACGCCCGCGGCCCCCGCACCGTCAAGTCCTTCAACGCAGCCCTCAAGGTCTTGGCTCTCTCCCCAAAATTAGACTCAATTCTCGAATTTTTGTCCCTCGTTCCCCCTCTCTATAACATTCAGTTGGACGTGTTTTCCATCAACATTGCTATTAAGGCCTTCTGCGACCTCGGAAAGCTGCAAGAGGCTTATTTGTTCATGGTGGATAGTGAGAATAAGGGTATTTCACCTGATGCGATAACCTTCACTACTCTTATCTCTGCTTTTTACAAGAGTAAGAGCTGCGAGATTGGGAATGGCTTGTGGAATCGCATGGTGTTGAAGGGGTGTATGCCCACTCTAGCCACGTTCAATGTTAGGATCCAATTTCTTGTTAACAATAGGCGGGCCTGGGATGCTAATAAATTGATGGATTTGATGCAGAAACTTGGTGTTGAACCTGATGAGGTTACCTTTAATTTGGTGATCAAGGGTTTTTGTGTGGCTAGTTATCTTGACATGGCTAAGAGGGTTTATTCTGCGCTCCACGGGAAGGGGTGTAAGCCTAATGCTAAAATTTACCAGACTATGATTCATTATTTGTGTAAGAGTAGGGATTTTGATTTGGCGTACACTATGTGCAAGGATTCTATGACAAAGAATTGGTTTCCGGATGTATATACCATCTGTATGCTGCTGGAAGGACTCAAGGGAAGTGATCAGATTGCTAAAGCAATTGTGATTATGACGTTGGTTAGGAAGAGAATACCTCCTTTCGCATCAGAATATTTGGCTTCAATGCAGTCTATTTTGTCTAGGAGTTAACTTAAGGTGGAATAGGAGGAATAGAAATCAACTCAGCTCTCATTTGTGCAACAGCAGCCCAAATGGCTCTCTCATTTTTTCTATCTATCAAATTCATTTGTACATTTTGATAATTTAACAAGCCTGAAATTTTGACAGCATCATTTATACCAGCAGTCACTCAAACTCAAAACACTTGTTATTTCCACGGCGACATTTTATAGCAAGGTTAATAATATTTTGGCCAAGATGATATCTTATGGTTAGTAATCGTTAATTAATGATGCTTACAACCTAGATGATTATTATCTGTCCTCTCTCCCTTGTTAACATTGGTTTGTAATGGACATGCCAACAATGCATGCATGACGCACGAGGAAGAAAGAAAAATAAAACAATGTAGTTTCACCTTCGGTTTTCATTCATCTCTGGGGCTATATTGTATTTACTTTCTGCAGGCTGCGGCTATTGGCAACCTTGAAAAGGACCTAGTGGTGAACCAATATGAAGTATGGCGCTACTTTTTATGCATGTTTCTTCATGCTGGAGCCGTGCATTTACTACCCAATATGTTCAGTCTTCTATTTATAGGAGTTTGGCTTGAGAAGGAATTTGGATTTGGTAGGACATACTTCTGAATTTTTGCACATAAGTTCTACATGATTTTCTTCAGTTAAACTCTAATCTCTTGGATTTGGTAGTGAGAATTGGATTCTTATATATGCCTTTTGGTTTTGGCGGAAGTTTGCTGTTATCTTGCATTTGAAAGAAGCTGTCAAGTACGGTATCGGTATCAGTTGGTGCATCTGGTGCACTTTTTGGGAGTTATGCTTTCTGAGCATCTAACTAACTGGATTATATATGCACATAAGGTAACTTTATATAATCTGTCAGCATAGGAAAACAGTGTGTAAGGACAAATTTTAATCCACGCTTACTTCAAGTGTGCAGCTCTTACAAGCCTATTGATCATTATTAGCCTAAACTTGGCTGTTGGGTTTCTACCACATGTGGACAATTCAGCTCGTGTGGGAGGGTTATTGGCAGGATTTTTCCTCGGTTTTGTTCTTCTGATGCACCCTCAATATATATAAATGGCAAATATATACCTCCATGATACGATGTGAAACGTAAATCCAAGTACAAATGCTATCAATATATCTTCCTGATCGTGGCACTGATCATTTTACTTCTGGGGTAAATATTACAGTTTTCTTGCGTGTCGATTTTCACAATGCATATTGTCTGTCATGGCTTGCCTAACATCCCTGATCCTGACGCAATGACTAATTTGACAGATTTACTTATGGCCTGGCTAACTCTGTACATAGAAAATCCGGCCGACAAATCTTCCCTTTTTGAAGCGTTTATCTCGTACATGCGTCTTACAGAAAAATAAATAAAGCTTCGCTTCAATTGCTGTTGCCTGAGACATCTGCATGATTTACAACAACTTCTGAGAATTTTGGTTTGAAATTCTTCTTTTCAGGTACATGATTATTTATGCTATATCGGGAAGAAAAGGCCAAAATATTTGGCTTCTTACATGGATAGAAAAAATTCTTGAATGCTGACTTCCTAATTATCAGACCATGTGGAATAGTGTTGAAGTGTATTAGTATCATTTATTCAAAAGAGTTCTATTATCTACTTCCAGAATCAGCTGCAAGTAAATTTTATCTCAACTGAATCCAAAAACGAAGAATATAGCTCTTCATTTTATTGTGGTGAAACTAATAGCTTATCCAAGGAAGAAAGGTTGTGGCTTTGATTTTGTTTGTTTCTTTGTTAAAGCATAAATGCAGAAATTTGCTGGCATTACAAGTTAAATATTTTAAGGATCTAGTTTTTTACTTCCTAGTTTCCAGTACGGCAATTACTGTTATATAAACTCTAATGACATTTACTTAACTGAAATGAAAATAATCAATGCTAGAAGGAAAATATAGCTAGAATCTTAACAAACAGGCTGACAGACTCCTAATAGAAGTATGTCATTATTATGTAACATACATTTTAACATGCTTTTGCGGAAAGAACATATTTGTGAAGATTTGAGGATCTCAATACAATTGGATCCATCTCCAATGAATAGTTCTGATCTGACCATATTCCATTGCTCAATAACAGGAAATGTTCCAAATAAAAAAACATCAGGATCAAGGTTGACAGAATTCAGTTTACATAGAAACAGTTAAACTAAACTAGAACAGATAAAAGTAAAAAGACATTTAGACAACTATTATCTGCAGTACTCATGCCAGGATCTGAACGACCAAAAATTATTTAACGGTTGATTGCAACATTGTCTCTGATAAACCTGCAGTCATCCATCATCCATGACACATATATAATCAAGCTTCTTCCAGCAATTAAAGAACACGGTATAACTCACAAAACAAGTGGAAAAAAAAATACTACTTACAGAGGAACAAATTGAAGAAGAATTGCTAGTTGTGGAAATATGGCAAGTTTATTTATTCCATTATCTTCAGGTCGGCTTTTGACTTTATGTAGCATCTAGGATCAACCAGGATTTGTTTCACTGCTAATTCATTTTTCTTCTAATTTACAACCATGAATTTTTTGTTTCCTCACAAGTACATTAGTTCGATTTAGGGGATAATTGGGTGATCTTATTTGGAATAAAATTGTTGAGGGCAAAAAATCTTCTTGTAAATAACTATTTTGACAATAATCAGAATTTCTGTTCATAATTTTGGCCTTCGACAAGTCTTGTAAGATTCTAATTCTAATTAATTTTATCAGTGATTCTTTTTTATTTTTTCGACTATAAAATGTTGTGATGAAAACTGTTATTGAGACTGTGTCAGGATGCATGAAAGAGAGTTCACCAACTTATGAAATTAGTATATGCAATTTCTTTTATCAAATTTTTATTGCAGTTTGTTTTCCTTTTTCTCTGAATTTGTCATGCATTTATCAGAATCATCAATTTTTAACCTCTCAAGTTTCTCAAGTTTCATTGATAATTGTTGAGATATGATGTTTTTCTATCTTTCCTTATAATAGACTTAAGGGTTTGGGTTGAGACTCATATCTTCGCTATTGTATCTTTTTTTATTTATAAATAAAATATAACAGTGCCTTTTGACAATGTATTGGAAATCCTAAATAAGTTGGTATCAGAATAGGTACGATCCCGCAGTGAAAACTTCACGTAATTTTCCTTTTTCAAATATTCATTCTGATATTTGGGGATCGAACCGTGTCTTTTCATGTCTTTTCATTTGGCTTTCGATATTTTATAACCTTTATTGATGAATTTTTCAGATGTACTTGGGTTTATTTAATAAAAGATAGATATGAAATTTTGTCCATTTTTGTGTCCTTCAATGAAATTAAAAATTAATTTGGGAAGATAATTAAAGTTCTTAGAAGTGATAATGCCAAAAAATATTTTTCAACCTTCTCTTCTTTTTTATCTTTCCAATGCATTTTACATCAGCTAACTTGTCCTCACACTCCACAGCATAATGGTATTGCAGAAAAGAAAAATAGATATCTTATTGAGACTGCACGTTCTCTGATGTTGAATGTCAATGTTCCTGTTCATTATTGGGGAGATGCAGTTCTCAGTGCTTGTTTTCTGATCAACCGCATGTCATCTTCTCTTAAAAATCAAATTCTTCATTCCTCTATCTTTCCAGATGATCCTCTTTATCATGTGTCTCCTCGTGTATTTGGTTATACTTGTTTTGTCCATAATGTCTCTTTAGGTCTTGATAAGTTAGGTGTTAAAACCATTAAATGTGTCTTCTTAGGGTACTCTTGCCTACCAAAATGATATAAATGTTATTTTCCATCCACCAAAAGGTATTACATGTCTGCTGATGTCATCTTTTTTGAGGAAACACCCTTATTTTCCTCCTCCATGGAGGATGATTCCTCTATTCAAAATGTTCTTCCTATACTCTCATGTGATCCATTTATAATACTTGATCCTTCACCAATTCAACCTACAAGTCTTAATGATTCCCCTCCTCTTCTTAAACCATCATGTGATCCACCTACACCTTTATCAGATTCTGCAGATAATCGTGATTCATCTTCTCCATCAGATTCTCATACCATGGATCCTTTGACCTCCTCTCCCACTTTTGATTCTGGATTGCCTATTGCACTCAGAAAAGGTATTCATTTCTCTAGGAATCCATTTTCTATTTATAACTTTTTAAGTTATTATGGTTTGTCTCCTTCCTATTTCTCTTTTGTTGTTTATTTGACTAACACAACTATTCCTAATACTGTCTGTGAGGCTCTTGATTACTATGGATGGTGATAAGTCATGATTGATGAAATACAGGCTCTTGAGCACAATGACATTTGGGAGCTTGTCCCTTTTCCTTTTGGCAAAAAAGGTTGTGGGTTGTAGGTGGATCTATGCGGTTAAAGTTGATAATAATGATAAAATGGATCGTCTTAAAGCTCATTTAGTAGTTAAAGCTATACTCAAATTTTTGGTATAGACTATTGTGATACCTCCTCTCTAGTAACTAAGATTTTCACTATTCGTCTTTTCTTTGTTATGACTGCGATTCGTCATTGACTCTTTCACTAACTGGACATTAAAAATGTTTTTCTTCATGGTGACCTTGAGGAAGAAATTTATATGGAGCAACCTCTCAGTTTTGTTGCTCAAGGGGAGTCTGATTTAGTGTGCAAGCTACATTGATCTTTTTATGGTTTGAAGCAGTCACCCTGAGCTTGGTTTGAGAAATTCAGTCATGTTGTATAGTTGTTTGACTTGAAAAGAAGTGAAGCAGGTTACTCAGTATTTTATTGTCATTCCTCTTCAGACAAGTGTGTGTAAGTTATGATTTATGTTGATGATATTGTTATTATAGACAATGATTATACTAAGATCAATCAATTGAAGAATCATTTATTTGTTCACTTCCAAATCAAAGACCTTGGTCAATTGAAGTATTTCATTGATATTGAAGTGGCTTAGTCAAAGAAGGGTGTGATTACTTCTCAGAGGAAGTATGCCCTTGATATTTTGAAGGAGACAGGTTTAACAAATTGTAAACTCATTAATACCCCAATAGACCTTAATCAGAAATTGATGGGAGATAAAGGAGAAAAGTTGTCAAATCCAAAAAGATACAGGGGATTGGTTGGTAAACTTATTTATCTTACTATTACCCAACCTAATCTTTCTTATACAGTTGGAATTGTTAGCCAATTTATGCAAAATCTTTGTACTGAACATTAGGACGCCTTGATTCGCATTTTGAGATATATTAAAGGGGTCCCAGGACAAGGATTGTTATATGAAGATAAGGGTAATACTCAAATTCTAGGTTATTGTGATGCAAATTGGGCTGGTTGTCTCATTGATAGAAGATCTATTATTGGATATTGTATCTTTATTGAAGGGAATTTGATTTCTTGGAAGAGTAAAAAATAAAGTGTTGTTGTTCGATCTAGTGCAGAAGCTGAGTATAGATATATGACACTTGCTACATGTGAACTTGCGTGAATCAAACAAATCCTTCAAAAATTAAAATTATGTGATAATGGATAGATGAAGTTGTTTTATGATAATCAGACAGTTCTCCATATTGCCTCCAATTGAGTCTTTTATGAAAGAACAAAATCTATCAAGATTGATTATCATTTTGTTAAAGAAAAGTTAATGTTTAAGGAACAAAATCTATCAAGTCATCTAAGGCATGTTGGTAGGTTTTATCTGCAATTGGGTTAGCTAAGTAACCCCAAGGGTTTTTTCTACGTGACTTAAAGTATCCCATATACTCTATATTGTCAGTTAGTTTTATCAAACTTTTTAGTTTTCTAGAAACCTCTTCTAGAAAAGCATGTATGGTGTCTATGTCAGAAATAGACTTTTTAAATCCCACTAGGGGATTTCATAATTTGTTCAACAACTATCAAAGTTGTTTTGTAATCTTTATTTAAAAGATTTTGTTCAACAGCTATCTGTAGTATGTGCCTAACAAATGCTGTGTACTACCTTCCATTAAAATTTTTAAAATAAAAATAAATTGTAAAAAAAAGACGGTAAATCAGACAATAAAGCAGCAGATCAGTGGAGGAGAATAAGGGAATCCACAGAATACATTGTAAAGCAATATTTATAAAATAATATAAATAATCATAAGGCTTAAATGAAAATCTTTTTGTTGTTTTTATAATTTTTTTTTATAAAGTGATAAAAGAAAATCACACAGATAGACAAGAGAAAATAAACGAAAATGATATACAAGAAAATATTTTTGCAAAGACTGTCGCAATATGCAAAGTATTCCTCAAACCACAAAGGTAGCATCGCGGGACTTAAGGTTTTCGTGGCACTCCCTGGCCTTAACCTGCCCTACTACTGGCTGGGTATCCTAGCGAATACAAACCAATTCAATTACAAAAATATTCAGGTAACCGAGGATTTCTCGCTTTGATACCAGAAGAAAAGGAAAGAGAGAGAGCAGGAAAACCCAGTATGGGAAAAACACTGCTCAGATACCAAGAGGAGGCAAAACAGAGAAACTGGGGAATGAACCCAGAATAAACTGCTCTGAGACCGAAGAGGGGAAAGGAGGAAAGTAACGGAAAAATAAATAAATTAAAACATAATAACTTTTTATCTCTTCTGTAGGTCAATTGGCTACTTAGTTCACAGAGAACCTAAAACCAGGCTAGCTTAAATGAAGATTGTCTGAGATAAAGTTGGTTATAACAAGAAAGTGTTCACTATAAGATTATGAGATGACTGAATCTGGCAGAGCCGGTTAGACATCTCCTCATAAGCTTACGCATGAACAAAATTAAAGACAGAAAAGTAAAGACAAGAAAGTAAATACACAAGTCCATGATAAGATCATGAGATGACTGAATCTGGCAGAGCCGGTTAGACATCTCCTTATAAGCCTATAAAAACATATAAACATAAACTGTACAAAATATTTAAGCTTTTAAATGATTATCGCATTTTAATGTTACAATACATAAGAAATTTATTATAATAATAATAATATAATTGTTAAAAATTGAAAACAAGAGAATTTTAAATGTAAATTTTTTTAATGAGAATTAAACAAAAATGTTTTTTTTTAATAATCTAATTTTTTTCTATGAATTTAAATATTACTTTGTAAGAATTTATATTTTTAAACTAACAATGAATTTAGTAGTTTTTGAAATTATGTTAATATTATGATAATTTTGAAATTAAGAAAATTAAATAAGTATTTAAAATTTTAGGATTTCTTCTCTAAATTTATGTTGATATTATAAAATACAAAGAATAAACTAATAATAATAATAATAATAATAATAAATTTAATTTTAGAAATTTATATAAAATTTTAACATTTATTAAGATTTTTTTAATTTGAGGAACTGATTTAAAACCAAGACACGGAGATTAAAATTTACTCTATATTTTTTAACAGTAAATTTTAGTATTTAAAGAAAAGAAAAAAAAAACATGCAGATTGAGCAAATATTGGTATACTTCCACCGTTTAACACAAAAGATTTAACTTGCAAGCAAAAGTATACTTTTAAGAAAAATTTCACTCCACTAAAAATGGAATTATATATTAAGATAAATTGTGATTTATGTTTATTTTTACTATTTTTCAAATATTAATTAAAAAAATGTTATACTTGGACATATTCAATAAATGAACCTCAATTACTTTGAATTGGAAGAACTCTCTTATTTAAAAAATTTAATTAGGAATGACTTGAGACTTGAGACTCGAGTATAGGATAGCAAAACGGGCTAACCCACCCTGTTTTGGTCGGTCTCGTCTTTGGCCCGCCAAAAGCGGGCGGTGCGTGCTTGATTCGATATAGTTATGACTGATCTGTAGATCTTGGTCCGCCCGTCAAGGGACGAGTTGGCTGAGTCAGTGGGTCGACCCACTATAATTTAAAAAAAAATAATTTATTTTTTAAAATAATTTATTTTAATAAATTTAATAATAAAATTATTATTTGTTTGTCAATAATTTAATATATATATTATTTCAATTTTATAATATAAATCAATACATTGTTTTAAGAAATTATAATTTAGAATAATAATAAAATTTACATAATAATAAATAATAACAAATATATATATATATATATATATATATATATATATATATAACGTTAAAACTTATAAAATATATATTTTTTATATTAAAAATTTTAAATATCTATATCTTTTTATTTGATAAAACTTTACATTATTCTTTGTTGAGTAATTCTTACACTTTTAATTTAAGTCATAAGGATAAAAATAATCAGTGTTTAGGATGAACAAGAAAAAAAAAGAGAATGTTATATTTCAATAAGGAGAATATTTTATAGAAGAGTATTTTTTTTATTCTTTTTATTTTTGTTTTTTAACTTTATATATTATCTTTATAATTAATTTTATATAATAAAAAATTATTTTTTATAAGTGGACGGGATTGGCGGTACGCAACAAAACGCACTGATGCGCTGAAACTGCCATATTATGGCGGGCTTGCCATCCCTACTCGAGCAAGCGGAAGATGAAAATGTAACTAGGAAAGATTGAAACCTAAACATCAACACTTCATACTCCTTTCTTCCTCTCTTTCAACCTTCGACAATGTCGAAGGCCATTCTTTCTCTAATCAAACCTCGTCACCGCCCCAAAGTTTCCTCCTTTTTGCCTCCCCGCATTAGCAACCTCGTCTCTGACATCATCCGAATCCTCAAAGCCCGTCAATCACACGAATGCCTCCAATCTCGCTTTGCTCAATCCGAGGTTATTGTTTCCGACGTTGCCCATTTCGTCATTGATCGAGTCCACGACCCGGAACTCGCTTTGAAGTTCTTCAATTGGGCTTCCACCCGACCATTCTCTTGCTCTCTCGATGCGGTTGCTCATTCTTCTCTTCTGAAGCTCTTAGCCAGGTTCAGGGTGTTCTCGGAGATCGAGTCGGTGTTGGAGAGCATGAAAGCTCAAAACTTGATCCCTACCCGTCAAGCATTCAGCGCTTTGATTCTTGCATATGGAGAATCTGGGTCGGTTGATAGGGCTCTCCAGTTATTCCATACAGTGCGTGAAATGCATAATTGTTTTCCAAGTGTTGCCGCTAGCAATTCGTTGCTGAATGGATTAGTCAAAAGCGGTAAAGTCGATGTTGCGCTTCAGCTGCATGATAAAATGCTTCAAACAGATGATGGCACTGGTTCTGTTGTGGATAACTATAGCACCTCCATTGTGGTGAAGGGCCTGTGCAACTCGGGGAAAATTGAGGACGGTAGGAGATTGATTACGGATAGATGGGGAAAGGGTTGTGTGCCACATGTGGTGTTTTATAATATGATTATTAATGGGTATTGCAAGAAGGGTGATCTGCAATGCGCAACTAGAACTCTCAAGGAGTTGAAAATGAAGGGGGTTTTGCCAACAGTAGAAACTTACGGGGCTTTAATTAATGGATTTTGCAAGGCTGGGGAGTTTGAAGCAGTTGATCAATTTATGACAGAAATGGCTGCAAGGGGATTGAATATGAACGTGAAAGTGTTTAATAATATTATTGATGCAGAATACAAGCATGGTTTAGTAGCCAAAGCGGCTGAGACAATGAGAAGGATGGCTGACATGGGTTGTGAGCCAGATATTAGAACATACAATGTTATGATTAACTTTTCATGTAGGTGTGGAAGGACTAACGAAGCTGATGAACTCATAGAAAAGGCAAAAGAACGGGGATTGCTACCTAATAAGTTTACTTATACACCCCTTATGCATGCTTATTGCAAACAAGGGGATTATGTTAAGGCATCAAGTATGCTTTTTAGGATTGCTGAACTGGGAGAAAAACCGGACTTGGTTTCTTATGGAGCTTTTATCCATGGAGTTGTTGTTGCCGGAGAAATTGATGTTGCACTGATGGTCAAAGAGAAAATGATGGAGAAGGGTGTATTTCCTGATGCTCAAATTTACAATGTGTTGATGAGCGGTCTCTGCAAGAAAGGGAGGTTTTCTGCCATGAAACTACTACTTTCAGAAATGTTTGATCGAAATATTCAACCCGATGCATATGTTTATTGCACCTCGATAGACGGGTTGATTAGAAGTGGTGAACTTGACGAGGCGATTAAGCTTTTTGAAGTCATAATTGGATATGGTATGGACCCTGGCATTGTGGGGTATAATGCCATGATCAAAGGCTTCTGTAAATTCGGAAAGATGACAGATGCTCTGTCATGCTTAAATAAGATGAAAAATGTGCCTCATGCTCCAGATGAATACACGTATTCCACAATTATAGATGGATATGTAAAACAGCATGACCTGAGTAGTGCACTCAAGATGTTTGGACAAATGATGAAACATAAATTCAAGCCAAATGTGATCACCTACACCTCTTTAATCCATGGATTCTGCAAGAAAGCAGATGTGATCAGAGCTGAAAAAGTTTTCCGAGGGATGAAATCTTTCAATTTGGAGCCTAATGTTGTCACATACACTACACTAGTTGGTGGTTTCTTTAAGGCTGGTAGACCTGAGAAAGCAACATCCATTTTTGAGCTCATGCTGATGAACAGATGTCTTCCAAATGATGCCACATTCCATTATTTGATAAATGGTTTAACAAATACTACACCTACTCCAGTACTTATTGAAAAGAATGATTCTAAGGAAAACGAGAGGTCCTTGATTTTGGATTTCTTCATAATGATGATTTCGGATGGATGGGGGCAAGTAATTGCTGCTTATAATTCTATTATTGTTTGTCTTTGTAAGCACGGAATGGTTGACACTGCCCAATTATTGCAAACTAAGATGCTGAATAAGGGATTTCTTATAGATTCTGTATGTTTCACTGCTCTGCTACATGGCTTATGCCGAGAAGGCAAATCAAAAGAATGGAGAAATATTATATCCTATGATCTAAATAAGATTGAACTTCAAACTGCTGTTAAATATTCCCTGGCATTAGACAAATACTTATATCAGGGAAGGCTCTCAGAGGCTTCAGTTATTTTACAGACCTTGATTGAAGACTCCAAGTTTTCTGAACAACCTGATAAAGATCTAGAGGTTATTACAAGATAAAGAGTGAGGAAATTCCCATGCATTAAGGAAATTTTACAGACTGAATAACTCACAATATTTCAGTCATGTATGATTGTGTATATAATGTGATGTACATAGAATTTAAACAAGACAGTTATATTGTTTGTCTTTTTCTGAATTCTATTATTCTTCTTGATGACAGCACACAAATTATCTTCAGACAAACATTATTGTGTATTAAAGCTTCATTTCATCACTCTATGGCAGCCATTAGCTATGAAAGCTGTTCAATACCTTCCTAATTCCCACAAACATAGAAGGAAATTTTTCAAAGCTTGGTTGGTTTTGGTAAATGATTGTGATCTAAGTTAATCAATTAATGTTGCTTGAATAAAAGGTCTCCTTGGTAGATGATCACCATATTTTAAAAGCTAAATCATGTTTTGCATGTATATTCAGGTAATTAAATGGACATTTCAAAAATACAACAATGCTCCATTTAAATTGTGAAACCAATAAAAATTTGTAATTTACACTATTTTATACAAATGTCATTCATATCCGTAACATTTTAATCATACAAATACATGGGAAAATGCTTCTTTTTTTTAATATTCCATCAACAAAATCGTGAAAAAAATATTTATTCATTCTCGTTAAATATAAAAGATGTGGTGCTTCATCAAATTTTATAATGTCTATAAAGAGATAGATGAATATTTCTTAAATGGAAAAATTTTGTAAAAAAAAAAAAAAAATCTCTAGAGAATTCATTTTACACAAATACATATAAAGTTTAAAATTCAGATATTATAAAATAGTAATAATAGTAATAAATTATATAAATAACATTGTAATTTAAACATCTTTAAAAAGATATGTAAATTGGCATGAAAGTAACCTTTATTAAAATAATTATTGTCCTAATGAATTAAAACTATTTAATTATAACGGTGACATATAATAATTTTTTTAAAATAAATTAAAACTTCGTATATATCTCAAATATTTTTAAATAATAAATGAAATGACTCTTAATTTTAATGAAGCATTTTTTTTTCCAATAAAATATTTTTTAATAATATATTAATTGTATAACAAATGCTCGATATTTTTTTTAATATAGTTAAAAATAATAATTACGTAACTATTTTCTTTTTCGTACTTGTATTTCTTTTTTTCTTAAAAGTAATTTTACTCAAGGACGAAAACATAAGTCACACGTTTCCCGCTTTCAAATAATTCGTCACAATTAATTAAAAATTTATTTAAATTTTAATAAATTCATATTTTCATGAAAACGAAGTTGTCGAATTTACTCCAAATAAAAACAAGATTAAGTAATCTTATTATCAATGGTATAATTAATATTTGCAACAAATGCTTGAGGTTGTTTAATTTTTTTTTTTTTTTTAATTTGGGTACCTTAAACATTCCTTAAAAAGACACATATTTCTAACTCTTGGAAAGCAAGAGAGCCAAGAAATATGTTAAAGATTAAAAAAAAAAAAACAATAAACATTTACACATATTTCTTAGATTCAGTAATATTTATATTGCAATGTATGACTATAAATACATAAGCACCAACCAAATTGTGCTCAAAAGTGAGAATAATTAGTTGAATTTTGAGCTAAGAAAAGCAATATATGGAGAAAATGAGAGTGATCATAATTACTCTATTCATGTTGGTAGGTGTAGCAGTTGCAGTTGCAGAAGAAGCTAAAATTGATGAAGCCATTAACTCTCTCCTTAGCCAACCTCAAGCATACGAGTTTCCTGAGTTCAAGAAGTTTGTGATACATTGTAGTTCGCATGTTGCAGAAACATGCAGTGAAAGTGAAGCATTGCATGAGAGTGGTGGTGGAACATATGGCTTAGCTCTTTGTCTTTCGGATTCTATGAGAAGGTGTTTGGTGGACCATGGAGCTTCACTTTCTGAAACAACTCATCAAGATTCATCAGAAGATCCTAAATTTTTCCGACCACCACCTGTAAATGGCGTTCCAGTACCCTTACCACCACCCTTATCATCCGCACCTGACGCTGTAGAAGATGACCATCAAACTCCTCAAGTCAAAGCCATACCTGACTCAATCCGACATCATCCACTCTTCATTGAAACTCTCAAATTCCAAGCTGTGTTAAGAACCTGCTCCAACGTTAGTGCACGCACTTGTTTCATTCATCCTCATCTATCAGCTTGTCTCATTCCATCCATGAATCAATGTGTATATCCCCATGAAACACCTGGTATGTATGCATGCATACATATATCTATATTTGTTCTAATTATTTATATATCATGTTTTACCATTTTCTTTCTCAAATGTTTATCTGTTAGAAGCTTAATAGTATGTGATTGTGCAGGTGAACCCCCTCTTATGGCCTAAAGTAATGCTGCAAGTGCTCGCGTTGCCTTGTTTCTTATAGCAGAATAATTTGCAAGGCCTTCTCCATCTTCCTATATATATAAGCTCAAGACTAAACTTTTAATCTCTGTTGAAACACAGTAATAATCTTAGTTGTAATATAATTGGCTTGCAAGCTTGTTTAAATTTATGTTGCAATATTATACCTTCAATATTCCAATTATAGCTATATATCACTGCATGACATGTATAAAAAAAAATCAATGAAATGTTATGAATGGCTATTAATTAGTAATAAAGCATGTCCTAATTATATTTTACGTTGGATTTCTATTTAGGTTAAGAACCTGAACATGTTTTAACTTCTATAATAGTAAGTTAACAAATACAGTTTTTTTTTATATATTACTTTTTAATATTTTTTATCATGTGCATTGTGTGGAATCAATCTCTAAAATTTATATGTTTTAATAAAAAAAGAATTTTTATCAATGTAATATTTTTTTATGAAAATTACATATATTAAATGTTAGATCATTCTACAATCATAAATATGTAATTTAATAATAAATAAGTCATATTTAATAACATACAAGATGTTAAAATAAAATGGGGTCATAATTTATAATTCATTTTAAAAATTTATACCGTTTATAGATTTTCAAGATTCATTTTTTAGATGATATATAATAAAATAAGTAACTGTTTTATAATGTTACAATGAAATGTTTACTATGCCAGCAGCACACATATAATTTATAATAAATTATAAATATAAAGAGAGAAAAAGATTGAATTAATAAAGGATTAAGATCAAAATTAAACTAAATAAACTGTTTTTCATATGTTTTGAATCACTGATTTTAGACAAAATAAATTGGGATAAAAAGAGATCAAAAGCAGGTGATGAACTCAACAAAATTTCGTTGCACAAATATATGATGTCAAAAATTGAACATAAATATGAGTAAAATGTAAAAGAAAAAAAAATACATAATTGCTAATGATTAAGAGAAAGAATAACAATTAATCACCAATTTCAGTTATTCATATAACAAGTATCAAAATGTATGCATTGTAATAATAGACAAGGGAAAAATAAAGAAAAATATGTGATTTAATTTTAATTATTATTTTAAATTTTAATCTAATAATGATTATAATTTTTTATTCTCATTTCTCAGTTTAAATGTCCTTATATATATACTAATTTTTTAAATTATTAATATTTTAAAATAATTATTTTTCTTTTAATTTTACTTTTATTTTTTATTTTTTTAATATATATGATACATTTTTTTATATCTCCTTGTATTAGCGAGTGAAATATTGATCACTAATTTATTTAAAACAAAAACACTAATTATGAAAATATTAGTGTGATCAATGATGTAATGACTAAAATTTCGATTGTTAAGTCATTTAGCAGCCAAAATATTAGTTACAGATTTAAAATAAAAATTTAGCAATGAAAATGTTACTTCATAATTTAGTAATCAAAATTCATTTCAAAAGTTATTTAAAATAAAAATTTTAGTCATTAATAATTTAATAATTAACTTATTGGTCAGATTTGTAACAAAAATATTAGCAACACAATATTGATTTGATTGTTAATAATAAAATTTTAGTCGGTAAGTTGTTTCAAATAAAAAATATTAACAACAAATATTAGTATTAATCATTTAATTTTTAAAACAAAAATATTAGTTAATAATGTTTTAAAAACTAAAATTTTTAATCTCTAATATGTTTAAAACAAAATATTAGTAACAATAAATATTAGTTACTAACTATTTATCAACTAAATATTTAGTCAACACAATTGAACAAAAATATTAGACAGAAATATTGATAGTTAATAATTTAGTAACTAAAATTTTAATTATTAGTTGATTTAAAAAATATTAATAACTGAAATTTATGTTAAAAATGTCACTAATCGATTTAACATAAAATTATTAGTAATGAAAATATTAATCCATAATTATTTAGTGACCAAAATTTTTTATCATTATTGTCCAAAGCAAAATATTTATAAATGATAATAATTACCAAACTATTTATTAATCAAATTTTTAATCCCAAACTTTAGTCACGAATAATTTAGTTATTGAAATTTTAGTGGCTAATTGATTTATTAAAAAAATCAGCAATAGAAATATTCGTGACTAATTATTTAGCAATCAAAATTTTCAGTTGCTAACTAATATTAGTGACAAATATATTGAATAATTTAGCATCCAAAATTTTAGTCATTAATTAATTTAAAACAAAAAAAAATAAATACTCGCATGATATTATGAGGATTCAATAAATGATTAAGATTTCATGTCATCAAATAAATTTTAAAATAAAAATATTTATCTCTAAATTATATATTGTTGAAGACAAATGCATGTGGATGGAATTTTTAAGAGAAAACATAAAAAAAAATTATGTAATAGAGAGAATAAAAAAAAATGATCATTTTTATTATTTTTATTTAGTAGTTAATATTTGAGAGAAACAATTGAAAAAAAAAACGTGTGACTGAAGAAATAAAGGGAACATATAAATTTTTAATTAATTTTATTTATTTTAATTGGAAATGAAAGAGTAGAAAAGAAAATGAAAAATAAATCATTTATTATTGGATGACATAAAATATGGATACTTTATATTATTAATTTTTTAAGATGTATAGTCTTATTATCTATTAATCAATATTTATCTATGTTTTTAAATAGGATATAATAATTAAACTCGTACTTGTGGGAACCGACTCATCTTGTTCGAGTTAAACGGAAAAAACCCAGTTAACGGGGTGGATTCACGTTTTTCGCTTAAAAAGGTTGGGGGCGGGGATGGGTAATGCAATCCCCACCTCAACCCCATCTCGATCCACGTCCTCACTTTATATTTAAATTTAAATTTTAAAATATTAATATTTTAAAAGTATTTCTTTTTTTATTATTACATATAAGATCATTTTTTTTATATTTCACCATTTTTTTTATCCACTTTTTAATTTTTTTGTCTTTTTTAATCTTTTATATCAATTAGTTTGTTATATTATTCTCTCTTATCTTTCAGTTTTTAACATTTCCTTAATCTCTTCAATCAATTTTTTTCCAATCTTTTCAACCAATTTGATGAACACAAAGTTAATTTTCTTTTCTTTTTTATCTTTTTTTAAATATTTTACATAAATATTAGTAGTAACTAATATTATTTTATTTCTAATTTATATTTATTTGGTTTTATTATGTCATATTTTTTATCTTATTATTCTTATTTGTCATATATCAAATTTTATCTAAATAAAATAATTATTTTTTAAATGATTAAAAAGAATTGATAATTTTAATTTTTATTACTTCAAACTAATTAAATAAGATTTAATTTATTAAATATTTTCTTATAAATTATATATTTTATATTTTTAAATGATAACTTAAAAATGAATTAACTTATATATATAATTAAATGTTTGAATACAGTGTAATAATAATAATAATAATAATAATAATAATAATAATAATAATAATGTTGTAAATATTTAAATATTGTTTAATATATATATATATATAATTTACAATAAAAATAATTTTGTATATAATTGTGATATTAAAGAGCCAATTTTAAATTTAACGGTTACATATAATTAATAATGATTGACTCTTAATTTTAATGAAGGATCGACCTCTTTGTGAAACCATTTTTTCCAAATTGTTCACATTAATTATTCGGTGGACACGAATGGCCGATAAATATTTTTATTTATATATTAGGTTTATCACAAATCTTTGATAATTTCTTGAATATAATAAAAAATATTCATTACAAAACTATTTTTCTATTTACATATATTTTTTTAAGATTTACCTCTTTAAAATAAATAGATAAATTAGCTTAGAATATTACTGCTGAATTTGTAATATATTAATATTATATTATATTATATATATCTATGTGCATGATGATAATCATTATTCTAAAACATTCTATTATTTTATGTAACTATATTATTTTTTATTGTAAGAAAGATATATGTTTTTAACTCTTGAAAAGCAAATGAGTCATGTTGTATAATGAAGATCAAAGGTCGTTATAATTTTTTTTTATAATAAACATGTAAATAGTTTCTGTATTCTTCTATATATATATTGTAAAATTTGCGTGCATGAGCACCAGCCAAATATAAAGTTGTAAATTGGTTTATCATTAAGAAAACCAATTAATGGAGAAAATGAGACTCACACTAATTACTCTATTCTTGTTCATAAGTGTGGTAGTTGCAGAAGAGGCTGGAGTCAGTGAAACCACTAAGGCTGCAGAAGAAACTGGAAGTGGTGAAGCCATTAATTCTGCAGAAAAAGTTGGAACTGGTGAAACCATTAATCCTGCAGAAGAAGCTGATCTTGCTAAGCATGTTGGTATTAGCAAAGCCATTAATCATATGTTGAATAGCCAACCTCCAGCGTACGAGTCTCCAAGATTCAAAAAGTTTGTGAAACATTGCAGCTCACATGTTGCTGAAAAATGCAGTGGAAGCGAGTCACTGCATCATAACGAGGGTGGAATATATACTTCATTTGGGGTGGCTCTTTGCCTATTCGATTCTATGGAAGCATGTTTGGTAGACCACGGTGCCTCACTTGACCAAAGAACACCTACTTCCAAAGATAACAATCAAAGTCCTCAATACCTTCCTAAACCTGCTAGGCCAATTCAATATGTTCCTGTTCTCATTGAGACTGTCAAATTTAGAACTGTTATGAGAACCTGCTCTCATGTCAGTGCTCAAAGTTGTGTGACTGGTTCGAATGTTGATGCATCAGTTTTAGCAGCTTGTCTCATGCCATCTCTGAATCAGTGTGTATATCCCTCTCAAGTTGACCCTCCTGGTATTACTTCTTTACTCTTCTTTTAAACTCTTTTTTTAAGAACATCATATATAATTCAAAAAATATAATTAATAGACTTTTATTTGTACTCTCTTTCTCTGCTATTATTGTGTTGATTTTATGGTTTAAAATTGATGTTGTTGTTGTAGATGCAGAGAGCCCTCCTATCAGGGCGTAAGTATCTGAGATGATGTATGGAAGTACCTGCAAGATTTGGCATATTACTACTACAAGAATAAAGGGGTTTGCTTAGCCTATATAAATATATTATAATAATCCTTTTCAATAGCCAAGAGACTACACTCTTGAAACATATGATTAGCTCTTAAGCTTGTATTGTATGTATAAGAAACCACTTAATGTCATGTTCCATAATTGCGTTCCTACTAAAGAGTTTCTCTTGATTCAAGTTTAAAATTGAAAGTCTTATAACTAGAAAATAGAAAACAAAGCTTAGCCTCTGTTTATTATCAATGTAAAACATCATCTCATATTGGTATAAATTTAAAATAAATAAATAAATATTTACTCTATTGATGCATACACTATGATCCAAAGAAAATGGAATGAAATTGATTAACATTGCAGTGGAAGTGAAGTGTTATCCTTGATAAAAATCATATATTTGAAATGTTAAATATAAAGGGTTTAAAACTATAATTTCCAAGCATGTCTGAAAGATAGCTTTCAACAGTAACATTTATGAAAAGATGATGAAAGATAAAATGATATATTTTTTATAAAAGATCATTGGTGATTAGGGGTTAAGTTCCCCACAATTTTTTAGAAGAATTCCAGGTTTGGGTTTTTTCATTATGAAAGTTATATTCTGAAAAATTAAATATTTTTTTTTTTTTTGTGAAGAAAATAAATTAATGACTCGTAAAACGTATTGCAGAAAAGTGTTTAAGAGCAGGCATGCATCGACGGACCTGCACTTGCACATTCAACCTAAGCCCAAATAAGGCCCCGCCAATTACTCCTAATCTTGCAACTTCTCCATCTTACCCAAAGAATGAAATAAAAGTTTTGATAATTTAAAATTATGTAAACATTTGATAGAATAATATTTTTAAATTTTACAGAAATATAAAATTAAAAATATATTCTTATATTTAATTTCCTTTAAAAATCCATAAAACAGTAATATTTTTTAGTTATAATTTCACAAAATTATTTCGTTTTATGAAATTATATGATGATTAAATGTCATACTACTCTTATTACATAATTTATATTAAATTATTCAACTTGGTAAATAATGAAAAATTTCACAAAAATATTTATTACTCCTTGTGGATTATTTATTCACATTAGATTTATGTAATAAATATTGGAAAAATATTTTGACCAATCAAACACATTTTCGTATAAAAACCCCTCTCTAAAAAACACCCGTCACAAACAAATATTGAAAACCAGATTTAAAAACTAATCTAGGCAACGGTCTACGAATTTTGTTTATGAATCTTTAGAATATTATCATCAAAGCAGACCGAATTCATAATACTTTTTTGTTTCCCTCGGAATATGTTAGATGTATATTGTATCAATTTAATACTACTTCTATAGTTAAAAATGCGATTTTTAAGTTTTAAAAAAATCATAAAGAGAAATAAATACGCGGTGGGAAATAGATGCAACCCTCACCATTAAAAAGCTCATTGTTCAGATGTCTCAACGAGAAAAAGGACAAAATGTAAGTTTAACCTTCATATAATTCAGGTGCTTCAAGCAAGGCAATTAATTGAGACAAAAACTAATAAAATCATGGAAAATTAGACCATTTCATGACCCTCTTCATCTCAACGAAGAATTGATTGATACATAAAACCCAGCAAGAATGAGAAATAAGAAATGCCTATTTTATAGAGAAAAGAAACAAGGAATTTTGTTGTTCAATATTGCAGGTCAGTCTATAAAGACATGTCCTCTACCTCGCGACAATAAAAATGCAAATCACTAAGCAGTACATTTCTTGGACAGATTCAGGCGTAATTTTGCAGGAACTTCATGCGCTTGGTTCTTCGGCGTCTCCATTCTCACCGTCTTCAGCAGCTGCAGCAGCCATCAATTCGTCGAAGTTTGCAGTCTTCCCAAGTACAATTTCAATCTAAATCATGATTTAACAAAATGCAAAAACTTCGTCAACAGATTCCAAAGCTATAGGTACGAAGGAGACTGTTAGACCATGGTATGAAATCAAACACATGCCCACAAGCACATTAAGGCCAAACAGGCTCAACGAAGACATTATAGAGAAAACAAAAATTCGTTTCCAAGCTTACCTTGGCCTTTTGAACAGGTCTACCTCTAGAATCGTCCTTTATGTCAACAGTTGATGTCGTGATCTCTGCAAGAAAATTGCGTCATTAACTAGATTAGATTATTTCTACACTGAGGAATCAGATAGGGGGTGAACAAGAAGGGAAAGGGACCATTTCACATGAAAGAAGGAAATGAAAAAAAATAAAATCTCACTCTTCTCAACAGCAAGGCCGTTGTTCTTCAATATTTCAGCAACGGTTACCACTGTGGCAATAGCTGCAACAACAAAACAGGGGTTGAAAATTTGAAAATCACATCAAAATTGGAATAGAAAAAGAGAATTACAAAGTCTCATAAAAATCATAAAATACATTGCATTGTAATAAACTTCTACTAATTAAGGAAACCATATGACAGCCACATAAAAATATAGCCCTCTAATTAAAGAAAAAAATTAAAATTACTCTTTTCTACATTTCATTATTTATCAGACTGCCGCAACAGTTTTTGTCACAGTATTTATATCTTCTACCAACTACCAAATTGAATAACAGATGATAAAACATAAAGCCACACTATTGCGGAGCAGAGCAGCTTATTGTGTAATATAGCAGTGTTACCAAGATATAGGCTTCAAATACCAACCGTTAACCCTAAATCATTTAGAGGTATTGTTTGCGGAAAATTTAGATTTCTCCCTAATCTTTGCTTTGAGAGCACAATAGTTTTAGAAACCCTTCTGCCCTGAACATTCCACAACATGTTATAAGACTATTATTTTTATCTGTTCCCTCACACTTTTATGTTTTTTGTGTTCCATTCTTCCTTCTTCCTTACAATTTTCTAATTCAGACTACGCTAACTTTTATCAAATTATTAATGTTCTTTTTCTATTAATTTCATCATCAACTTCAACTTTTGTGACTACATTAAATGCTTATATTCCTCATACATTGAGGATGATTGCATGTTCAAACTCTAACTCATTATTTATCATGAATTTCTTTATATTTGTAGTATACATTAGTTAATTTGAATTATAATATTAATATCTACAATAGAATTTTCAACTATGTAATTGATTACACTTCAAACCCTAACAAGAAGAAAGGTCCCTGTGGGTAGATCTTCACGTGAGTAACCATAAGGCAAGGACAGAGTTTATCCAATTTGACAAGGTCAGATTATGCACACCTAAGTTGTTACTCCTGGGCCCTAGCTAAAGAGTACCACAAGATCAGCAGAATAATCAAACCTATGCTACCTACTCACAGCTTATTTGGAATTTTACGAGGGACTGGAGCAGAGGAGGCCAGTGATATGAAGCTTTAAAGCTAATCATAAGCACATATAAATGGCAGTCAGTATTACACAGTATAGATAGTTAAATTCAAGGAAAATATTAAAAGCCTGAATCAAATCAAATTCCAAGACTCAAGGCACTAAAAAGTTCAGGCCATGCAGTGTGGGTAGCACTTAAAGCCGAATCAATTTATGACTGTTCCCTAGAGTAAAATTGTGTTCCACAAAGTTTAGACCGTTTCAGTGTAATCATTATTAAGTTTTTCAAAACTCTAAATAGGACAGAGTTATATTTAGCAACTCCATATAACTATAATAATAACACCTGAAATGATCGAGTCCACATGACTAATCTATAAGCAACCAATAGAACCAACACAGTCAATATTCAACTAATAAAACTTAAAAGAGAGAGAGAGAGAGAGAGAGAGAGAGAGAGAGAGAGGGATTTCAATACCCATTCCCAGGGCTGAGAGCTCGACCTCGTTATGCTGTTGCATATATCTCTGCAGAATCGATAAAATTAAACACTAGAAAATAAATAAAATAAAACTCCAAGGAGCTTCAGAATCTGATATAGAAAGACATGGTGTGATACTACCTTGGCGAGATTAACGTAGAAGAAGAGGGGCTTCTTGGTGTTTGAAACCTGAATGCGATTCTTCTTGTAGGAATCGGCGATGTTGATGTTGTTCACTCCCTCTGTTATGCTTTCCATTGCTCTTGTTCCCTTCTCACCCACTCGTCCGAGACGATAACAACTAAAAACCCTAACGACTTGTTTATGAAATGTGATTCAGAAATTAAAAAACGGAACCCCCATAGCACAGGATGTACTCCATTCTCCTCCAATGGGCCTGGGCCCAACGTTATAAGCACTCCATGCAATTCAAACGGGGAATTACTTCCTGCACTGCCATGATTTCCAACTACACAACATAATACCACACTTGATAATAACAACCATATATAATATATTTCTTTAAATAATAAAAAAACTTGTTAATATAGAGTTGAAATAATTAAATTTTAAAATTTTACTAATTCAATTCAAAGTTAAACATGAATAATATATAATGAACAACGAGATATATTTTCACATACTATTTTTTAATATAAAAACAAATCATACATTCTGTGTTGCATTTGGAGTTTCATTTAAAAACATTATATTCAACTACCTATTTGTGACGTATGCTTTTTACTGTGAAAGTAGTGTGTTGTGACGTGTGTGAGTCAGACTGAGCCTGAGGGCTGATGGCCAGAATCAGTCCTGAGACGTTATATATTGACTAGACTGAGCCGGAGGGTTCGTGTCAGAATCAGTCAAATCCTATTTTTATTGACCCGAATGAGTCGTGAGGACAGGTGGTCCAGAATCCGGCAAATGTGAATAATTTTTGTTATGTTTGAATGGTACCCGGGGTGGTACAGAGTACATTAGTGTAATAATTATGTCGGAGGATTCTGAATGAGGTCCCAGACTTCACTGATTGGTCGGGTCAGGTAGACTACGAGATCAGGTGGTGAGAAGTCGATGGGGGATGACTGGTGGCGCGCTCGGAGGGGTACTCCAGTATGAGTGATGAAGGGCGCCAGTAATCCTACTCTGTGTGGAGGGTGGTCATAATGGTACTGCGGGTACCGATCACATTGTGCCCACAGATGATAACCTCTGAGTTCGGGCATAGTTAGGGTATACTTCTGGAAGGTGTCTTAGTGTGTTGATAATTTCGTAATTGATCATAATATATAATTATTACTTCTATATCTGTTTTATTATATGGAATGATTTAATACTTACCCCTATTTTTTCATGTGGATGAGACTGCGATGATCACTTTTATGTGGGAGCAGATCAGAAGTTGAGAGATGGAGATGTGACTATTGGACAACAGGGATAGTTCAGTGGGATAGCTTCGAGGGAGCTACTTTTACATGTATAATATATAAATAAATTATGTTACTATATTTTGAGGTTCCGTTAGTGAATCGGAATTTCAATCTATGTTACAATTACAGTAATATAATGTAAAATAGATATCGTTATTTACTTGTTTACTACTTTGCGAAGACATCATTATAGTAGCGATTTCTAAGGTCGTTACAATAGTGGTATCAAAGCGGTAGTATCCTTATAAATCTGTGGGGATGGGTAGTGACCCTATGATAAGTCCATTGTGATTATACTCTGATATGTGAGTGTGTGCGTGAATGTTTGCTCTGTATTGATGGTTGCATTTGATATAGGATGACACCGTGACCTCCTACTCCTACTCCTACTCCACCGAGTGTAGATGCCCTAGTCAGGGCAATGGAAATGTTGGCAGCTGCCATGCAGCAGCAGGCTACCTACCCGCAGTGGAGGCCAACTATGGCATCATCCTCTGTTGGATTCCACCAATCAGAGCAGATGGGGCTGACTGAGTTCATGAGGCATAATCCACCTCGTTTTGGAGGAGATTTGGGTCCAGATGCAGCAGAGAAGTGGTTGCGTGAAGTGGAGAATATTTTTGATGCTACCTTATGCCGGGAAGATAGGAAATTTGTTAGAAAAGTAGTTTTAAATCAAGAGGGGGGGTGAATTGATTTTTGAAAGTTTTTCACAATACACAGATTATCTAATCCGAAAATTAAGTTTACTAATCACTTCACGAATCACAAAGCAATTAAACAATATAAGCGCAGCAACTGAAATTAAAGAGAGAAAGGTTAGGAAAGATTTCACCGGTAATTTTATACTAGTTCACCCAATACCAGGGCTACGTCCAGTCTCCAGCCAAATTCCAGCTGGGTTCCACTAGAATAGATGTTTTACAGACTCAACAATCTTACACCTACTCTAACACCAGAACCAATTTCCAGTTCCCGATTTTAACCTTTCCACCAAGAACCAAATTCCAGTTCTTGGAAACCTCTGCAACCAAATTCCAGCCACGAGAGAACCTAGTACCCAAATTCCAGGCACCAAACCTTTCACCAAGAACCAAATTCCAGTTCTTGAAAACCTCTACAACCAAATTCCGATTGCGAGAGAAACCGAGTGCCCAAATTCCAGGCACCAAACCTTTCACCAAGAACCAAATTCCAGTTCTTGAAAACCTCTACAACCAAATTCCGAGTTGCGAGAGAAACCGAGTGCCCAAATTCCAGGCACCAAACGAGTACAAGAACCAAATTCCAGTTCTCGTACTCAACCTCTCCACCAAGAACCAAATTCCAGTTCTTGGAAACTTCTACAACCACCTACCAACTGCAGAAAACTTGTACCCAAATTCCGGGTACAACACAATACAAAGTAATGAAAAAGAATTTACAAAGAAGAGACTTAGAAAGCTCAAACCGGATTACTCTAATCCACGGTAAGTTTCTTCTTCACAGAATGCAATATGCCTCAAGAAAGATTTCAAAAGAAGTTCACAAAGCGAGTTACTGAATCTTTCTTGGAAAAGGATGCTTAACGAGTTGCTTGAATTGATTGCTTTGGATGTTTAAAAGCTGATGTTCAATCTCTGTTTAAAAGTTTCAAGCAAAGCTGTTTTTAAAGAGAATTTTCAAATCTGCTGCATTAATTAATCTGTTGAAAGTTTGTTTTAATCTGTTGAAATAGCCGTTATAATCTGTTAAAAGTCCTTTCAACCCATTAATGCGTTCTTGTTTCTTTAATAGAATCGTTTTAGCTGATACGACCACGTTTATATCAGTTAAAACATTTTACAAACTTTTTCTAAGTATAAAACAATCGATTGAATCGCGTATTAATCGATTGATTTGTTTAAAAACCTTCTTATAAAACTTTCCAAGTTATTTTAGCTGATATAAATTCGTTTTAATCGATTGAAAATCTGCACATATATTTTCAAGTCATTTTAATCGATTGAAAGTTTGTTTTAATCGATTGAAATTCGTAAAAAGATTTTCTAAGTTATTTTAATCGATTGAAATACGTTTTAATCGATTGAAATAAGTCTGATCGGTCATAATTCAATTTGATCGATCATAACCAACTTCGATCGGTCATAATTTCATTCTGATCGATCATCCTGACTTCCAAAGTGGTTTTAATCGATTAAAACGTGTTTTAATCGATTAAAATAAATCTGATCGCTCATTTTTAAAGTCTGATCGATTATATTTCATTACGACTGTCATATTCTAATTCTAATCGGTCATAAAGGGTTTTAATCGATTAAAAGAAGTTTGTATCGATTAAAATACTGTAAAAACACTTCTTTACGCATTCTAAGTGATTTAATTGTTTCTTTTAAAACTATATCAGTTAAAAACATTGTTAAGAAAGTTTTTTGTCAAAATGCTTTTGTTTGATTTGTTAAAAACTATTTTTGAGGCATTTTGCAAATTGAGTGAAGGAGCTTCATGCGGTGGAAAAAGGTAAAGTGGTTTTACCTAAGCTTTACGTTAAGACACACTAAGTCTTCGACTCCATTCTTCGAGTGACTTGTTTGGCTATTGCAGAGTTGACTTTTGACTTTATCTTTGACTTCATCAAATCAATGAGATTTTTGCTAGTATCACTTTCGGTCTCCCCTATTTGATGAAGACAAACACCATTTTGAAAAAACAATCTCTGCAAAATAAGTCACTTGATAATGAGGTTAGGTGAGAAATATAAAAATGTAATAATGTTTTATTTCTCCCCTAAAACTTATTTCTCCCCCTAAAGCTGTTGCTCTTAAATTTATCTTAAAGTGATGCAACTATTTCTCCCCTTTTGACTTCATCAAAAATAGGGTATAGAAGGGAAATAAAAAATGTAAGATTTGAAATGTGCTCAAGTTTTTGAAAATAAAAAGTGAATCAATATTTCACTCATGAAAAGAATCAATTAAAGTTGATTCAAACTTATCTTCATTAACACGTTTGTAATGAATACAATTAACACGTGTAAAGATAAGGGAATCACGCTTTAGTAGCATGTTACAGGAACAGTCATTAACTAAAGCCTTTAATCCTCTTTTCAGAATAAAAATCGATTAAAAACAGAGCATAATCGATTAAAATGTTCTTGGCAAATGATTTTAATCGATTGAAAGAAAGGTTTAATCGATTAAAACATTTAAGATTTTGAAAACATGAATTTTTAGTAAAAACAATCGATTATTTCGACTTTAAATCGATTAAAACAGTAATGAAAACTGTTGTTTAAGTTTATTTAACCGATTAAAAGGTGTTTTTATTGACTAAAACAACCAGATTTTGAAAACCATGATATGTCGATGCTAATCTTTTATATGTAATCTATTGGATATGTTGTGAACTGATTGTCTAGATTACTATCAACTATATTGATTGTCTTTTTACTAACAGATTTAACAATATCAGATTTTAGATTCTTAGGGATCTATGATCTACTTCTATCTATGCCAGTTTAATCTCAATTAGACCCTAAATCATATCAATCAAGGTTAAGGCAAATGTACCTGGTATAACACCAGTAATATTACAGTCCAAGCAAAAAATATAAAGATAGAAATAAGCGAGAAGATAAAGATGATGATGTAGATTAGTCATCCCAATTCCCACGATTAAGTCGCAAATCTTCCAGTTTGGTGATCATTCATTTGATCCCCACCAATATCAAAAGATAATAGACTTTCCTTTTTCTTGGAACCAATTTTGCTCTATCAACTATTGAGACAACAACAGTTTGTCTCTCCTGTATCGACAACGAGACACAGAAACTTTTCACGAAAAGAA